AAGCTGAGCTACATGCTGAGCTACACTCACTAAAACTGGGGAAAAATTTTCGAAAAAAAAAATTTGCCAGATAATGACTCGGGAATAATGCCAAAAAATTGAGCAAAAAGTCTCGAACAAAAAATGTATGGCGCACTTTTTGATTGGTCTAGCGGATGCTGAGCTACACTCAATAAAACTGGGGTAAAATTTTCGAAAAAAAAAATTTGCCAGATAAGGACTCGGGAATAATGGCAAAAAATTGAGCAAAAAGTCTCGAACAAAAAATGTATAGCGCACTTTTTGTTTGGTCCAGCGGATGCTGAGCTACTCTGAATAATATTTTGGAAAAATTTTCGAAAAAATAAATTTGCAAGATAATCGATTCGGAATAACACCATAGTAATGAGAAGAAAGTTCTGAACAAAAAATGTATGGCGCACTTTTTGATTGGTCCAGCGGATGCTGAGCTACACTCAAAAATATTTTGGAAAAATTTTCGTAAAATTAAAATCGCGAGATAATTGATCCGGAATACCACCACAAAAATAGAGAAAAAGTTTCGAACAAAAAATGTATGGCGCACTTTTTGATTGGTCCAGCGGATGCTGAGCTACACTCAAAAATATTTTGGAAAAATTTTCGTAAAATTAAATTCGCGAGATAATCGATTCGGAATACCGCCAAAGTCATTAGAAGAAAGTTCTGAACAAAAAATGTATGGCGCACTTTTTGATTGGTCCAGCGGATGCTGAGCTAAACTAGAAAACAAATTCGGAAAAATTTTCGATAAATTAAATTTGCGAGATAAACGTTCAGGAATACCGCCAAATCCTTTAGCAAAAAGTAGCGAACAAAAAATGTATGGCGCACTTTTTGATTGGTCCAGCGGATGCTGAGCTACAGTTGAAAATAAATTCGGAAAAAATTTCGAAAAAATAAATTTGCGAGATAATCGATTCGGAATAACACCAAAGCAGTTAGAAGAAAGTTCTGCACAAAAAATGTATGGCGCACTTTTTGATTGGTCCAGCGGATGCTGAGCTACACTCAAAAATATTTTGGAAAAATTTTCGTAAAATTAAATTCGCGAGATAATTGATCGGGAATACCACCACAAAAATAGGGAAAAAGTTTCGAACAAAAAATGTATGGCGCACTTTTTGATTGGTCCAGCGGATGCTGAGCTACACTCAAAAATATTTTGGAAAAATTATCGTAAAATTAAATTCGCGAGATAATCGATTCGGAATACCGCCAAAGTCATTAGAAGAAAGTTCTGAACAAAAAATGTATGGCGCACTTTTTGATTGGTCCAGCAGATGCTGAGCTAAACTAGAAAACAAATTCGGAAAAATTTTCGAAAAATTAAATTCGCGAGATAATCGTTCAGGAATACCGCCAAATTCTTTAGCAAAATGTAGCGAACAAAAAATGTATGGCGCACTTTTTGATTGGTCCAGCGGATGCTGAGCTACAGTTGAAAATAAATTCGGAAAAAATTTCGAAAAAATAAATTTGCGAGATAATCGATTCGGAATAACACCAAAGCAGTTAGAAGAAAGTTCTGCACAAAAAATGTATGGCGCACTTTTTGATTGGTCCAGCGGATGCTGAGCTACACTCAAAAATATTTTGGAAAAATTATCGTAAAATTAAATTCGCGAGATAATCGATTCGGAATACCGCCAAAGTCATTAGAAGAAAGTTCTGAACAAAAAATGTATGGCGCACTTTTTGATTGGTCCAGCGGATGCTGAGCTAAACTAGAAAACAAATTCGGAAAAATTTTCGATAAATTATATTCGCGAGATAAACGTTCAGGAATACCGCCAAATTCTTTAGCAAAAAGTAGCGAACAAAAAATGTATGGCGCACTTTTTGATTGGTCCAGCGGATGCTGAGCTAAACTAGAAAACAAATTCGGAAAAATTTTCGATAAATTAAATTCGCGAGATAAACGTTCAGGAATACCACCAAATTCTTTAGCAAAAAGTAGCGAACAAAAAATGTATGGCGCACTTTTTGATTGGTCCAGCGGATGCTGAGCTACACTCAAAAATATTTTGGAAAAATTTTCGTAAAATTAAATTCGCGAGATAATTGATCCGGAATACCACCACAAAAATAGGGAAAAAGTTTCGAACAAAAAATGTATGGCGCACTTTTTGATTGGTCCAGCGGATGCTGAGCTACACTCAAAAATATTTTGGAAAAATTTTTGTAAAATTAAATTCGCGAGATAATTGATCCGGAATACCACCACAAAAATAGGGAAAAAGTTTCGAACAAAAAATGTATGGCGCACTTTTTGATTGGTCCATCGGATGCTGAGCTACACTCAAAAATATTTTGGAAAAATTTTCGTAAAATTAAATTCGCGAGATAATCGATTCGGAATACCGCCAAAGTCATTAGAAGAAAGTTCTGAACAAAAAATGTATGGCGCACTTTTTGATTGGTCCAGCGGATGCTGAGCTAAACTAGAAAACCAATTCGGAAAAATTTTCGATTATTTAAATTCGCGAGATAAACGTTCAGGAATACCGCCAAATTCTTTAGCAAAAAGTAGCGAACAAAAAATGTATGGCGCACTTTTTGATTGGTCCAGCGGATGCTGAGCTACAGTTGAAAATAAATTCGGAAAAAATTTCGAAAAAATAAATTTGCGAGATAATAGATTCGGAATAACACCAAAGCAGTTAGAAGAAAGTTCTGCACAAAAAATGTATGGCGCACTTTTTGATTGGTCCAGCGGATGCTGAGCTACACTCAAAAATATTTTGGAAAAATTTTCGTAAAATTAAATTCGCGAGATAATTGATCCGGAATACCACCACAAAAATAGGGAAAAAGTTTCGAACAAAAAATGTATGGCGCACTTTTTGATTGGTCCAGCGGATGCTGAGCTACACTCAAAAATATTTTGGAAAAATTTTCGTAAAATTAAATTCGCGAGATAATCGATTCGGAATACCGCCAAAGTCATTAGAAGAAAGTTCTGAACAAAAAATGTATGGCGCACTTTTTGATTGGTCCAGCAGATGCTGAGCTAAACTAGAAAACAAATTCGGAAAAATTTTCGAAAAATTAAATTCGCGAGATAATCGTTCAGGAATACCGCCAAATTCTTTAGCAAAATGTAGCGAACAAAAAATGTATGGCGCACTTTTTGATTGGTCCAGCGGATGCTGAGCTACACTCAAAAATATTTTGGAAATATTTGCGAAAAAATAAATTTGCAAGATAATCGATCCGGAACATCACCAATTAAATAGTCAAAAAGTTCTGAACAAAAAATGTATGGCGCACTTTTTGATTGGTCTAGCGGATGCTAAGCTACACTCAAAATAAGTTGAGAAAAAATTTCTGAAAAATTAAATTCGCGAGATAATCGTTTAGGAATACCGCCTACCCTCTATAAAGCTCGGTTATTTTTATTTTATCGAGAAATGTCTGTAATAAACTTTAATAGATTGAAATTAATAAAAACATTGAATTTTTATAATTATTTAACAATTATTATCATAAAAAACTTAAATCTGTTTGTTTTAATCTTTTAAGTATATATTTCTACATTTTTTTATATTTGAGACAAAATTTCAATCTTAACCTAGTGTTTCACGAATGCTCCGCTAATTTCGTGGAGCATTGGCATCATACATTCCGCCAGGGAACATAACCTCAAATTAAAAAATTATTTTTCACAGAGAATCAATTCTAACAAGGAAGTGAAATTCAAAGATTTAATTAACCACGCGAGCATACGTTTAAAACATTTTAATTAAAGTTCGCCCCCCCCCCTCTGACCTCCCTTATTTTCCAATATTTTCGCGCGCCTGAAGATATGGAAAAACTTTCAACTCAAATGAGGAAATATCCTGGAAAAGTTATGATATAGTTTCAGTGGATAAGTTTACTTTGAATTTTTGTTTTTTAATCACTTTTATTTCAACAAATTTTTGAAAAATGAAACTTTTATAGATGTAAAAATAATAAAATATAATAAAATAAAAAAGTAATAATATAATAATATAATTTGTAATATAAATAAAAGTGAAAAATTTTATTTTTTTTAATTGTTTGTTTTTCTCTTTTTAGTTTTAAATGAGCCTCTTGACGATTTTCAAAGGGGGGGGGGGAAATGTATGAACTAACATGTTGGGTAGTTACAATAAGAGAGAATACTTGAAGCTGCGAAAGTGTGTAGACGGTAGACGAAGCAAGTAGTAAAGACTGCTGTTAGGTCAGACGAGAACTTCTTAGTTCTCAGACTTCATGAGACTTTCAACCTTCCAAGAATGCTAGAAACATATAGTTCCTTTGGGTATCGTATATATATATATATATATATATATATATATATATAGTGAAGAAAATCTCCTATTACGAATTTTACAGTCTTAAAATTTATTTGCCAAGTTTTATTGAAATAGTTTATTGTTATTATCATTAAAAGAAATTCGCACAAAAAATATTTATATCAAAGCCATTTCAATCATTAACATAACTTCAAATTAAAAAGTAGTTTTTAACAAAATTTTAAATTATTTTCGCCAAAATTCGAAAGTACAATTTTCAAAAATTATTTGTTAAATAATAATTAATTTTATCTGTAGTTTCATTTATAAAATCAACTTTTTGTTTGAGATTATGTTAATGGATTAAGCACCCTTTAAACTGAAAACAATTCCAATTCTTTTTCAATGATAAAATCAAATTTTTTTTCAAACTGGAAAGAAATAATATTTATTCTTCGTTTCTAATTTTTTATTCTTTGAAATTAGTTTTGAAAAATCGACTTCTTTTTTTTTAACTCTTCGAGTTGTAGTTAAATAACTTAATAACGGTTTTTTTTCTCAAAAAAAAAAAAAGAGAGAAAGGGGCAAAAAAAGACTTTCCGTTTATTAAACGAAAGAGAATTCACGAAGTAGTATAGCTGATTAAGGGGTTATGCCACTCTAGAGACCGAAAAAATAGGTGTTTTATGTGAATTTTTTTTAGAAAAACCATAAAGTCAATTAAAAATATAATATAAGAAGTTTATTATACATCTTTTTAGGTGTAAAAAAATAATTTCTTATAAATATTTCTTGAAGAATGGTGGCGCTGTAGCGGTCGTCCTTCGACTCCTCTATGGTTCAAGGGGTACGTGGCCGAACTAACTGCTCCTGTAAATTTTAAAATATCTTGATTATCTAAATTTTTTTTTATTATATATTACAATAGCTAAAGTAACACGTAGGATTTTTTCGATATATTAATTCATGATCAAATGGCGCACTTCTAAAGTTAAACTTTCTAATTTCGACTAAAAAACCATCAGTTAATAGTTAATAACAAATGAACTATATAGAATAAAAAAAAAATCCTACGTGATACCTTAAAAAATGTATTTTTAAAGATGTGTGTCAAATTTGAACCTAATCGGTTGGAAATTGTACGAGTTGTTGGTTCGGCCAACTCGAAAAATGTAGTTTGGAGATAAACGCGTTTAAAGTTTTAAGTTGTAAAAAACTTAAATAATTTCACAATACCTTTAATCTGCAATGCCTGCACCATATAATTGACCACTATAGTCTAGCAAGTAACTAGCGCCTTTGAAAACATCTGCCGTATACCTGCTGTAGATCCTTCAAATATTACCCCCCGTAGAACTTACAAAATGAGCTCGCCGCGTACCGTGCAGCCTTGCAAGGAACTTCGAAAATAAATTATTTAGAGATCTTTCCGAGCCATAATCCTGCAATATGTTATTTCTGAGACCCTAAGGAACTATTTAAAGCAAAAAAAAAAAAGCGATTTTTTGAAAATCCTAGAGTGGCATAACCCCTTAAATGAATAAATTCTAAGGTAAATTGACTTGGGGTAAAGTTTCATGTCGAACAATTTTAAAATCCAATTGCTATGTATTTGATATACAATTCTCTCAGAGTTATTGATTCACATGTATAAGAGACACACAACTACAGAAACGATGGTAAAATTAAATTGCAAAAATGCGATAGAAGCCGAGCGTCTTGACTTTTCCCTATGTCCCAACGGAAGTCAAGAAGGGAATGAGGTAAAATGGAGAAAAGAGAGAAAGAGAGAGAGAGAGAGAGAGAGAGAATATATTTGCAACGTGCACTTTTGGGTATAGGGTTGATGGAGAGAATGCAGAGAAAACTCGTGGGAAAATGCTATCGCGACTCTCACTATATTTTCTTTTTTTCTCGTTGGTGGTGGTAACAATACCTTCGACTAAAATGCCACGTGGTATTATGAAACTTGACAAAAGTGAAAAATAAAGATGGCACTCACATATGCAACTGACTTTTTTCAACTCAAGAATGCCCCTCTTTTTTTTCTCTATCTCTTGCTTTTTCTCCTCGCTTTATTCTCTCTTCAATAAACTTTGACGAAACCAAGTTTTTCAAAAGTCCCTTCATTCTGCATAAAATAATACTGAATATTAAATTCAAGTTTTTCTTTAATCAAAATTCAGAAAAATTTTCATTCACGTTAATTTATTTTATTTCTATGTTAATTAATTAAGAGCATTTGAACCTTCGTGACGTCACAAATCATGGCGCATGACACGCAAACTTCTCAGGTATGTGAAAAGCACAATTTTGAATATTTTTTAAAAAAACCTTTTGGAAAATGTTCAGAATAACATAGACTCTGTCTGTTATGTGCGGAAAATTCAAAATTTTGCGTTTAAAACGTTTTTTAAACAATGTTAAGGTCACAAATCATGGCGCATGACACGCAAACTTCTCAGGTATGTGAAAAACACAATTTTGAATATTTTTTAAAAAAACCTTTTGGAAAATGTTCAGAGAAACATAGACTATGTCTGTTATGTGCGAAAAATTCAAAATTTTGCGTTTAAAACGTTTTTTAAACAATGCCTACATATAAGCAATTCGTGTATTTTTCCTTACTTGTGACAACCAACTTAAACATTGTTTAAAAAACGTTTTATACGCAAAATTTTGAATTTTTCGCACATAACAGACATAGTCTATGTTTCTCTGAACATTTTCCAAAAGGTTTTTTTAAAAAATATTCAAAATTGTGTTTTTCACATACCTGAGAAGTTTGCGTGTCATGCGCCATGATTTGTGACCTTAACATTGTTTAAAAAACGTTTTAAACGCAAAATTTTGAATTTTCCGCACATAACAGACAGAGTCTATGTTATTCTGAACATTTTCCAAAAGGTTTTTTTAAAAAATATTCAAAATTGTGCTTTTCACATACCTGAGAAGTTTGCGTGTCATGCGCCATGATTTGTGACGTCACGAAGGTTCAAATGCTCTTAAGTACCCACTTATTAGCAATTACAATAATAATAATAATAATAATAATAATATAAAATAAATAATAATACTATAATAATTAAGTATAATTTATTTGCAATAATAATAATTATTCATAACATAATTAATTAATTTAATCAACTATTAAATGAAAATTTTTTAAATTTTTTGTTTAACATTTTTTTGAGAGATGTTTTTTTTAAACGTGTGAATAATTCTTTTTTTCAGAGGAAGTATTCGGTTCTAACAAGGCAATATGGTTCTCGCCGAGTGGAACAAAAATGGTCTTTGGATACTTTGACGACAGATATACGCCAATAATGAACCTTCCATATTATGGATATCCTGGTAGCATAACTTTTCAGTACACGTCAGTCATTCCCATTCATTATCCAAAAGTGAGTAAAAATTTCCTTCTTTTTATTTTTGTTTTAAAATTTATTGAGAGAAAAATTGATAACTGCAATTGTCAATAAATAAAAACATTTTTTTTTAATTATATTTTTCATTATAATCATAATTATTCCAATTATATAATAATTATTTTAATTATATAGATAATAATTAATTCAATTATAATATTATAATTATCGTATAATGATGTTTATAAAATAATTATTACAATCGAATTATACTATTACAATTATTTACAATAATTATTATTAAATAATAATTGGCTAATTAATTTTACATTAGTTAATTGCAATATCCAATTAAATTATTGTCATATTCAATTTAATGGATGAGAAGAGAATTCATCCAATTCTTATGGATGTGACCCAGTTATTCAATTTTTCCATGCATTCGAGTTTATAAAATTTATTCAAAAAAAAAAAAAAAAAAAATTGTCAATTTTGCAAAGTAACGAAATACATGAAATATTCTAGAGTCGAGAGAAAAAATCCACTATATATACCTACGATGCAATATTTCAGTATAATCATCTCTATTTCATCGTTATACGATCTCTGTTTACTTGAAATTTAATTACCATTTCCATATACATTTCATTCTTTTTTTTAATCCTATTTTTCTATTAGATTTTTTAAAATTTCTAAATTTTTTTTCTCTCTAAATTCAAATAAAAAAATTAAATTATATAATAATTTATATAAATTATAATTGTCTTTTTTAATTTTTATTTTTTTCTATGTAAAAAATACTACTTTTTTCAAGTATCTAAAATTAGTTCGTCTTCATTAAAAATGAGAGTTTTTTTTTTTTTAAGAAAAGAAAAATAAGGCGAAAATATATTTCTTTTTAAGTACAAGTAAATGTCAGGTATGCCAAGATCGTAATCGTTTTCTCCTCTCTTTTTTTTCCTACCCCCTTTAAGTTTTCCCTCGTTTGCGACGCAGAAACACGAGAGGAATTTGGGATTTGTTGCTCGTTGAAATTTTTAACGTTGGCGCGCAAACCCGATGCAAAAGAAACCTTTTCCTTTACTTTAGCTATGTGTATTTTCTTGGAAGATTTAAAATGGGTGAAAAAAAAAGTGCGAGGGAGACAGAGAAAAAGAATTGAGAAAAATTTGCACACAAGAAAAAAATAGGAGGGAAAAATAAGGAAAAAGCATATGAAAACCGTCTCATAAAGATTTTTCCTCATATCATCAAAGTCATTTTTATGAACGTTTATTAATGTCGTCTTCCTTGTCATGGGAAAAATGAAAAGCTAGTTCGTTGGGAAATTCCACAGTGAAGATAAGTGCTGCAACTTCTATGTAAATTTTTCACCAAGTTAACATCTATTCCCCTCTCTCTTTCTCTTTATTTTTTTTCTCGTTTCATCGTCTTTCATCTAAAGTTTGTCGAGCGACAAAAATTATCTGCTTTCGAACTTGTGTAATTTAAGTGTCAATATTTACAAGACTAAAAAAAAATCATGGATACACTGAAAAAAAATTTAATTCATTAATCGGTTATTTGACTATTATCAAAGTGATTTTTATGTTCCGGCTAAAAAAATTTTTTTATCTCATTTTTTTCGTGTTTTAAACAAAAACAGATATTTCGGGCAAAAGAGCAAAATGTCACAAAAACGCATGAAATTAAGAACTTGAAGAATTTTTTTTTAACCACATAAATGTAATTTTTCAATAGAAAGAAATATGTCCACTAAAGGTGAAAAGTTGTAAAAGTAATTTTCACTTTGAAATCAAATTCAACTTCGTTTTCCTTTTTCCGTCCAAAAAGAAAATCCATTTTCCTCAAAAACGAATTTTCTCTAACGCGCCACGTTACCAATTCTCAGATGAAGGGCAATTTATTTTCTTGTTATTTCTTTAGACTTTGAATCTTATTTCTCTTTTAACATATCACATATCAATTGGATTTTTTTAATTTTTTCATAAATAAAAAAAAAAAGATAAGTAAAGTTTCGTCTTTAATGAAAACTAACCCGTCCTTGATGAAAAGTTCTTTCTCTAATTAAAGTTAATTTCTGCGTAATTAGAGGAAGCCGAGAAAGTGAGAGAGAAAGATAATTGCAATTACAGACAAGAAACCAATATAAAAAGCAGAAAAAAAAAGAAAAATTGCAGATAAAATGAGAACGTATTGTACGCGAGAAAATCGTATATTGAAAATTCATTGAAGGCTTTAACAAGATGTCTGATCGATCTCAATCGAACGACATAGTTGACAATTTCGATGCTTTACGACCCCGTCTTGGTAAGCAATTCGATAGCCAATTTCAGTGGCTCTCGCTATCGGTGTCGGATAATAGAATTCACGCAATGAACGGATTTTCCGGTCGAATGAACAGGAATAAGTTTACAGGGAGTTTGCCAAAAGAAAAAATACTTATTCGTTTTCGTGCCTATAAAAAGAAAGAGTAAAATGCGCCTTAAAGTGATTTTAAGGGGCGAATCCCTGGTGCGGTTGAAAGATACCAATCTCATCGAGGAGAGGAAAACGTAGAGAGAAAGAGAGAGAGAGAGACAAGAAGAAGGTGGTTTTCACTTCTTTATAGTATCCACCTTACGAACCTTTAAATCCTAAATTCTTCCCTGTCCCAAAGGTCTAGTCTCTGTATTTTTCAGCACATTCGCCTAAAAAAAAAAACGAGATCGATGGGAAAAATAAAACTTGCATTCGCCAAAACGAAAAACAACAAGGGTTATTTTCTAAAATATTTCTTTTCTCCAAAATACTTAACTATTATCAAATAAATATTTACTAAATAAATTCTGAAAGCGCTAATTGAATTAAATAAACCGTATTTGAATCAATAATTTCTGTATTTGAAAGAAATACCACTTATTTGATGCAAATAAATATTTATTTATTATTAATAGTCAAGTAACCGATTATTTCAATTAAATTGTTTTACAGTGTACTACGTTTTACTAAATTTTACCAACAAAATAAAAAATAATCCTAATTACAAAATAATTCTTTTCAATTTTTCTTTTAATGAATAAAGGACAAAAAAAATTGAAAATCGCATAACAACTTTTTGAGAACCATAAACTTGTCCAAATGTTATTCAGCCTTGTCTGGAATTTCTTAGGAATTTGTCCCGTAACACGGAAAACGTGCCGCAATATTCGTACGTCACTCATTCTGAAATTATACTGCTCGTGGAATGTCTTTGCTATTTAATCTACACTCTACACTTGGCAAGATTGTTTAAACTCCTTGACAGTTTATGTACAAGGTTTGCCTTTTGCGAATTGGACCAAATGATGATTACATACCTTTGATTCCAAAACGAAATTAGTGAATTAATTTCTAATTAGATAAACACAAATAGAAACAATCAAATTTATCTAAACCTATTTAATTAAAAAAATTAAAAAAATATTTTTTAATTCCCATTCTTCTAAAAAAATTAATTTAAAACACTGAAAGGTGCGGTTGAAAATTTAATTTCCAAAAAAGACAAAAAAAAAACCCTAACCTTAAAGTGGAAAAATAAACTAAAACAAGACCCTTTGACGTGTGTTGACTAAAATAACCACAGGTTCATAATTTACACAGAGAAGCAGTATATAATATGTATATACATATATATATATAAAAAAAAGGGAATGTAAAAAAAAATAAAAAGGGACCTCTCTGAGAACATTTCCTGGAAAGTGGATGCCTTAGTCGTAAAAGCTAACGATCCGAGAAGTTAATCGCGAGAAACATTCGCGACTTGAACTCCCTGAGCAATTTCCCCTTGAATTCAATAGTGTCGACAATGGCAAAGCCAATAATGGTATACAGAACTAGAATAATAGTAATAATATCGTTGTATGCTTTCAATATTATGTCTCCTCGGCTATTCAACAAAATGTAGAATATATTCAATTTGAAAACTACAATTTTCATATATATATATACATTCGAAATTATTTCCAATAAATGAGAATATTATCATTTAAGAAAGGAAAAAATTTTCTTCTCAAAATTTTATCATTTATACGATTTAGAAAAAAAAAAATATAATTAAAAAATTTTTTGCAATATTTCTCGATCAACAATTAAAAACAAAAATCAAAATAGGCAAAAAATTATTATTTTCCAAAAAAAATAATTTCCGATTTCTTTTTTCAAAAGGCAACATTTTTTTTTTTTCTGCGAACAAAATTGATAATAAAAATATATTATACTCGTGTGTTTTCATTATATAAATATCTAATATCTATGTATATATGAAAAACTTGAAAATTCAAGAAGCAACTAAATTGTTTCTCCCTGAAAATGTAGAACACACAAAACTTGAATAAAGTGGATAAAATGCAGCCTTGAGCGATATGGAATCCCAAAGTGAAAAGGGAATCAAAACGCGCGCGCGCACACACACACACAAAAAAAAAAAAATAAAAAAAACTTTTTCGACGAAAATTCTTCAAAGGCAGTTTGAATATTTCAATGTAAACAGTTTCTTCTCTTTAAAAAATATCAACAATCCAATTAGTAACCTGTTTACCTTTTCTTTGAGAGAGCTCAGCTTTATGTTTTTAGAAAATAAAAAATATTAATTTTAATATAAAATAATAATAAATTTGCTAACATTGTAATTTAAAAAAAAAAAAAAATGAAATTATATTTCACATTATTGTATTTAGGTCAACAAATTTTCAATTAAAATAAATAATTTACAATTGAAATTAAAAATTATTAATATAAATTATTAATAAATTAATAAAAAATTATTAAACTAATTATTATTATTATTATTATTATTATTATTATTATTATTATTATTATTAAAATTATTAATTATTACATTGGAAAAACAATTATTTGATACAAATAATAATCAATTACTTGACTATTATTAAATAAATATTTATTTGTATTAAATATTATTTGAGTATATTTTATTAGAGTCAATTAAATGGCGTTTGTTTGAAATACAGAATTTATTAAAATACACAGTTTATTTAATTCAAATAAAAATTATTTGGTTCAAATAAATATTTAGTTAATAATAATAGTCGATTATTTGAATCATATTAATTTTTTTTCGTAACCCATAATATTTTCGTAAAAGTATTCAATCAATTTTCTCTGTATGTGATAATGAATTGATTAAAAAGTTTTCTTTTTTCTTTTTTTTTATAATGAAAAACAAATGTTTTCTGTTTTTAGAGTGGAACAACGAATCCAACAGTGAAATTGTACTACGTCGATTTAGAGAAAGTACTAATAGAAAATGCAACTCTAATTGAAATAGAGGCACCGCCTCATCTCGATGGTAGGGAATCTATTCTGGCAGCAGTGAATTTTCCAACTGAGAATATTGTATCGGCAACATGGATGAATCGAGTTCAAAATGAATCCTATTTTCATCTTTATGATGTTATTACACAAAATAGCACAACGGTGAGATTAATATTTCATAATTAATTATTATATTACAAACAAATAAATAAAATATGAAAAAAATTATTTCCTTCAATTAATTCAAATTTGAAAAATATTTATATCAATAAAAAAATATATATATTTGATTCAAAATAACTTTGCAATTATTTGAATTTTATTACCGTAAATAAATTCTTAATTAGATCAAGTAATTAATTGAATCTAGTAAATAATTTCTTTAAACATAATAACAAGTTTCTTCAATTTATTTATTTAACTGAATTTTTTTTAAAACTAAATTGTGAATTTGTTTCAAGTTATGTTTTGATCCAAATTAGTATTTATTTATTTACGTATATATAAATTATAAAATAAAATATTTAGATCTATTAAATATTTATTTGGTTCAAATAAATATTTAATTCAATAATTCAATAATTAACAAGTAAATCATTTATTTGAATTAATTTTTATTTGGGTGAAATAATTTTTTTTTAAATATTAATTATTTTATTATTTATGAAAGAAAAATGTATTTTCGAATTAAATTGGTTTCTCTATATAATTTTAATGAGCTAATGTACCTTGTGCGAAGTTGGCTTTTGATAAATAGTCAATTAAATAGTAATGATTCTGATATGGTTTAATAATCTTCTTTACATGCTTAAAGGTACTATCATATGCGGAGGCAAAAGGTTGGGTGGATCAATTTGAGCCACCATTATTTAGTAAGGATGGAACGTCGTTCCTTTTGATCTTGCCACAGAAACAAGGTGACAGCGGCGATTGGAAGCATTTAGTACTTGTTACAAACGCAACCACAGATACCAAGACAACCGCACTAACTTCCGGCACCTTTGTTGTCACGGAAATTATCTCATGGGACGAAGACAACCACTACATGTGAGTAATCACATTCATTTGCAACTATATAGTCAAACTTGTTGACCATGTCAATTAATTGAGCATATAAAATCATCATTAATTGTTTCCGATTTGGAAATTTCATTCAATAAAATCATTAATTTTTTGTTTTAGAAAACAAAACACTGGTAATTGTTAAGAGATTATTTTATTTATAATAATTGATTCTAATACGTATATGTAAATTTCTTTTTACAATCTTGAATTCTCAAAATTATGCGCACAAGCTGCGAGCTGTAATTTAAAAAAAAAAATGTCAAAATTAAAGAAAAACAAAAAAAATATTAGATTTGAAATAACAAAACTTACTGCTACTAAATCTTCTACAAATATTGGTACAACACTCGTTATTATTATCACATGCCACTAATGTACCTTTACATCCAAAAATTTCTGTTATGAGAAAACTCATGCACAATAGTGCGAAAAGTAAAATAATTGAAAGATGCATTTTCCCTTACTAATAAAATTTTCTTCATTGAATCACGCTTTTATATCTAAGAAATTTTTTATTTTTTCTTATATTATTTTTGATAATTATGTTGAAAACAAGGAAAACTAAAATCAATATACGGAAAATTACTCAATGAGTCATTAAATGACGCACGTCAATTACAATTAACATAATTGCAATAATCAAGAGAATTTTTATAAAAAAAGAAATAGCTGCAATTTTTTTTTACAGACAGAAAAATCTTTATCTCAAGAATAGAGAAAATTTTGTTTTGAAAAAAATTGAAATCAACTTCTTGTCTAGGAATTTTTTTTTCTTTTACACTGAAAAAAATCGGTTACTCAAAAATAAATATTTACTTGAATTAAATAAAAATTATTTGAATTAAATAAACTCTATTTGAACAAATATAAATTTTGTATTCGAAATAAATGCCATTTGATTCAAATACTCAAATAATAGAATAGAAAGATGTAAACCGGAAGTTCGTCCGAAACCGAAAGGTGTGTACTATGAATAAATAATAATAATACTCAAATAATATTTCATTTAAATAAAATTTCATACAAATAAAAATTATTTGATACAAAATTAGATTTTTTTACAAATAAAAATACTTTCTCTATGTGAAAGCAATTACTTTTGATATAAATAAATATTTATTATTAACAGATTATTTGAATAAAATAAATTTCTTTTTAACACTGCATTCGAAAAATTTGAAACTAATTTGTAAATAAGAATAAATAGATCTTTTAAGAAAGCCGCAAATTTCTGTGTTAATGTGTCACTGTCGGATTTGGGCAATCGGATTTTCGGCAAAATCTTGCACTGCATCCGTAGTGAATTAACCTCCAAGTTAAAGCACCATAATTTTCTCAGAGCGGGCCCTTTATAACCACCGCTTTCACGTTTCTAGCTCCCTAATTAGATTGCTGAACTAAAGAGTGGATATCAGCCGTTCAGCTCTTAACAGAGGGTCTGATAAACTGAGTTAATTGCCCTGGCGCCGGAGGATTCTGTCATCAAAGTCAGTTTTTGCTTAGCCCGTCTAACTGCCGACAGTTTTTGTCCAAGCCTTTACTAAAATATACTATCTCTCTCTATCTCTCTCTCTTTCCCTTATGTTGCGTAAAATCGCTCTCAATGTTACTCATGTTGTTACAAGAGAAAATTTGTCTCCCGTTTTCCTCTCATGTGTATCTGTATTTTGAAGATTCAATTACTGTTGCACATTAAGGATCTTCATTCTACTAAAATATCTCAACCGGAAAACTACTCCTCTTTATCTTTTCTAATTTGAAAAATGTACTATAATATATCTCGTTTGTTAAAAAGTTTTTCTAATAACTTTTCATCTTAAAAACAGTGACAAAACAATCTAAAAAAATATAACAAATTTTTTTCTTTCTTTAAATTAATTATTCTTTAGTATTGCTATTATAATGAAAAAAAATTTAAATAATCGGTTATTTTATTTATCAAATAAATATTTCCTTAAACCAAATAATTTTTATTTGTACCAATTAAATTAAAAATTTTAAATAGTTAATCAAAAAAATATTTTCCTTTTTGAAAAATTAATTTTATAATTAATATTGAGAAAACAGTTAATTAAAAAAAAAAATCTCTAGACACGTTTATTTTATATTCCACTATTAATGGCGCAAGATCTTTTATTTTCTCTCTACAAGCTTCGATTACTTCTGTAACAAAAGCGAGGAGAAAAATAATTACAAAGAACGCAATTGTTAAGAGAAGCATTTTTTAAAAATAATACTCTGTTAAATATTGTCCCGATGTTTAGATATATTTTTTTCCCATAAAGAAAAATGAAAATTGTTTTTTTTCTTTTTAAATAAAAACAAAGAAATAATATATTCTTTTTTTAAACAACTTTTAATTCAGTAAAATTTCAATTATTCGAATTAAGAGATTTAAATTGTCTTTGTTTTTTTTTTTTTTTTTGCTAAGAATATTTTAAACATGAAGAAAGTTATTATTTATGATTATAGTAATTGAAGCATTAAATTTTGCATGAAATTGAAATTTCAACCTTCATTAGGTTACACTGCTGGATCTCAAACTTAATTTCAAACATGTTATAAACAAGAAAATTTAGGAGGGCAAATTTTAATGACAGTATCCATAAAAAAAAAATGATGTAATATTAAATTACATTTAAAAAGTAACGAAGAATAATTGAATTTTTTTTCCATACTTGAGAATTTTAAAAAATTATTTTTATATTCTGATAAAAAAAAAAACATGTATAACATATTGTAATATAAATATAATAAAAAATTGTAAAACATTAATAGCCTTAAGGGATGGTAGAAAGAATGTGAAATGAATAAACTTTTTCGTTTAAATTTTCATATTCACAAAGAAAAAAGGAAAAATTGATGTTTAATTTTTTAATGTAAAAATTTATTTTTAATTATTATTAATGGAAAAAATAAATTCTCAAACAAGGAAACTTTTTTTTGATACAAACTTGCAAAACGCGATGCAAAAGATTTTCTCCCCCTCCCCCCCCTCACCCCCTGTTAGATATATGTTCCTCATTATTTTTCCAGTGTGAACGAATTTCACGACAGGAGGGATTCGGTTTTCATCGTTACAGGATTATTCTCAAAGCCTGGTAGCTTTTATCTCCGGACACCTAGTATAAGCCGATAGAGATACTTCTACGATAAAGGGCCAACACACATACACACATATATATATATACACAACGGACTTCGAAATTGTTTGAAGGAAGAAAACATTAATTTTGCGAGCGTATAGTATAAGAGGGATCAAAAGCAAGGGGTACTTCCTTCCTTCCTTCCAACAACTTCGCCATAGGACAAGGTTGAATTTTGAATAGTCTCATGGGATTAGAATGCAAGCGAACCAACTTGAAATTGCTCCCTCTCGAACTTTCATCGCCTTTCATAAAACATATAATTCATCGCAAAGGATCCTCTTTACTTGAAAACTATTTCCCCCAAGACACTATGCTTTGATTTAGTAATCTCAATTTTTTTCTATAATCTTATATGACGATTTTTTTTTTCAGAAAAAAAATAATAATTTTAGAAAGTTATTTTTTCTCAATGATAAATGAGAAATAAATATAGAAAAGAAAAAATGTTAAATTTTTTTTTTCCCATTTACATTTAAGCATAAATAAGAAAAATTTTGAAGGAATAAGACAGGTAAATATTATTTAAAACAAAATTTATAAAACTACAAAAATAAAAATTAGTAAAATTTTAAAAAAACTTCAGGTAAAAATAGAGAAATTTTTTTTTTTTAATAATTAGTCTCCCAATTTTTGCTCAACTAAAATTATTCCCAAGGAAAAGAAAAACATTATTCATTTTTTAAGTTTTAATGATTTTATTCATAATATTTATTTATTATTCGTTTCCAAAGTATACGCATTATTTGAATTGATAAAAAAAATTATAATGTAACATATTAACAATTTATAGAAAAAACACTCCTCATTTATTTAAAGACTTTTTTTTACTCCATTTATAATATTAGTTTTCAAATTATGTACAAAAAGGATAGAATCCTGTTATAAAATCAATTATTAAATAAAGAAAAAATTTATATTCTTTATTCAAAAGTAAAAAATTATTATTTAGAATAATGAAACTCACTGAGTTTAATTGAACAGCTTTTACTGCAACATTCTTCATTTTTTGTACATCTTATATTACGATCTAAACATTGACTGACAATTTCTGGTACTAATAAACTCACACACAATAGTGTAAAAATGACAATTATTGAAAAATACATTTTTCCTTTTACAATTGATAGAATTCACTAGTGAACCTCCTTTTTTATATAGACAAAACGTGCGTTTTAAATTTTTGTACATTCAAGATTAAATAAGGAAAATTCTCAAGAAAAATGACTAAAAATATTATTAAAAAAATATTTATAAAAAAAGAAAATTGCAAAAAAATAGTTAAATTTAAATTAACGTGAGATCAAAATAAGAACCAACATTTTTAAAAATCAGGTATGATGGAAAAGAAAAATATTGTTCAAGTTTCAAAGATTTTATTTAGATATTTATATTAATTCATTTTCAAAATATACGCATTATTTGAATTGATAAAAAGATTTTAATGTAGCATATAGTTAGCAATTTATAGAAAATAAAAAACAATTCTCATCTTTCAAATTTTAAGGTCTCTTTTTTATCCCATTTAAAATATTAGATTTCAAATTATTTGCAAAAAAGATTGAATCCTGTAATAAAATTAATTATTAAAGAAAAAATTTGTTATTTATTCGAAAATAAATTATTTTTAGAATAATGAAACTTACTTATTCTCTTTGAACAGCTATTGCTGCAACATTCTTCATTTTTTTTACATCTTTTATTACTATCTAAACATTGACCAACAATTTCTGATACTAGTAAACTTACACAAAATAGTGTAAAAACGACAATTATTGAAAAATGCATTTTTTTTTACAATTGATAGAATTTACTAGTGAACCCCCTTTTTTATAAAGACAAAATGTGTGCTTTAAATTTGTGTACATTAAAGATTAAATAAGGAAAATTCTAAAGAAAAATGACTGAAATTTTATATTAAAAAAATATTTATACAGAGAGAAAATTGTAAAAAATACAAAATAGTTAAATATAAATTCAACGTGAGATAAAAATAAAAACCAACATTTTTTTCAATTATCTTTCTAAATTTTTGCTTAACAAAAATTATAATCAACTATAGATGGAGAGGAAAAATATTATTAATTTTTCAAGTTTCAAAGATTTTATTTAGATATTTATTTATTCATTATTTTATTTATAATTAATTTTCAAATTATATTGTTTGAATTGATAAAAAAATTTTAATGTAACATATAGTTAGCAATTTTTAGAAAATAAAAAACACTCCTCATTTTTCAAAATTTTAAGGACTCTTTTTTTATCCCATTTGAAATATTGGATTTCAAATTATTTGCAAAAAAGATCGAGTCCTGTAATAAAATTAATTATTAAAGAAATTTTGTTATTTGTTCAAAAATAAATTATTTTTAAGATAATGAAACATACCTAATCTAATTGAACAGCTATTGCTGCAGCATTGTTCATTTCTTCTACATCTTTTACCACGATCTAAACATTGACTGACAATTTCTGGTACTAGTAAACTCACACAAAATAGTGTAAAAACGACAATTATTGAAAAATGCATTTTTTTTACAATTGATAGAATTCACTAGTGAACCACCTTTTTTATAAAGACAAAACGTGTGCTTTAAATTTGTGTACATTAAAGATTAAATAAGGAAAATTCTCAAGAAAAATGACTAAAATTTTATATTAAAATAATATTTATACAAAAAGAAAACTAAAAAATACAAAATAGTTAAATTTAAATTAAACGTGAGGTAAAAATAAGAATCATCATTTATTTGTCCTAATTTTTGTTTGAAAAAAATTTTAATCAACTACAGATGGAAAAAAAAACATTGTTTATTTTATTTTTTATTTTATTTATAATATCCTTTTGCCTTCCAAATTATGCGCATTGTTTGAAATGATTAAAAAATCATAATGAAAAATATATATATATATTTTTTATTTTTTTTTTATTTAGAATTTAGAACGTCGCATCGACTGCCAGGGTCATTAGCGACGTGTACAATGATATTACAGTGTTTAAATTAAATGAAAAATATAGTTAGCAATTAATGGAAAAAAACTTCCTTATTTAAAAAATTTTAAAGACTTCTTCTTTATTTCATTTATAATATTAGTTTTCAAATTATGAACAATAGAACCTTGATCCTGTAATAAAATCAAATTTTTAAATAAAGAAAAAAATTTATTATTTATTTAAAAATAAGAAATAATTACTAGAATAATGAAACATACTTTGTCTAACTGAACAGCTATTACTGCAACAATTATCATCTCTTACACATCTTTTACCACGATCTAAACATTGACCGACAATTTCTGGTACTAGTAAACTCACACAGAAAAGTGCAAAGAGTGCGATTATTATTGAAAGACGCATTTTTCTTCAATTAAAGAAATTTACTACTGAACCCCATATTTATATAAAAACAAGTGCGCTTTAAATTAAGGTATATTTAAAAAAAAAAAATAAACAAGGAAAATTTGTAATTATAAAAATAAAATTTTTTTATTTTTATTTTAAACAAAATATTTTTATTATTTGCAGTAAATACATGTAAATAAATAAATTTGTAATAAACAGTTTAAGAAAAACCTAAATAATGAAAATTTATTTTTTGATATGTACTTATGCAAAAAAAAAAGCTCTTATTTTTTTTACAAGAAAAAAAAATTATTATTCTAACACAATTTGTACAGTCTTATTTCTTAAAAACTTTCCTTATTATTATTACTCTTTTTTTTGAGGTGATTAAACTTATTCCATTCAAAATTTTTCTTTATTCTTAAATTTAATTTAATTAATTATTTAATTTACTGTAATTTAATTTAATTTAATTGGTAATAATTTTTAGTAAATACATCGAAAAATAAAAGTGCAAAGAGAAATATCACATCAAAATAAATTGAGAATATTTTTCTCTCAGGGTAAAATAATTTTAAAAAACTTTATTATACGACTATTTTTATTTAAAATTAAAAAATCAGTAATTATAATTAAAAAATTTTAATTAATTAACTATTGAAATATTGTTTGGCGGCATCAATCATTTAAATTAATATTATTTGAAACTTTCAATTAATTGGAAATATTTATTCATTATTAAACCTGCACTGCTGTTTGAAATATTTTTTCCTTTTATTTGTACAAAAAACATGCGAACGTCAATGACATTTCGTTTATTTTTTCAAGATTAAAAATAATATTCTATTTTTCCTTTAGACGAATTTTATCAATTTTAAAAATATCAATGTTACCAAACACTATTTATTTTACTAATGTTTTTTTTTTTAATTGTAATTCACTTTTTTATATGCTTAAACAATTTAATTTTGATAATTTATAACATTTCCATATTTTAATTAATATAAAATAAGTATATGAAGAATAAAATTTAATAATCAAAGTGTGAATAGAAAATGTTTACATTTTTTAAAATCATATGGAAATGTAGAATTATTTTCTTTTGTCTAATTCAACTAGAAGAAGTAGAATTCAGTTATCAGATCTTTTTTTATTCTTGCAAAATAAATTTAAAGACGAACGGTCACGTCCGGAGTCTCGTAATTCAATACCTTACGAGATAATGGCTCTGGGGTTTGAGCGCATCTCCCGAGTTTCGTGGGTGAAGGGTTGAATGTGGTAGTGATAAAGACAAGGTCCACCGCAACGGAAGCAGGAACACATACACACAGACACCATAAGGATGTTCCCCGTATATAACAACAAGATGGATGGGTTCATGGGTCATTCACAGCAAATTAATTTGAGCATCCTGTTAATTTAGCCTATCACAAGAGATCGATCCTCGTTTCTCGCGAGTGCTCTCTCTCTCTCTATATATATATATAAAGTTCACGTATCATTTTCGGGACAGTTGAGAAAGTCAAAGACGAACAGTTTTTTTATCTCTCTCTCTCTTTCTCTACTGGTTAATGAAGATCGATCGATGTGCGCCAATGAAAAGAGAGAAAACTCTCTCTCTCTCTCTCTTCTGGCAAACCGTAATCTCCTTTTCACCATTCTTCGCGCGCAAAGGGTTTCCTTTCAACAACCCGAGAGCAAATCTCATCTCATACAGCGCGCGAAGAAGATTAGAACAGAGCGAATGATTGCCAGTTCCCCGGGCCGCGTCATCAATTATCCGAATTTATGATTGACCTACTTTCTCGAAAAGAGGAAAAAAACCTTCTTTATTTTTTCAAAAGATCTGAAAAATCACAAATATCGTTTTATACATTCAGAAAAAAATTTATTTCATTCAAAGACTATTATCAAATAAATATTTATACTTTAACCAAATAATTTTTATTTAAATTAAATAAATTTTATATAAACCAATAATTTCTCTATTTAAAAGAAATACCATATCTCAAATAACAAGAAACAAATAAATATTTATTTGATAATAGTCAAGTGTAATCAATTATTTGAATCAAATAATTTTTTTTTTTTTTTCAGTATATTCACTCGATTCGGGTTTTCTTTTCCTTTTAAATCAATTATAAAACAAAAAATATATCCAGTTTCCATTGCTTGTTATTATTAATATTTACAAAATTGAAAGAGGAGAAGTAGAGACAATTAACTAGAGGCGTATACTACCTACTACAATGCACCTTTTCGCCGATTTATTTAGAGTTGCGCGAAATACGAATGCGCCCCACGGGGAATGAATGCAAATAGGTACCCCTCTCTCTCTCTCTCTCTTTACTTTTTTACCATCCCTTTTGTGCAAAATTAATTCCGACTACAGTTTTTAATAAAGCCACAGCCAGCGGCGGCCATGAATCACGAGAAATTACTATGTCGCGAGAGTGGGCCAATAAACGCGACACTTTTTTTTTTTTATTTTTTCCTTTTTTTTTTTTTGACTCGTCTACGCCGAAAAGCTCTCAATGGCCCCGCAACGAGAAAGAGAGACGGGATATTATTCTCGTGGTATCAGCATCGTTTTTCCCATACCGACAATCTCTCCGGTCACTGCGTGTTTATACAACGCTTCGTGCGAAAGTCACAAAAAAAAAAGGTCCGACCCGATATACTAGTTAGCATTTTGGAAACAGGAAAAGGAAATTCTCTAAAGTGCGACGTGAATAAAAGCACATATAATAACAACAATGTTATTGTTATAAATTTTTAAATAAAATGAAAAATTAATTTTTATTGTTAGAGAACAAATTGTAATTTTAATGACATTCCGGGAAAATTTAATAAAATCAAAGCAATTAATTTTGAGATTTTAATTAATATTATTATAATTATTATTACTATTTTTATACTATAATAACGTTATAAAATGTATGTATTTCGAATTTAAAATATACACACATCTGTCATTGTTGATTTATGTCTCGATAATAGAAAATTGACTGCAGAACTGCATTGGTAGTAAATTAATTATATCGGAAACTGGCTTTAATTATGATAGATATAAATGAACAGAACATTCATTATTATTGGCCTATAGTCAATTACATCTCTAATGTGATACTAATTACTAGAGTTTTGGTTTAATTAACATTCGCATATAATCGAAATAACTCATTCGATATTTATTGTTATAGAAAAAAAATTTATCATTTAACTATATCAATAAATTATAACAATAATATTAATTTTTATTATATAATAATCTATAATACAATAATAATAATAATAATAATAATGTCTATTATTAGTAGTAATATTATTAAAATTTTTATTATCATTATTATTATCGTAAAACGCTTATTAATTCGAATAATTGATTTACAACTGTTTTCTAATTCTAATTAACTAATTAATAATTACATAATAATTAATTCGAATTCTAAATTCCTATTTAAAAAAAGTCGAATTGTCAGGAAAAAAAATAGTATAACCAATATTTTCGTTATATTATCATATGTAATTCTACAAATTTTTGTTTTCTTTTTGTTGCAGATATTATTTGGCAACATTGGAAAATGATCCAGCACAACAGCATTTGTATCGAGTATCAACATTGTATAAAAATTTTAAATCAGAATGTCTCAGTTGCAATGTTAAGAGCAAATCTGATGGCGTTCAATGTCTCTACAATCTAGCAAAGTTTTCACCCGGTAATTCACACTACGTGCTCACCTGTGCTGGTCCAGGAGTACCGGATATTTCTATCTATGACAAAGTAAGTCGTCCGCCCCCCCCCCCCCCTTACACCCTCAATCTCGTTCATCGAAAGTATACATCATGAGAGAAAAAGAGTGAGAGAAAGAGAGAATCGGAAGTACGCGCCTGATTCGAAAGGAGGAGGCAAAAGACGAGAATAAGAAAGACGTGTCTTGACTTCGGGGATGAGATAGGATTTCCATCTCATATTGCCTCGTCGAGGAAAAATGAGATTTCATCTTCCATCATGCCAATGACACCCTCACTCCCTGTTTTTATCCCAATGTGTTTCAAAATCTCTTCGTTCCTTGGCCTGATTATCTGATTCTACCAAAGTCAATTTAGAAAATTTTTTTTTTTTAACAAAAAAAATCAAATAAAATTTTCAATTTTGACAGAAATGAGAACGCATGACTGATGACACACTGAAAAAATATATATTTGATTTAAATAATCTGTATGACACTGAAGTTGAATCAACGAAAAGAATTTTTTTTTTTTTTCCCTAAGATTGAATATTTCCACACCTTAGTTGAGGATTTTTAGTGTTTAAGGATGTATTTGGGACCAAAATAAAGAAGTTTCAATTTAAAAAAATTGGTTCTTGACCTTTAAACTAAACTGAAAATGAAAAATTCGATTCGTCAAATCAACGTTGGTAACTTCAGCGTCATTAATCTGTTATATTATCAAATAAATATTTAATTTAACCAAATAATTTTTATTTCAATTAAATAAACTGTATTTGGAACAATTATTTCTATATTTGAAATAAATACCATTTAATTGACTCAAAAAATATTTGGTTCAAGTAAATATTTATTTGATAATAATAAAGTAACCGATTATTTGAATCAAATAATTTTTTTTTTTTTTCAATAGTACGAATTTACAGAGAAAAGAGAGGTAAAAATTTGCCCTAAACAAAGATTTTATTCAATTTATTATTACATTGAAATTAAAATAATTATACATGAAATTTTTTTACTTGAAACAGCGATAAGTTTCACTGGGACAGAGATATGTTTCACTAAAACAGAGAAAGTTTTCGCTATTCTAGAGAAACATATCGCTGTTTGAAATAAAAAAATTTTTTCCATATATTTCATTAATTATTTAATGAACTAGGATTTTAAAAAACAAAAATCTTTTTTATTCAACAAAATAGAAAAAAAGGAATCAATTTCAAAGGTTCAATGATAATTTATGAATATGTGCGATAAAAAGAAAATATATACAACATGGATGAGACTGGATTTTGAAATGCAATTTTGCTTCCGGTAATAAAATGAAAGGGACTCGAGAAATATATACAGGCACCCACTTAAAAGTCCAAGAGCAAACTCTCGTCGTTTCGCAGAGACTTGGTAAGTGGGTCTGGTCCCTCTTGAAAAAGAGTTTAAAACTGGATCGATCGCTCGTTAATAATATTCTCTTTTATCACTCCAAGAGACGAGAGAACGCTCAACTGAATATATATATATATATATATATGTGCCTCACGTGTATAATCGTACTCTCATAAGTGCGAGAAACCGCTATATGAAAAATCTCAAAAAAAAATGACACGAGAAAATTAAAAAATTTTCTTTAAAGAAACTGAACTTGTTAATAATCAGAATTTAATAATATAATTAATATTTAATAATGTTTAATAATATAATAGTAATGAAATAAAATAATAATAGAATAGTAATAAAATAAATTAATAATATAATAGTAATAAAATACATTAACAAAATAAATATATATATTTGTTTATTTTTAATTAATAATTAATTATTATGCATTGATAAAAGTTAAATCGTTAACAATATATTTTATTTTACATTATTATTATTATTGATACATAAAACAGTATTAATTTTTTGCAGTATAAAATATACTTATTTTGAAACTTTTTTTTTTTTTAAATCTCCAGTATTTATTATCACCACATACCGCAATGACTTTCAATTGTTTGAAACATTATTATAAATTACTTTTAGTCACACATACTCGAATGACATTTGTTACTACAACATTTTGTATGATGGTCACATTTTGCTCCCCTATGTAAACAATGTATGACTTCACCTGAGATGCAAGTCATATATAAAAATACTAAAATTGCAACAATTGAAAAATGCATTTTTATTTTTTAAACTGATGTAATTTTTCGTTTGCTCATCTGCGCTTTTATATACCGTTTAAATGCTATTTCAGTTTTGTAAATTATTGAGAAAAAAATAAGGAAAATTTGTTATTCGTTATTTGACGTCAAATATATCCTTCATTGTATTTTTTTTTAAATTTAAAAATTATTTTTCTCATTTTTTTTTTCTCATTTATCAATTTTAGTCAATTTTGATACGTTGGTGATTACAGATAAATTTATTCGTAAAAAAAAATACTCCAGATACAGTTAATGATGATTTTTCTTCATATTCTCTTTCAAGATTATCCACACATGTTAATTACTATGGGAAAAAAATATAAGTAAGTTATAATTTAAAAAAATTATAGAGAAAAATATAATTTAACATTAAAAAACCAAAAGAAACAAAAAAAAAAAAACTTTAAAAATTGAACAAATAAAAATTTTAGGTAAATGAAAAAAATTGATTTATTCTTAAAACAAGACTTACGACCACGGGGAATACAAATCAAACTACAACAGGCATCATTATCTACACATGGTGTATTTTTTTGCAAACACGTACTCGTGGCTTCTTCAAAGAAGAAAGCCATACACAAAAATACTAAAATTACAATTGAAAAATGCATTTTTCTAACTGTTGTAATTTTTTGTTGATGATCAGCGCTTATATATACCGATAAGATGCTATTTTCGCGTTTTGTAAATTAATGAGGAGGAAAAATAAGGAAATTTTTTTATTTGTTATAGTAGATAAAATTCGATTTTTCAAAATTGACAAAAACAAAAATTTTTTTTAACTAAAGTAATTTTAATTTTACACTGAAAAAAAATTATTTGATTTCAAATACATAATTTTATACATATAATAATAATAAATTCAAATACATAATTATCAAATAAATATTTACTTGAACCAAATAATATTTAAAACCAATTGAATTAAAAAAAAAAACTATTATTTGAACGTCAATAATTTCTGTATTAGAAACAAATACAAATATTTGGAAAAAATATTGAATAACAAATAAATAGAAAAATACCTTGGCTGAAATAATAATTATTTTATGTAAATATTTATTTAATAATCGTCAAATAACCAATTATTTGGAATCAAATAAATTTTTTTCACCTCATTTATATTAATTACTGATTGTTAAAAAATTCGCGAATTAAACTAATTAATTATAATTGCTATACATATAATTAATTACAAGTTGTTAATGTAATAGGACTTTTGGAATAATCAGAAATTCCTGCAACGCTATATATAAATTTATCGCAATTCTAGTGGTTATTTCAGTAATCATTTTAGTGTGCTAAAAGAGAAAGAGAGAGAGATAGAGTGAGAGGGAGAAATGAGGGCCATAGAAATGCGCCAAGCTCAATTTTTCTTCAACCGTTCCCCTTAAGTTAAAAGCGTTCTCTTTTTTTTCACAAATAAAGAACAAATTCCTCTTTTTCTCCGAGAATTTTCCGCTTCTCCAATATATCATTACGGCTCTCACTCGCATGGAACGTGAAAATATAGTCACGTAGAAACGTGTTCATGGCTTGATCGTTATGATCCGTAGTAGTGGAGAAAAAGATGGCAAGGTTGAAATAGGGGGGTGAAAGTAGAAAGGGAAAAAGAGGGGGGGAACGGGGTGAAATAGACGCACCATGAAATAAAATTTGCAATCCGATTCAACGTTACAACCCCATGCCGACCTCGGATCACGATGTTTATATAGCAAATCACGACTACAAACCCGGATATGTAACAGGTGTTATGGGAGAAAAACGTGTCACATGAAATTCAGATGTTTGCACAGATGCCAACCATAACTTCCCCCTTTTTAAACGATATACTCACTTTGCCTTAAAATCATATTTTCACTCCTTATTAAAATAAATCAATTTATTTGATTTAATTGAAAAAAAAATGTTATTTATTTAAATAATCCATTAATTAGAGAACAAAAAATTATTTAAAACCTTTTTATTAATTAATTTTAACAGGCTTTGTACAAGGCCTTTTCATTATAAAATTATTATTTAATAAAAGAATTATAAATAAATTTTAATTAAAGTGTTTTTTTTTTCATTTATCGACTTTCAGAAAGCAAATAAACTATATTCTTGGGAGGATAATCGAGCTGTTGCGGAAATATTGTCTGTAAAAGCACAACCAATCGTGAAAAGACTCAAAGTTCCGGTTCCCGGTGGATTTGAGGCTCAAGTTCAATTAATGATTCCACCAGGTGCGGATACATCTGGATCAACAAAATATCCCATGTTGGTTTACGTGTAAGTAAAAATAATTTTTTTTTTTCTACTATCCTTTTATCCCTTCTTTCAAATTCTAAAACAAAGGCAAATTTTTTTTCGAACTTATTACATCCCTGAATTATTTTCGATAATTTTAAATCTTAATTAATGTAATAATAAAACATTCAATGTAGAAGAAAATAATTGCAAAAAAAAAATTTTTGTTTCAATTTAAAAAACAAAATATTGAAAAGCTTCAACCTGATTTAATTTAAAAGCGTCAATTTACTTCGAAACTAAATGTTAGCTTTAATTGAATGTCAATAATTTTTCCGTTAAAAGCAATCAAATGTCAACACTTGGATTTATATGTGACTTCAAATTACAAATGTGCAATTGCAAAAACATTCAATATAGGTCATTTACTTTTGAAATAAATTTCAATACAAAAATGCATTTCACAGAATTCATCCCAACTTTTCCTATTAAAAAGTTACAAAAAAAAAAAAAAAAAAAACAGTTTTTTCCCTTATTCCAGTAAAAAATAAAATACTTCCAAATTTTTACATTTCCCTAAATAATTAAATCTATACTTTTTTTTCCTGAAGTAAAATTTTTTGCCTGCTCTATGGATTATATAAACTTTACAATTTTATACACAAAAAAGGAACGATTGATAATGATGGAGCCAAGATAGCTATGGAGTAAGAAAAAAAAAAAGAATATGCTTGCTTTTACCAGAGAATGAAAAAAAAGAAGAAGTTGCAAGTTCAGAAACTTACAGTTAAGTGCTTCCTTTGAAAACAGGTAGCTCACCTATAAAGTATACATGTGAATACGCACATGAAGCGTTCTGTCGTTACATTTATGCCTTGTTGGGTGTTCCTTAAAAAAAAAAAAAAAAAAAAAAAGTGGAAGGAGGGTGTCAAGAAATGAGATAGAGGGTTGGAAATGTTGCTTCATGCATCGGAACTTGAGATAGATATATATATAAAACTCAAGTGTAGTCATTGGATATCGAACCAAAGTACCCTTACACTCTTGAAAGAGAAGATCGTATAGTTTTCAAAGGCTCGTAATGACACTTTTCCTACACTCAGGGACAAAAATTTATTATGAATATTTTTTTTTTATCTATCTCATTCGAATATTTCCATATTCATACTGAAAAAAAAAAAATTCTCGAGATTTTATCAAATTTTTTTAATTACAAATATTAATTATTATTTTTCCCCATTCTCACCATAATAAACTAATTATAATTTAACAATTTTCAAAAGGAATTAAATAAATAATTTTTTTTTTCAATTTCAAATAAACGTTTGATTACATGAGTTATTTTAACGTTGTGTATATATTTACTTTTTTTTTTTTTTTTTTTTTTAATAAATAAACTCGTATAATTGGAGTATTTTTAATTTCCAACAAGGAAATTATTTACAATAAATATTTATTTGAAACTCATTGACACGAATAAAATCGTTTTATATTGAATTTATTTCAAATTTATTTTAATTAATTTTTTCAATTTTTTAAAGAATTTTTCAACGCATGCGTAAAATGACTTTAGAGAAAATCAATTTTTCAAGTCTTATGTGATTTATTTTCTTTTATACGTTTTACCTCTACTTTCCAAGTAATTGAGTTTTTCATGAGGAGCGAAAATTTCTATATAATGCGCTCTTTAAGCGTTTTCCCTCCCCTCTTTGGATTTTTCCTTATCTGTATATTTCCACGCAATTCTAAGTTTCCCCGAAAAAAAAAAATAAATAAAAGAAAATGACACAAAACTTAAGGCAAAAGTGTGAACATTCATTATTTATCATTCGCCCCTCTTCAACATTCTACTTCCTGAACAATTCTTTTATCACCTTAATAACATGTTTTCTTACTCCATAAAACAAGATGAAAACTTTTCCAATTCTTTTATCAGCTTCACCTTTTGTATATTCAGCGAGCGACTTAAAGTACTATTTATTACAAAATTATCATTTGAATTATTTTAATAATTAATTTTTTTTTACCATTTATTTTTTTATTTAATTTTCAAAATAATTCTTTAATCAAAAAGTTAAAAAAAAAAAAGTTTAATCTAATAATTTTAATAAAATTCAAAGTACAAAAGAGAGTATTTAATTGCTTTTGTTCGTTTTCGACTCTATAATTTACTATGAATTTGTTAAAGTAACATTGGTATTCTGACCCGCCCTTTAACGATTTTACAATCAATTAAAAATCGATTTTCATCACCTAAAGTTAATTTTTTATTTATTTGTCGAATACACGTTTTCAGACGATACAACCAGAGAAATATTTTCTTTGAACAAAATATAATATATTTGAGTTAAATAAATGTAGATATTTATCTCACAGCCTACTAGCCTATTTATTTGGCGTAAATAAAATTTTTTATTTAAATCAAATGCTAGATTATTAATTAAATAATTTTTAAACTAATCAACGAAAATTAATTAGTAATTACTAATTAAATATAATTTAATATATAGAAAGACAAAATAACAATTTTAACAATGATCAATAGGGGAGTGAATTTTTTTCAAAAAAAAAAAAATATTTGAATGAATTCAAACAGGTTTAGACTTCAGCGCCACAATATTGATTCTGGTGGAGTAGCTTTACGAGTTCTACTATAATCAAAAGAGTTCAAGTTCTGATGGTAACTTTAGAAGGAGCCTTAAAAAATTGATGCCAGGAGTCGGGAGTCTAACAAACTCACAATTAACCTAATGCTTTCAAGGATATATATTCAATGTTACAAGTTGTCTATTTGCCGATGCGGTTGATACAGAGCTTGACTAGCATGTCAATTCTGTATTAACCATTCACCAAAAATTTTTGAAAGGCTTGTGACTAACGCATTCTGTGCGCACTAGCCAATAATTTAATTTAACAAAGACAATCAAGTCAACTATTTTTTTTATTTCTTCTGTCAATTTTATTCAAAATTTATTAAAAAAAGTTTAAAATTTTGAAAATTTAAAAAATTCAAAGTTTATAAAAAGTTTAAAATTCGAAAATTTAAAAACCTTTTTTTCTACAGATAAATTTTAAATTTTCATACAAAACTTTTAAAATATAACTCCTTTTATTTTAATTTAAAAAAAATATATTTCTACTCATTTACTTTTTGATTAGTTTGTCAATGTCTCAAGTTCTTTTCCTAAAATTGGGTCCAAGTTTTTTTTTTTTTTTCTTACATATCCTTGGAACTTTTCCGGAACGTGCTACCGACAAATTAGAGATTATTAGAATTTACGTTAAAAGTTATATCGCGAAGTCAATTTAGAAAGAAAAAGAAGCGTAAATTTTCTGAAATATCAACCCTCTTGCATATTTATTAGTTTTGAAATATAAAAAATCATATTTTTATAAAATCACCTCTGATTTATGTTGCCTGCAGGCATGTTCCTTTTCTAAATAAATACAAATTTCCATTCGTTCTATATAATAAAAAAAAAAAAAAAATACGAGAAACTAATTAAAAATATATCCCAAAGGCAAATATCAGAAAAATTTAATAACAAGCATATAGAATTCATTGACTATTTCTAGTGGTCTTAATGGATAACAGCGTTTTACTTTCTGTACTATATAATATTTTTTTCAATTAAAAAATACCAGCATTTTATTTCTGCTATGCAAAATATTTAATTCTACATTCGCAATTTACTCTCTTCAAATTACATACGTATATTCTTTATATTTAGAAAAAAAAAATTATTTTTTTCAAATATTATTATTTGTGAAATCTTCTTGCAATGTACATGTAGAACTTTATAAATATATTCATAATTATAAAAATTCAATTGCTTCATTCAAAAGAATTTTTTTTAAATTTCAAAACTTCTACCTCTTGGAAATATTTTTTCTCTTTCACTTTAAAATAAAAAAATAAATAAAAATGTTGATGAATATTTTTTTTTAATTAACTGGCTAATTAAAAAAAATTTAATTGTTAAACTAAAGAAAAAAATTATATGCAATCTTTACAGTATTTATAATTTACGTGGTCTGATTTCTCCGATTGTGTAAAATAAAAAATATACGTTTTGTAATCAAGTAACGAGTATTTTATTACAACGTTAAATTTATACAAATGAGAGCAAAAGAGAATTTAATACTTTTTTTTTTAATTCGACTTTTATTGATGTAATTAAATATTAAATAGTGAAGTTAAATAAACATTTAAAAAGTAAACTTAATTTTTAAAAAATAATTAAATTTATTACTACTTGTTAATTTTGATTATTATTATACAATTTAATATTACATTCTGTCTTTAAAAATTAAAAATTCTATTTTTTTTCTTCTTTCTGATAATAGTTAAAGTACTTTTTTCTCATTTGTGAACAAAACAAAATTGTTACACCTGGAAATAATTTAATTTCCCCTTTTTAAAAATACATCTTAACCTGTTGCAAATAAAAAAAAAACTAGATTGTTCATTGAATGATTTTTTTTTTTTTTTTGCTTTAAGTGAGCGTAAGACTCTTTTAGAATAAAGGAAATTGTATAGAGAGAGAGAATAGGTGCCTATTCAGAGCTTAAATATTCTCAGAGTGTAATTATTCCAACTGCCTCTTTGTGAAGCCACTTTTCCTGCCTCTGAATTCGTCCCTGCTTGCATTTTCTCTAAAACCATCTACACTGAGCTTAATCACTGCACTCTTTACTTAAGCTTGTCTACCACGAAAAAAATTGTTTTGTCTCTAGAAAACACTAAAACCTGAAAAATACGATGATAAAATACTTCACTGTCTCTGACATTGTTTTTACTATACCAACATAAATGTAGGATTGTCATAAACACGAGAGACGTTAAATAAACAAAAAAAAAAAATCTCTCTAAATAATAACGTAAACATTTATTTTTTCTTTTGAAATTATTTATAATAAAAATATTATTCGCAACAACCATTCATCTAAAATAAATTTCTAACTGATAAATAAATAATAAAATGAAATTATTCTTGATATTTAAATGCCTATAGATAAAATTTACTCCAGAAATTATATTTACTGATAAAGAAAGTCAGATAAAAATTGATGATTCCATTGAATCGTAAATTTAATTTCAACTAGTTACAATTCTCTTTACTCGTAAAAATTGAACACATTTCATTTGGCAATAAACCCATCAAAATATTTCATCTATCTATATATATATATATAGAAATGATTTTTAAACTAAATTTTCCAACAAATTGAAGATTGCTTATTGAAACATAAATTTTCAATTATATATTGAAGAAATAATTTCATTTGCAGTTTTTTGTCTTCTAAGTATCAATTTCTGATATTATGATGGAAAAAATGAAAAGGGTGGGCGAGATTTTAGTATAAAATTATGAATTGCAGATCAAAATGAAATGAAGAGAGAAAGGTCTACTTAAAATTCATCCGGATTGTAAATACTCACTATCTGCAGAATTTTTCTTTTTTCATTCTCTCTTTCTCTCTCTCTCTTTTTCTAAAAAGACGAACATGAGTTGAAGATCTAAAAGCATCGAGGAAAAGGATTTCGAGAGAATTCTAAACGAAGAGAAAATCCTTTTACATATACATTTCACTTGCAAGAACTACCTCAACCATATTCTCGTAACCGAATAAAAAAAACAAATTAACCTTTTTTTTTAAAAACATCTCTTTTTATTTCAAAAATTTCCACTTCTATATTAAAAATTTTATTTTCAAATTAGAACACCTTCTATTCCAAGTTTTATATTAATAAAAATAGAAAATCTTTTTCTTTACTGTTAATATTTAAAACAAAAATATATTTAAAGTTTATTAAATTTTCTATTAAAATTTCTATAATTAAAAAATTCTTTTTATTTCAGATACGGTGGACCAGATTCACATCAAGTGACAGAGAAATTCAACATCGATTGGGGGAATTATTTGGTCACAAACAAAAGCATCATTTACGCGGCAATTGATGGAAGAGGTTCAGGAGTCAAAGGAAACCGGATGCTGTTCGCAGGATATCGTCATTTAGGAACCGTGGAAATTGAAGATCAAATTGGCGTGACAAAGTAAGTTCCAATTTCAAATTAAAAAATATATATAGAAATTTATATTTGAAATTCAATTTAAAATAATAAATTGAATATTTTTAATTAAATAAAAAAGGAAGAAATTAAAAAATACAAACAAGATTTTCGACTTAGAATTTTTTTTTAATAAATGTCACAACATAAAAGAAAAAAGAAATTATACTCCATTTGTATATTTTTTAACATTTATTATATCAGACAAGAATCAAAATTAATAAATATATAAAAGTTCAAGAGAAAAAAAAATTTTTTTTTCTTAACTCGAGTGACATTTAAATATAATTGAAAATTATTTTTCTCCACATTTTATAGCGACACAGGGTGCCATATAATTTAATAAATTTGCCCTCATTTTTAAATTGATTCTATCAAAAAATAAAAAGTATTCTCATATCAAATGTCAAATAGCTTAATTAACTTTCGACTAATTTTTCATCTATCGAAACGATTCAATTTAATTAATTTAAATTCTTTCACTCGATAACATTCACTAAGAAATTCTATATATAAAACTGTCCTCTTCACTCAATTCCAGGACTTTCAGCAAAATTTTTCCTTCGTCTTTACTTTTTACTCAACGAAACTTATAGCCAAATATAATTAAAAATTTATAAGAGAAAAAAATACTCTTCATTTTTTTTTTTTTTGGTTTTATTTATTCCATTTACAATATTTTCAGATTATGTGCAAAATTTGCTTCCTGTAATAGAAAAAAAAAAAAATATTAAATAAAAAAAAATGTTCGTGTATCAGAATTGAAAAATAATGAATTATATAAAACTTACTTCCACATGTTTCATATTTATCGCTACAACATTCACGATCATTTCTACATTTTATATCCTTCCATAGACATTGACCGACAATTTCCGGAACTAATAAACTCACATAAAAAAGTGCAAAAATCACAATTATTGAAAAATGAATTTTTTCCAAATGATGAAATTTACAATAGAACAGATTTTTTATATACCAAGAAAGTGTGCTTCAAATTTGTTCATACATTTACTAAACAAGGAAAATTTATAAGAATGACTATGAAAAAAAATAATATGTTTATTAATTTAACCAAAGACATTTTTTCTTTTTCATTTAACGTAAAATATAAATATAAACAATTTTCATTAAACAGTTTAAGAAAAAATGTTTTTAAATAAAACAAACAAAAAATTCATTTTTTCATATTAAGAATAATAAGCATCTATTTAGGCCAGAAAAAAATATATTCTTTTTTTTCAAATAATATTCTAACATACAGTCTTATTAGTAAAAAGAATTTTCCTTTTTTTCATAAATTATTTTACAACATTAAATAAAATTTATATGTTGTATTGATCTAAAGCGATAAAAAGCCGTCATATATTTTATTTGATTCAAAAAAAGTAATAATAATATTATAATAATATTTTCACAGTTTTTTTTTATTTCAAAAAAATTTTCCTTTATTTTCTTAAATTTATGTATGTAAATTCAAAATACACTTACTGGACATATATATTAAAAAAAGCAATTTTTAATAAAAAAAAAAAAATTTCATAATTTAAAAAGAAAATAATTCAATACATTGGAAAAAAATGCATTTTTCAATAATTGCAATTTTTGCATTTTTTTGTATAAATTTATTCATATCAGAAATTTTCGGACAATGTCGAAAACGTGATGACAGATGTATAAGAGATCAAGATTGTTGCAGCAATACATGTAGACAAACACTAAGTATGTTTTAGTATTCTAATAATATTATTTTTTAATACAATAATTTTTGTTCATTTAATAATTTTTATACAGGCGGCAAAGTTTGCTCATAACTGAATAAAGTGAATAAAATTTTTAAAATAGTTTTTTAATAAATTCATTATAGTTTTTGTTGTGAAAAAATAGAAAGGGAAAATTTACTAAAAATTCTGTTGGTTATTTCCGAGTTATTTCTATTAAAATTAAACTTATTGTAAATATAGTACTTAATAAATAATAATTTTTGGCAATAATAATATTAATAATACTAACAATAATAATAATAACAATAGCAATAATAATAATAATAATAATAATAATAATAATAATAATAATAACGAATATTTGTATATAAATTAAATACATAAATTTCGTTTTTTTTATTCGAGAGAGTGATCTTGTTTTCTTCTTTTTGTAATTAAATCGAGAAACCAAAGTCCAGTAATCTTGTAATTTTACGATGCTGTAACTAACTTTTAACACCTAATCCCAAATCCGTATATCCGTTAAATTAACTTCTTTTCTTGCTCGCGGGGCAAGAAAACGTTAACAAGAAGAAAATTGGCTCCTAACTTTATCTAAATTTATAGCATCACTCCTTTCTCAGTTCAGTTTGTTTTAGAAAGTCCACTTTGCCACCTTTTCCCTCAAACACCCCATCCACCCCCCCTTTTTTTTTAACGGTCCTAGGTAATTGAGTGTGAGAACACTGTTAAACCTTTGACTCCTTCATTTATATACAATCTATATACTGTATGAACCGATCAATGGATGAACTGTCTACTCCCTAAAATACTCTTGGGTGTTATCAGGTAAAATAAAATTAAATTAAAAACGCCACTTTTTACATAAAAAGTTATTGATTAATTATTATATGATAAAGAGAAAATAATCGAAAAAGTTTTTTATAAATTTAAAAATATTCAAGCGATTTGGAAAGTATAAAAAAAAAATTGAATTTATTTCAATGTATATTAAAAAAAAAAAAATTTTCCTCTATTTTAAAATTATTTAAATAATTTTTATCATTTATTTAAATGTATTAAAAAATTATTTTTCATTTATTTCAATGTATTAAAAAACATTATTCATTATTTTAAAATATTAAAAAATTATTTTTCATTTATATTAAAAAACATTTATCTTTTATTTTAAATTATTAAAAAAATATATTTTTTTCATTTATTTTCAATTCATTTAATAATATTTAAATTATTTTATATTTTTATTTTTTTATGATAAAAACCGACTAAAGAAAATCTCGGAATAAATTCGATTAAAATATTGAAAAGAGCAATTAAGCTCAAATTCAGCTTCATTTGAAGCTCATAAATTTAAAACGCCTTTTTTCTGGATTTGTGTGTGAGAGAGAGAAAAAAAAGAGAGAGAGAGGGCATTTGAGAGCCACGTCAAAATGGTATATACATAGATATGTATAAGGGGTGCGAAAGAGAAGGCGACAACTGTACAGAGCAAAGGTGAAGGCAGAGGCTTGCGATTCCGCAATCGCTTGGCTGGATTCCAATTTCGCGACTGACTTTTTTACACGAAGGACGCGACGCGCCAGCAAAACACCCGGCATTGGTTACGCCCAGTCGTCGCTGCTTCGCTTCTCTCGTTGCACCAAAAGAGCCATCCTGATGGTCGGTGACTGAACTCTCTCTCTCTTTTGCAAAACTACAACCCGAGAATTTGGAAACTCGCCCGACAAATTCGCTTCGATATGTCGATTTTCGAAAGCTATACCTAATAAATTAAACCGACCTATCCTTTTGTTAAAAAAAAAAGAAACCACTAAAAAAAAAATTCAATCCACACGAGAACAGAAAAATTTCCTTATGCTTGACATGCCTCACCAGGATATTGGAACATAAAAGAAGAGGATGTTGATACTTATTGTAAAAGCAAAACAACAAAAAAATCAACTTCCTACATCCGTCTATGCAAATCCCATGCTTCTATTTCCGTGTTCGATAAGAATTTTCTTGAACGAATTATAATTTGTTTTTTTCAATTCTATATATTTTTTTTTCTAAACCAATTTAAAAAAAAAACCTTTTTTTTGGATAAAATTCTATTTTCCACACGATTACATAAAAATGATGAATGTTGTTTTTTCTTTTACGAAGTTGTTAAAATTTATGATCTCCCCCTTTTCCAAAGTTTATGCATAACTCATAAAATTAAAATCAGTAAACAAAGCGTGTGTAAAAAAAACAAAGCTCAAAGATTTAGTTGGAAAATGAACGTAAAATCCAATTTAAAGTTTAAACTCGTTATAAAGGGTAATAAGAAGATCGACCAGAATTGAAACTTACTACTGCTTGACCTAGGCAAAATTAAATTAGTCGAAGAAAGCAAGGGATATCTCACACACACGGGTATAGAGAGAAAAAAAAACTTTTTTTTTGCCCCTCTTTTAGAAGAATGTACATAATACAAGGGGAGAAAATTTCCAAAACTTTATAAGAAAATATATTGTAACTAAACGATATATCCAAAAAAAAAAAATTCCTTTCCTAAGTACAAAGTTTTATTTCACGAAACTTTATCTCCCTATTATTTTTTTTATTATTTTCATTTCATTTCGATTCTCACTAAATCAAGCAGTAAATATATCAAAGTGGAACAATGTTGGATTGTAAAACTCGTCAACTATTTATGAACACTTTTGAGACTTAAAAATTCCTCTCTTTGTGTTGATTTATATCGAAAATAAAATAAATAAAAGTTTATTTCACAAAAGTTCTCATGGATTTGAAAAGAAGCTTTTCCAATAAAAAAAAAAAAAAAATGCAATGCGTATGGAATTTCACTGCGAATAAGAAAAATTGTTTTCTTCTAGGTATCTCAAAAAGAAGTTTTCATTCATCGATCGAACAAGAACTGCAATATGGGGATGGAGTTATGGTGGTTATGCGGCAGGAATGGCTTTAGTCACTGATACAGCTGAAGTTTTCAAATGCGGAATGTCAGTTGCTCCTGTAACTGATTGGGCACTTTACGGTAAATCATATATGTTCTATAAATAAGTTTCTAGCATATCTAAAGGGAATAAATTATTTTAAATATTTTTAAATTACTTTAAATTAAATTAAAATATTAATTTTAATATAAGAAAACATCAGGAGCAGAATGAAAAATTCTCTTTGATTTTAAAAACAACGATTGAGAATGCTGTTGGGCAAAAATAATATTAAAAAAAAAATAACGAGAAAATATAAAATGAGACATAATTCGTTATCTCTTTTGTAATCAAGCATGAAACTTTGGTTGTTAGACATTAATTTAGACGACAGAAGAAAAAGCTTTTTGAAGCAGTGTGTCTTGTATTCGTGATAATTACCAGAAGCTGGTAGTGTGTCAAAAGCGAATTTTCCCCCTTTGTTTTCTAGCAAACTCATTAATCTCGCGTACTTTCGTACATAACGTATATATATAGCCCGCTCACTGTTCTGTTGGGATCGTATATAATTAATAACTTGCGTTTTAATTACAGATTCAATTTATACTGAGAGGTTTATGGGTTTACCATCATCGGCTGACAATTTAAAGGGCTATGAGGAAGCACAGCTTCTTAAAAAAGTCGATAAAGAGAGTGGATTTAAGACAAAGGGTTACTACTTAATTCATGGTACCTTCGATGATAACGTACACTATCAACAATCTTTGATGCTTGCCAAAGTTCTTGAACAAAAGGATATCTTGTTTCGGCAACAGGTAAAAATTTAATTTCAAAAATTAAATATTTCACTCTTTTTTCCTTAAATTTGTTTCTTTGATCTTTTAAAGAAATATATTTAATTAAAATCAAGAAATTAATGATAAAATTTATTAGAAGGAAATAAAATTAAAAAATAAATTTTTGCAGACCTATACGGATGAAGATCACGGTATAGTTCAATCTCGTTATCATCTCTATCACTCCTTGGAAAATTTCCTAGACGAATGTTTTGAAACATCTTCCTGATCAACGCATTTTTATTAAAGAAAACTAGGAATTACACTGTCAATCATATTTTGTAAATAAAATTGCCAAATGTACATAGTTTATGTACAAAAAAAAAAGATGATGAAATTGTAATATTTGTGTGTTCGTGTAAATAGAAGAAGATTTTTAAAGATCGTCGAGACTATATTATATATATTGTGCCAATTCGAGTGTAACAATGGGATTAAAAGTTGTTTTTTATATTAAAGAAAAAAAAGAAAGATATATATATATATATATATAAATAAATATTATATATAAATATTTATAAAAGAAAAAAAAATGAAAACTCCTTTTGTTATACTCAAAGATCGAATGAAATCAGTGGATTTCGAATATACCTGATCGTAACGACCTAAAATTATTAGAGTTTGTACTTATTTACGAGTTAGACACTTTTTAGTACGTGAACAAGTTTTTTAAAGCCAGCTATTTTATGAGAAAACTTTGTTACTTAAGGAGTAATTTTATATAGAAGCACACAAGGGAGAAAAGGAAAGGTATAAACTTGTAATCTTTCGAATAACTGATCCTATACTCGCTTCTGTTGGTTATATTATATATACTTTCAAGAACAATTTTCATTAGAGTATGATAATATATTTTACCTAACTCAGTTATATATCTATACAATGCTCTACTAAAATTTCACGAAGATGGATTTTTTTTTTTATTTAAACAAATTTTCACTCTCTCGATAATATTTTGAATACTTCTTTTGTGCGAGGCAACGAGTATTAGATAAACGAAGGTTATAGTGTATTATAATTATTTTTACTATCATTGATATTTTTCCATATATAATTTTAAATGATATTATTGTATTATTATTATCATTATTATTGCCAATAGAATACTCTCATTGTATTTTTACTACTACATTATTTTCAAATTATATTTAGTGAACTATTCTCAATTTACAGATACAGTAAAACCTCGTAAAGTCAAAGAAATTATTTTATTTTACCGTAATTGAGTCGATAACAAATTTTTAAATAAAATTTCCAATCAAATATAGAATAAAAACATTACCCTTATATTTTATATTATCGAGGTTCAACTGTACATGTAAATATGGTTTTTGTAGAAAAACTAAATCATTGTGATTAAAATTTTCTTTTTTAATTTTAGAATAGCATATCTACAAATTGTTATCTATAAGTCACGTCATTTAATAATAATAATAATAATTAAAAAAAAACAAGAGTGCACAGTAGTGTAAATATGCAACTATCACGTTTTAAAGTATTAATAAATAAAAAAATTTTGTAAATCAAGGACCACTGCGAGCAATTTTAAAGGTGGATCAAAGTGAATTTATTGAAACGATTGTTAATTCTTATAATATCTTGAACTCAATTGTACATAAAGATTACTTAATTAATTGTATAACTGATATAGAGAAAATGTTGTTGCGAGGAATACTTGTGCGGAATTAATTCGTAGTTTTGCAAAGTTGCTTGAAAAAAAAATTCCCTATCAATTATTTGTTGAGTGTATTAAAAAAAATAAAGCTCTATGTTTTAATAATAAAAAAAATGAAAACTCATTTATTAGTTTTTTATCTCATAAGTTTAACAAAAAGAAAAATATTTTTCCACAGCCTCTTACGAATTTTCCGTTTCCTTGAATCTAAACAAAAAAAAGAAAATAGTATTAATTTTTTATATCTGATTATAAATTATTATTTTAAATAGATAAAAACACTTACTTGCATTTTGTACAAGTATAAAATACCGTTTGTCCTTCATCTGCTGAGCGCATTTGTAAAGTCGCATAAGACATTTGATTATTTTTACATTGAGGACATTGTCGTTCCACAACAGGTCCATCCGGTTCTTCATCATCTTCTTCTTCACGTTTTGAAATCACGCATGTATTTCTGTTCAAAAATGGAACCGTGAATGAAATTTCCATTCTGCCAAAAACTGAAAAATAAATTTCTTCTTAAATTGTGCAGTTAATTTTAATTAATATTTAACTTTCAATTGTTTGAAATCTTTTTTTTTTTAAATAAACAAAATTTTAAATTGAAATAATTTTTTTAAAATTTTCATTTAGAGTATTTGAAAATAAAATAAAAATACACAAATTCTAATTTTATCAATTTGTCTCAAATTATCAAGTAATAAATGATAAGTTACAACGTAACATTGACACAATTTTTAAATCCTTGAAACAAAATTATAAGAATAAAAACTTCCTTTAAACTCATTCAGTATACAATTTTCTATAATCATTCATTATAGTAAATATGTAATGATCTTCATAGTAAAACAATTTTCAAATAAAATTCCAAATCATTGAAGAAATATAAAAAAAAGTTTTCAAAAAAGAATTATAAAACAAAATTTTATAAATCTAAAAAAACTTTTTCTTAAAAAACACTTAGAAAAATATTTCTATATTTAAGATAGAAATTTTGAATAATTGCGCCATTGTTACGTAGTCACGTATCGATCATGCGCAGTAGTATAAAAAAAAAGAAACATTGAATAAGAACTAACCACAAAATACAAACCTTCGGCAGGCTCCCATTTTCTTTCGCAAGCATAACAAGTGACACGTCCAATTTCACTACAAAATGGTAAAATTGTTCCACAATCCGGGCAAAATCCGGATGCCGTTGAAAAAGATCCGGTTTCTTTTTGAAAATCCATATTTTCTTGGTGATCACTTATTTATCGAGAGCACAATAACACTATACACATTTAGTAAACACTGCGGCAAACCGGAATCGGAAATTGATCAAAGGGAACACGCGAACAAGAACCACGCATGCGTGGAATTTTTAATTTATTTTAAAAAAATCAACCAACCAATTAAAAATAGTTTACAAAGTCATAAATGAAGATAACGTAGTAAAACGTTTAATTAAAATTAAAAACTTTTTAAATAATTATCAAAGTGTAATTTTTTTTTCCAATTAATATAATAATTCTACTATGAAATTAAGAAACAAAAAAGTATCTTATTTTTAAAATAAATATACTTGTTGTATAATGAGTAATTATTGCTTACATACATTGAAGAATTACACAAATGAGTTGTGTTCTATAGATGACATAAACTATTTTTATTGAATGATTGTTAAATAATTCATTTCAATATACAAGCTACATAGTAATGAACTGAGTTAATCAATTTAAAAAATTTATATGAAAACATAAAGAAATTCTTTATTGTTTTAATAACAAATTCAAGTTTATCGTGAAGTGTTTATAAATAGTTGTTTACATATAAAGTCTCTCTGTTAATTAATTCAGTGAATAAGTAAAATATATATGTATGTTTTGTTTTTACGTAAATTTCGAACAAAATTTTTTTTATATATAATTTTTGTAATTATTTCTATAACAAATAGAAGTATATTAATTTTTTTTTATCTAGTTCTATTTGAATAAAAATATTTTTAAAAAATATATATTTATAAAAGAATTAAATTATTTTTCAGGAAAAACAAGAATTATCATTTTTCTTAAAATGATAAAAATAATGAAGATTTTTCAACTAATGAGTAGTTTACTTATAGGAACAACTTTAATAAAACCTATAAATGGGTAAGTTTTAAAATAATCAAAAGAAAATATATTTATATATTAATTTTTAAATTTAGAAAAATATTTAACTGATTGAAATAATAATAATTATTTTATAAACTTCAGTTAATTATTTTCTAAATGTAAATTTTATTTGTATTTGCTATTTTTTTTATTTTGAATTACACTTTAAATTTACGATTAAATAGAACGTGATTTATTATTTCAAGTTTCATACAGAAAGTTTATAATTCGAAATCCCTATTTTTATCGGGTGTATATTTTTTGTGAACAGTTTAGAAAAGGGTGCCAAGTCGTTTGTAATGACCAATGCGAATGCTAAAAACGTGATCAGAGAGTTTGAGTACTACGTTAATGTTGCAGAGGAGAATATTAAGAATTCCATTATCCAGTAATTAACAGTCGTTTATGATAAACACTTTTAGATTAGCTGCACTTTCATTTCCCTTCATGCAAATTAATCACAAATTCAATGTTCCAGCACTTTACTTTGAGAAATTTAATTTATTTTTGAATTTTGTTTTTTTTCATCTATTCTATATAATAAATTATATATTTTATATTTAATTCATTTAGGAATAAAATAAATCTATTTGATTTTACAACTATAAGCAATATTGACAATTGGATGGAAATTTCGGATACTGTTAGAGAAGTTGGAAAATCGAAAGCCAGTCTAGTTCTTCAACAAACTCAAGTTTTTCAAAGAGCAATATTTTTCACTCTTTTAAATCCACAGCCAAATGGAGCAGGATTTGCCGGTGTTCGAACTCGAACAAATTGGAATTTATCGTCTGTTAAAAATATCAAAATCACATGTCGTGGTCAAGGAAGTAATGAAAATTATAAAATTGTTCTCAGACACAATGGTCTTGAATCGAACGATGACATTTCCTATGAGCAATTTTTCACAGTGAGTTTTAATTTTTCAAAGAAATTCTATTTTTTGATTTATAATATAATTAAATTCATTAAATTTTTTTATTAATATGAAATAATATTTCAGGCACCAATGTCAAGCGAAACATTTTCAACTGTAACAATTCCTTTGGATAATTTCAAACCCTACTATCGTGGTAAAGAGATTATAGATGCGGATCCTCTGAATACCTCTAATATAACAATGTTCGGTTTACAAGTTTACGGTGGCGTTTACTTGCCCATTAAACAAAAGGGAGTATCGGCTTTGGAGATTGAGACAATTGCGGCTACTTCCTAAAGTTACGACAACTTTATACAACAATAAACTGAATCCTTAAAAAGTTTCCATTTCCACCTCGAGTCAACCAATAATAATCTAAACCCTATTTTACTATCATTAAAAAAATAATTTAAAAATTTTTTGCAAAATTATTAAAAACTGTATAATAAATTCTAAATAAATGAAACGAGAACGGATCTACATTTGTCGATTATTTATATACTTTTTAAAGTTATACTTCCTTTTGGCTTTAATTTTTTTTCTATGTCAACGTAGAAGAAAGTCAAGTCGACAGTCGATTATAGGTCGTCAATATATTACAGGAGAGGAAATTGATCAAACATTTCTTTGTGACCCAAACGGTTGTATATTGAAAGGGAGGAATCGCGAAGTTTAATATCCTTTATACTATATACGTATATATATATCAAGGAGAAATGTAGTTGAAGCTCAAAGAAGCGAGAGTCAAACAACAATAATTTGTCAAGAAATTTTTTTCTATTATACATGTAACTTTTATTACAATTATAATAAAAAATATTATTTAACGTAAATTTTGTAATTAAATAATTATTTTTATGATAATAAGTGTTTTTGACAGAAGAAAATGACATTGAGACACGCGAGAGTAAAAGATTGATCCAAGGAACCAAAAAGTTAGAGATCGATTTTAAGATGACACGACATTGTTGACTCAGTTTCACATTATCATTTTCAAGGAATGACATGGTAGGCACGGCAGCCTGCGGGTAAGTTATATTTAGAAAATTATAATATATTTTTTAAATTTTCGAATTTAAAAAACGCTAATAATCCTAGTTAAATAATAGTTTAAAAAGATTTTCAAATATTATTCACTTTTGAATAGATTTGTATTATTGTTTCTACAATTTTTTTTTTTTTTTTGCTGCAAATTTTTTCTGAGGATTTATTTTAATAACATTTTTATAGAAGTATTTTTCTTTATGTTTAGTACTGTTCAAACTCTATTTGATTTTACACGAACGGATCAACTCGATAGTTGGACAGAGTATTCGGACACAATAAAACCGAGTGGAATGTCGAAAGCAATTCTCGTTATTCAGAAAACTCAGCTTTTCCAAAGGGCAGTACTCTTCACTCTATTCAATCCTAAACCAAATGGAACTGGCTTTGCGGCCATTCGTTGTGATACAAACTTCGATCTCAAGCAATTTCAGAATATTATGATTAAATGCCGTGGTCAGGGTATTAATCAAAAATACAAAATGCTCCTAAGGCATAAAGGTTTGGGCAAAGATGCTGTGATTTATGGACAAATCTTCACGGTAATAGAAAATTTTTTGCTCATCTATCATGTTCCCTTGTGACACCTTTCTCATATCCCCTCTATTTTTTATATATATATTGACTCTTCATAAATAATTTTCATATAATTAATTTAATTAATTACTTTCAGAGAAAAAAAATACATTATACATATTCGACAAATATTAAAATACTGAAGAATTAAAACAAAATTTAATTGTATAATATTAAATTAAAATATAATTATATAAATTTATTATATAATTATAAATTATATAAATCAATTATATAATTATAAATCATAATTACAGCAAGTGTAAAAGTAGATTAATCGATTAATGAAGTGAAAAATGCGAGAAATATTCGCGAGTACTTTTTTTTTATTCTAGGCACCGGAAAATGAATTTGCAACAATAAAATTGCCATTGATAGATTTTAAACCATACTATAGAGGACAGCAATTAGCTCTGGATGCCTATCCGTTAGATATATCGGCCATCACAAATATAGGCATTAAAGTGGACAACGGACCTTATCTGGCAGATAATCAACCTGGGGTATCAGCGCTCGAAATTGATTGGATTAAAGCCGTTAAATGATTTGAAAAAATATCAACTTTTATGACTTCAATGTAAAAGGGATAAAAGTTTTACGCTTTTATTCCATACATAAAATATTATTTATATTTATCAATCCTCTTAAAAAAAAAAAAAAAAAAAATGTTACCTAACTTTATTATCCAAATGTTATATATTTATTGATCTATTTCTTTCTATTTATATAATATAAAATATTTAAAAAAAATTATGAACACATTTCATAATTCTCTATGAAATACTTTATAAAAAATTTTAATCAAATGTTAAATAGTACTGTATATTATAAGTATTAACAAATATTAAATATTATATTTATTAATAGCAAATAACTCATTATAATTTTTCTAATTGATATGATTTGATAAGAAAAATTAATTTTTTCTTGTCAAAATTAGTTCTAATTTTTTTAATTATAAAAGTTATTTACTCTACAAAATAATATAAAAAAAAAATTGTTTGTGGATTTTTTTTTATTGTTAATATTTGTAATTAACAATTTGCACAAAAAAAACCGTTTACTCTACAAAATAATAAAATAAAAATAGTTTCATAAAATAATTTTCAAAAGTGCTTTGATATTCCACATATTTAATATATATATATCCAAAAAGAAGGTATTTAAAATTTTAGTTAACGGTACTTAATTTATTTAGTTAGAAAGAATTTTGCAATAAAAAACAATTATTGCAAAAGAAAAAAAAACATTTACCCTACAAAAAAATATTAAAAAAAACTTTGTGGAATTTTTTTATTAATTGTTATTAACAATTTGCACAAAAAAAACCGTTTACTCTACAAAATAATATTAAAAAAAAAGATTTTATAAAATTTTCAAAAGTGCTTTGTAATTCCACATTTTTAGATATTTTAAAAAAGAGGTTTTAAAATTTTAGCTAATGCTATTTAATTTATTTAGTTGTAAAAAAGTAATATATTTCAATTAATAAGGATTTTTTGACCTACCATTTTTTAAAATTTGCAATAAAAAACCATTGTAAAAACAAAAGAGAAAAACAAGTAACCTTACAAAAAAATATTAAAAAAAAATTTGTGGATTTTTTAATTGTTAACTTTTGTAATTAACAATTTGCACAAAAAAAACCGTTTACTCTACAAAATAATAATGATAAAAAAAGTATTTTATAAAATTTTCAAATGTGCTTTGTAATTCCACATTTTTATATATTTAAAAAAGTTATTTAAAATTTAAGTTTTAAAATAAAAAGCAATTTCAAAAATTTGCAAAAGCAAAAAAAAACATTTACTCTACAAAAAAAATTTTTAAAAAAATTGTGGATTTTTTTATTGTTAATTTTTGTAATCAACAATTTGCACAAAAAAACCGTTTACTCTACAAAATAATACTTAAAAAAATATATATATTTTATAAAATTTTCAAAAGTGCTTTGTAATTCCACATTTTTAGATACTTCAAAAAAAGGGGTATTTGAAACTTTAATCAATGGTAGGTATTTAAATTATCCTTTACAATACACAATTATATCAAAACAATTGAGAATAAATTTTTAATATAATTTCTTACCTTTTTCTCTTTAGGCTACCACAGACTTCAGAGAATCTGAAACAAGAAGAAAATAATGTTATTAATTTATTTCAAAATTAATTTGTGTTATAAAAACTATTAAATATAATGGGAAATTTAAATACAAATTAATAAAATAAATTTATAATAATTAATTATAGTAAATAAATTAATGAAAATAATTCAATATAATAAATAATTCATTAAACGCCTCTTAACGCGAATGTTTTTTTTTAATTTAAAGTTTTTCTCTTTTTATTATAATTAATATATTTTTTTATTTTATTTATTATTCTACATTGTTTTTATTTAAATTTAAAATTATTATCAATGAATTTGAAAAATAAATATTTTTCACTTTCAAGGAATATCAAAATCTAGAATAATTATTTTTAGCATATGGGAATAATGAGTCACGTAAAGTAAATTTAAGCAAATTTATATACATATATGTGTTGATAATAAAACACACATAATAACAGAGTACGCTCGATAAGAAAGGAAACAAACTGAAATGCCTGAAATGAAACAGAAAACAAACATGGCGCCGGTTGACAATTCACCTACGGGCAGTATGAGCGGTTTTCAATTAATTTATTCTTTTAAATCAAATGAAGCAATTCCTGTGCATAAATATAAATCTGTAAACACTGGACTAACTGTTTTTATAGCCGATGTTGATGGACCTGTTGTTGGTGGTTATTTTTGTCTCGGTAAGTAAAAGGCGTAAAAACATAACCTTTTTTTCAACACACACTTTTCCTTTTATATTTTTTCAATGTTTTCAATAAAATGCAAATTTCTCTAAATCATTATAATTTAATTAAATATGACGTATTTTATTTAAACATAAAAAAATATATTTTCAATGAAAAGGGTTTTTTAAAAAAAAGAAAATTATTAACACCCATATTGAAGGGAAACCATTTTGAATTGTCATATTTTAATAAGGGTTTACTTTAATCATAAACATACGCCCTAAAAAAAAAAAAACTTTCTATAATCTAAAAAATATGGAAAATATTATATATAAAATATTGTATTTATTATATTATTGAAAACAAATTTATAAATTAAAAATCTGTTTTAAGAACTTAAATTTGATATATTTTTAATGTTTTAAAAAAATCAATTTTTGTTTATTGAATTGAATTTTTGTTTTTTTAGCAACGGAAACATTTGATGACGATGGCCTGCCTCACACCTTGGAACATCTCGTTTTTATAGGAAGTGAAAAATATCCATACAAAGGTGTTTTAGATTTAGTTGCAAATAGATGTCTCGCTTCTGGAACAAATGCATGGACCAATACTGATCATACTGCATACACAATGAAAACTGCTGGTTCCGAGGGTTTTTTATCTCTAATGCCAATTTACCTCGAACATATTCTTTATCCCACACTGACGGTAAATTTTCTCCAAAGCAATTTGTATTTTTTTTTGTTAAAAAATTTTTTTAAAGAAAATAAATAAAAAATTTATATTTTAAGGATTCTGCATATAAAACAGAAGTGCATCATATTACGGGAGAAGGTAATGATGCTGGAATTGTTTATTCGGAGATGCAAGGTTGTATGAATAATGGCGTGGAAAGGACATATAGAAAACTTTTAAGAGCTGTCTATCCTGGAAAATGTGGCTACAAATCCTACACTGGTGGTATATAAAATTTCTCTTTAAAAAATTAAAAATATAAATATTAATTTGAATTGGAAACAAAATTAATTAATATTAATTCATTTTCATAGGTGCATTAAAAAATTTACGAGAAAGTACATCGAATGAAAAAGTTCGAAATTATCACAAAGAATATTATAGACCGGAAAATTTAACAATAATAATTACTGGACAGGTGAAGCATACAGAAGTATTTAAAGCACTTCAAGGAATTGAGGAGAAAATTTTGTCAAAGGTAAGAGATAATTTTTTATTATTTTTTTTTCTCTAAGTTTCAAGTTAAGAAAATATTTTTTTTTTAATTTAGGGATCAAGGGAATTATTCAAAAAACCTTGGCAAGACAAAGTACAACCCTTAACTGAAAAAATTGATTTGGATGTATTTTTCCCTTGCGATGATGAGGATAATGGAATGGTGATTGTCGGTTGGCAAGGATCATCAGATAATGACTATTATAAATATACAGCTTGTACACTTTTACTTAGGTATCTCACAAACACATCAATTAGTCCACTTCAACAAGAATTTGTTGAAATTGACGATCCTTATGCGAATGATGTTGATTCTGAAGTTACGGAAAATTCGGTACCACTCTATTGCATTAGATTCGATAATGTACCAAAGGAAAAGATTCCATTAATAAAAGATCGTTTAATAAATATTTTAAAAGAAATTGGCAGCAAGGACGATGGAATTGATATGAAGAGAATGTTAATTGTTATAAAAAAATTAATCCTCGAAACACAAAGTAGTTTGGAAAGTAGTCCCCATTATATTATCGTTCACACGTTGGTTAAAGATATTTTATTTGGAAATTCAAATGAAGATGTAAGTATTTAATCGATTTTAATTTAATTATTTTATACTAATTATATTTTTAATATTTAAATAATTAAAAACTATAATTTGTACAGTTAAATCAAAGATTAAATTTAATCGAGATATTAAGGAAACTTCAAAATGAACCTGTGTCCTTCTGGTTGAATCTTTTGAATAAATATTTCGTCAATGCACCATTTGTGTTTTCGAAAGGGATTCCAAGTATTAAAAAAAAGATGGAGATGACTAAAGAGGAAGATGAACGTATTGCAAAGCAAAAAGAGAGTTTGGGAAAAGAAGGCCTCGAAAGAAAGAAAAAGGAAATTGAAGAAGCGATTGCAGAAAACGAAGTATCTGTCCTATTATTTCTATAGTATATTACAGAAAATTTACTTGAATAAAATAAGTAGAAATTTATTATTAATTTAATAATTAACATTGAAGGATGATTAATTTTTTTTTGCAGAAACCAGTGCCTGATGATATGTTAACATCTGTACCAATCCCAGGAACAGATTCAATAAATTTCCACTATATAAAAAGTTTTTCTACTGATTCATTAAAACAGCATCCAAGATTTGATGTTAATAAACTTCCTCTTTATACATATTTGGATCACGCTAATACTAACTTCGTATACGTAAGTGTAATCAATAATAACTATTACGTTATTTAAAATTAATTAAAATATTAGTCATTTTATTTAATTATTATTATTTTCAGCTTTTTGTAACAATGAACACATCAGAAGTTCCTGAAAACTTGAGACCGTATATTCCACTTTTAATGGAATTAATTTTAGTTTCACCAGTCAATCGAAATGGTAAATTAGTACCATACACAGATATTGTAAATGAATTAGAATCTGATACAATTCAAATTTCTAGTGGAGTTGGAGTAGTAGGTGGAAGTCGATTTTCTTGTGGCATTTTTAGTCAAGGAGCTAATCTAACGCTTCAGGTAAAATTAATATTTCATTTGAATTATTTTCAATTTTCAATTAATAATAATATTCACAGGTTGAATTATCAAAATATGCAAAAGGAGTGCAATGGATTAAGGAATTATTGTACGATACAGAATTTACAGTAGAAAGATTAAAAGTAAATGGTGCAAAACTTCTTAATGAAGTTCCAAGTGTAAAAAGAGAAGGAAATAATATGACGAGAGCTATTTTGAAAGGATTAAAGTACAAAAAAGGTAAATTATTACAAATAGTAATGAAAATTAAAATTAGATAGTGAAATTTGAAAATGAATTTAATGAAACAAATCGAAATTTGTAGGAAGTAATCAGTACACATTGAGTGTATTACGACAACAAAAATTCCTTACAAAAATATTAGAAAAATTAGAAACCGAGGAAGGAATAGAAGAAGTCAAATTGGAAATTAATCAAGTTAGAAAAATTCTCACTATGCCTAATTCTATGGCCCTTCATATGGCTTTTAATGTTGATAAATTAGTCGCACAAAATCCAAATGTCTATGCACCATGGAAAGAATTTTTCTGTGATGTTAAGTGCCCCGATAAATCAAAGTGAGTGTTTTTTTTAAATATTTACGATTCAAATAATGTAATTCTTTTTTTTCCTTTTCTAAAAAAAAAAAACTATTTTCCATCAATCAGGTTAAAGATTGTTCCGGATCATACACTCATAAATCCATTAGAAAAAATTGCATTAAATGGTTGTGTGACTGGTTTAGGATGCATTGAATCTGCTTATATGGTTCAATGTACACCTTGCATCAAAGATGTTATGCACCCCGATAAGGCAGCATTACTCGTTTATCTTCAATACCTTACGCAATTAGAGGTAATACAATTTTTTTTTAACTAATTAAATAAAAATTTTATGAAAAATAATTTAAATGATTTAAGGGTCCAATGTGGAAGAAGATTCGAGGCCAAGGTCATGCTTATTCTTACAATATGCATATTGCGGCAAATGAAGGTTCTCTTTACTTTACTCTATATAAAGCAGCAAATGTTGTAAATGCTTACAAAGAAGCCAGAGCAATTTTGGTAATTTTTCAAATTGATAAATTTGTTTTGTTTTTAGATGTTAAACATATATTTTTATTGAATTGTTTTTTTTTTCAGGAAATGCATCTCGATAAAGATAAATGGGATTCAAATTTATTTGATTCAGCAAAATCGTCGTTAATTTTTGAAATTATTAGCATTGAAGAAACTGTTGAAGATATGATAAGACAATCGTTGTTGTCTTACTATCATAATATTCCTCACGATTATAATCGACAATTGGTAAAAAATATTGAATCTGTTACATTTGATGATGTTCATCGTGTTGCACCTCAATATATCAAACAACTATTAGATCCTAAAGCTTGCACAACATCAATTGTGTGCCATCCAAGTAAAGTTGAAGAAATCGCCGCAGCTTTTAATGAGTAAGTAGTTTTAAAAAATTGACAAATTTTTACTATCTCAATTTTATTTGAAAAAAATAATAATTTACTTTCTTTTTTCAGATTTGGTTATGAATTAAAAACTAACAATTCTCTTGATGAAACACACCTTAATGAATGATGAGCAAAATTAGCAAAAAAAAAAAAAAAAATACTGTGACTTTCATGTGCTTTTCTCTAATTTTAAGTAACTTTAATAACAGATTACTGTGCATTTTGTAAGAAATATAAGAGCTATTAATAAAAAATTTTACTAGTTATATTAATGTTACACAAATTTACTATTTAATTAGATAGTTTACTTAAAATAATTAATTTTTTTTACACAAAAACAAAAGAATCTCATAACCATAAAATTGAATGTCACTAATATTTTTTTTCGAAACAAATTTTACGAAAGAAGATTTTTTAAATGATATAATTCAACAATTATTTTACTCTTCCCTTTATTTTAAATTATCGATTATAAAAATATAGTGAAAGTTAATGAGAAATAGAGAAGAAAATTTTAAATCTACAATATGCAGGACCACCAGGATCAATTAACAAAATGTAACTTGTTACACAAGAAATGTGAAAATTATATTCGAATAAAATTGAAGAGCCTTTTTCTAAAATAATAATAATAATCTTATAAAATGAAAAAAATTCATGCGACATTGAAGGTATTAATGAATTGAAGGGAGTGAGAAAAAATTTAGATGATCAAATTCATGCCGAGGAGGAAAAACGAAATCAGCTCATGCAGGAAGTCGAAAGGATGTCCTACAAGATCAACGAGCTAAACGAGAGTCTTGCAAAGAAAGCTGCATCACGTCATGAATACGATCGTACAATTCAAGAAGCTGAAGGTGCTTATGAGAAGGTAAAAAAAATCTAATTAAAAAAAATAAATAAATAAATTTTTTCAAAAATATTCTATTTTTTAAATAATAAGAAAAAATTTATTAATAACACTTGATGAATATAAAAATTTAATTATTTTGAAATTACCTATTTATAGTTTCAATCTGATAATAATTTCTCATGTAAGTGGAAAATTCAGTGAATTTCTCATTACAGATTATAGAGAGTTCTCAACTTTTACTCAATCTGGTAAAAAGAGAAGCTGCTAGCCTCGACGAGACATTGCATACAAAATAATCTTGAAATTAAAATAAAATTTAAATTTAAAATTCTACCAAAAGAAAAAAAAATTCCTAATGTTAAATATTCTATTAAAATTTTCACTTCAATATAATATGAGAGAAAGGGAAACAAATTTGTAACATCTCGATAAAAGATAATGTAAAATTTTTCACGAAAAGTAAATTTTTTTTTGTCATAAGAATTTAAATTATTTTTTTTGTTTATTCAAAAAATATATATATCTGTAGAAATTATATCAGCACACATGATTACATTCTGTTTACATATATTTTGCCAATTAGATTTCTCCAATAACCTAAATAACTAAATATATATATATATATAATGCTTTCATGCATATTCTACTGGAATTGAAAACTTGGAACATTGGTTTCTAATTTCCGGAGTAATCCTTCGCTCTATTTGTCATTCTAAAGAATATTATTAAATTTGTTATTAGAGCGTATTATTTTCAAATAAATATTTTTTATTCAAATTGAACACCTTTTTTAAAAATAAAATTTTTAATCACAATTTTATTTATTTAGCAATAAATTCAATCGTTATTTATATATAACTCTTATTAGAGAAATAAGAAATATAGATAAATTAAGAGTACTATAAAAAATAATTTAAAAAATAATAATGGTCCATTTAAAAAAATCGTAATAGTAAATAAATAAGCGTATTTCCATTAGTGAATAAATATTCGATTAACTTGATGAAATTTTCAATGCTTTATAAATTGGGAGGAAAAATGTAAAAGGCAAGGTAATTCGAATATTTTTTCTATATTAAAACATGTGACACGATAGAATATTTGATTACAAATATATGTGAATGATTAGAATATCCTTTTACTCCAATTATATCCTAACGTTCGCCACAAGAAGGTCATTCAACTCTATTTGTACCATTCCAATGTCGTTAAAACAGATGAAAATTCCCCTAATTTACATATCTGTCACACGTAATTTGACTCAACAGAGGTAACCAACAATTATGATAAAAAAACACATAATCATAATACTTAATAAATATATAGTCACTAAATAACTCTAATAGAAGGTTAAAAGTCTGTCGAAAGAGAAACTATTATCACATTTTTATTTTTTTTCCACGCAAATTGAACACAAATTCAAAAAAAAAAATTAAAAATTAATTTAAAAAAATTTCAAAAAAATGTTATTTTTCCACAATTTATTAAATTAAATAGAACATTTTTAAAATAAACAAAAAATAATGAAAGAAAAATAAATCATGTAGATAAAAATTATTATTTAACTTGCAAAATAATAATGTGTTAATAATTTAGATTATTATAATAGTAATAATGTACATTTAATCTAAAATCCGATCCAATTAATTAGAATCTTTTTGTAAAGCTCTTTTAATCTTTACACATTGATGATAATTTTCATATATATATTGAGAAATGTTAATATATTTCTTATACTTGACAGAGGCAATAAGTAATTTACGAGAAACAAGTACACTAAACGCATTCACTATATTATATACGAGAGGAGATTTTTCTTCCTTTTACGTGGACACAATGTTAGTGGGTCAGTTTAGAAGCACAGAATCAAGGTTTCATTCGTTGCTATATATGCGAAGAAAATCGTGTTTGTAATGAAAGTATGAATGTTGCAAATCAAACAAATCTTATCTAGAAACTATAAAGAGGATACTATTTACGATAAGAAGAATAATATAATAACGAACTTAATTTCATTAGGATACGTCGAGAGAACTTAATTTTCCATTCATTGATTCAATTATATAAAATACAAAATAGAAAATACAAAGAGAAAGGCAAAAATTACAATATATAGTCATTAATATAAATTATAAAAAAAAGTTGTATTTCATTTTGTTCTTGTTTTTAATATATTTATTATTTATATTTTATGTTTCAATTTATCAAAGTAATTATACGATTAACACGCGATTTTTATATAATTATATAAAAATGAAGCACTTTTTTGTGTTTTAATTTATCCGAATAATATATTTTTTATATGCAATTTAATTACAATATTTTTAATTAGGATTTTATTCGAAAAAAATTTTAATTTTAATAATAATTTTAAGTCAATATTTAATTTTTATTTTATCCCTAATATTATTTTAATACAGACTTTTAATCTTTTTTTAAATATTTTTTATTAATTAATATATTTGTTTCATTAATTTATAACAAAAAATTACCGTAACTAATATAATATTAATAAAAATAATAACCGGAGTTTAAATCCTCTAAAAGATATGAATAAATTTTCTATTTTTTTTTTTTTATACACAAGGTCTAATGCCTACTCATCGCGACATTGAATTTTAAATTTAAAGTTGAGAAATCATATGAGATTTATAATTAATTATTTTAATTCCGGTATTTGAACTTGAAAAAATTGTAAACATATATTAAAGAATTAAATATATTTAATAAAATTTTTCAATTTTTAAATTATACAAAATTTTAAGTAAAGATTATAGGGAAAAAATTGTAAACATTTTTATATTTTCATTGCATTTCACAGACTTTGACTACTGAAAAATTTCCATAGAAAATATAAGTAGTAAAAGTCAGCGCTTGCAAGACAATAATGAAAAATTTTTGATAGAAAAAATTTCACCGTAAAGAGTTTTATCGTTTTTACGTTTATCGTTTTTTTTAAACATATAAAAAAATTTAATGAACATTATTGTTACATGTAACAACCATTTTAATGCCATAAAAGTTTCTCTTTATTACAAATATTTATCCTCATTCAATGAGGTTTTTTCAAAAATTTAACAAGAACTTTAGATAACGAATGTCATAATATACATAATTTAAGAAAAATTATGCACATTACTTGAAATGATATTTGGGTATTAAAAAGTTGTTTTTTTATTTTATCCTTTACCTTTCAAATTCAGGGTCGAAAAAAAATTCAAATACGGAAATAAATCTTGATAATTATATTGATTAGCTAGATTTTAGTCAATCGTTTGGCAACATAAATTTGAATTATATCTTCAAAAAACGATATATTATAAGTATTAAATTTTATAACGCAAAAAAAAAAAAAAAAAAAAAAAAAAAAAAAAAAAAAAAATATTACTAAAATAGTTGTCTACACGTATATGTTCAGGATGTCGATGAACTTTGTAAATTACGTAAGATGGACATGTAACAGAAAGTGAGTGCAAGGACCATACAGCCTCGAATCTTTTCAAGTTACTTCATCTTTGATAAAATCTTGAATTTTAAGTTTTGAAAAAAAAAACTCTTGAGACTTAAAATCTTGATTTATTTAAAAAATGAACCATATTCAAGAGTCTAAAAAAGATTTCTAAAAATAACCTCAAGTATTATTTAATAAATTTAATATTTTGAATATTATAATTAAAAGAAAATTTTTAATTATTTTTTTATTATTTATTTATAAGTATTAATTAATTATATTAAATGGAACAAATTGTATATAAAAATAAAATTGCAATAAATCATATTTTCTGATCGTTGCACTCTTGTTATAGTTAATATTTTTGGGGTCAAACTGTAAATCAAAGGCATTCATAGTTTCACACGGGAAATCGCGTGTTATTCCCTTATTACGAAAGTCATGAATATGTAAATGTTTGTTCTTACGTCGTTTTTCTTGAATAATCGACACTTGACCCTTTCTGGACTTTATTCGGACAGTCATTCTACTCTCTAAAACTGAAATCTCCACTTTTTTTTGTCAATGAAATTATGCTGCGATTTGTTTACTAAATGATTAAGAAACAATTTTCTTTCATTTTCAAATTGTGTAAATAATTTTTTTTTAATTAAGCAACAAATCTGCATAATAATTTAATTAATTAAAGATCAAACTTTTTATTATTTAAAAAAAATCGTTAATTCTGCATAAAAAAATATTTATATATAAATATAAATTTTATAATAATGATAACAATTATTATTATTATAATTATTATTTATAATTATTATTACTATTATTTTTTTCCATTATTATTAATATTATTATTTATTCACGTATTATTTTCTTATTTACTCTAATCGAGAAGAAAAATCCAATGTTGACTAAGTTTTGAAAACCACTTAAAAATGATGTGATGACTTCTTGAGTCTTATTAGTTTTTTCTGGGAATAATTAAGGAGCAAAACAAAAGATTCTATTTAAAAAAAGTAATTAGCGGAAAATTATTCTTTGAAAAGAGCAGTCTTTTGTAAATTACACTCTTTAAAACAAGTATCCTTAACAATCTTCGACTTTGTTTTGACAAATTTTCAAAAGTTCAAAATTTATCTAATTACCAATTATTTGCATTGAATAAATTATTATAATCAAGAAATCAAAGGACAATTTAAGCAGTGTTTAAAAAAAATGTTTTAAATTTGAATTTAAAATAATTATTAAAATTATATACTTTTCCTCTCGTATATTTATTCATTTAATACAAATTTAATTTATAATTATTGTAATAATAAAATAAAATTTTAATTAACTTGATAAATTAATTTTTATGTAATTAATTAATTTAGAAAATAAATAAATAAAAAAAATGAAATTTTCAGGGTGCAAAAGTAGTCGAAGTCGCTTCTACAGTTGTTTGGATACTTGTTTTGCGGATTCAAATCCACTAGAATGTAATGGTTTGCAAATGCTGCAATATGCGGTTTTACCTTGATTTTCTCAATGGGCAAATATTCTTGAATAAATCTTTACCAGAGAAAGCGTCGGACTACCTGAAAGGTATAGATTCTCATTTTGCTTATATGTGCAACTTGCTGTCCAATTTGCACTTGCGAGAAACAAACGGATGCGCGGCAAATGCAATTTTATTGCAATAAGCCATCTGTTGCCCCTAAGTTGCACCTACAGAATTCACATATCGGGTGTACTATAAATAAATATTTCCTTGCATATCGGGTAAATCAAAAGAAAATTTAAAAATTTTATTGTTTTTACCAAAAACATTATATTCTGATCAAAACAATTGATTTAAAAAATTAAAAATACATAAATATTAATTTAAAGAGAAAGATTTTTTTTGTTACCAAAATTGCGATTAATAAAATAAATTAACTATTTTTTTTATTAATATATAAATTATTTTATTTGTGCCAATTAAATTGCTTTTTATAATTATAAAAATTATAAATTTGTTTCCTTATTGATTAATTGTTTATTTTTATATTTAAAACATTAAAAATTAGAAGGTATTATTAATTAATAATAATTAATGTTATATTTTGAAACTTGATTTTAGATTTAAAAAATGCTCGTTACAGTTTTAAATTATAAAATATTTACCGTCTTTTCTTTAAAATAAAATAGAAAGCTTGCTGTAAAATTTTTTTTTTAATTTATCGAATTGTTTATCAAATTTATAACAATACTTTTTATTAAAATTATAATGTTTCTTTTTTAAGTTAAATTAAATGAAAAGAATAACAAATTTATAATTTATTTTATAATTATTTTTATAAATTTTATAGTATTAAATTTTTAAATTAAATTATTTTAAATTATTTGCAAATAACAACGAATCAATTACATATTTTTTAAAAATATTTTCATTCATGTATATTTTTTTCATTCATATTAGAAGTATTTATTGATTTTCATGGAATGGATAAAGAAGATGTAATACCTTGGCATGTAACGATAAAGAAGTTATTCAAATATTTGTTGCATAATTTGACTAGTTTTTAAAATTCTTTCGTACAAAAAAAAAATCTATTCATGAATTTAAACTAGTATATTAATGAAAAGCATCTTTTCAGAGAATAATTTCCTTTTTTTTACGTGGTTTTCAAAATGGTTTCTTAAATAAATATAAGAAAATAAAATAATAAGAAAAATTTCTTTTGAATAATAAAAAAAGTAGTCGAAAGTCGCTTCTACAGTAGGTAAACTGAATATTGTTTTTCGCAACGAGGCGATGAGACAAATAGTATATTATGGCAAATTTGACTGAGAAGCATCGGACTACAAATTATTGATTCAAATGTTTCTTTTTATATAAAAGTCTTTCACACTTTTACGCTTGCGAGTAAAGTTACCCCATTGATCTAAACATTTTCCATCTATCGGACTAAAATAAAACTAAAGTTTCATAAAAAAAAAATAAATAATAAACAAATAAATTGAAAATGAACTGTTACACTGTTATTCTAAAATAAAGAAAAATTTGCGCGAAAGAATATTAATGTTGGTTGAGTAAGATCACATTGATATTGATTTATTTCCAAGCGGGAAATATTCAAAACTTAGAATCCATTCATTTTTTTTTTGTTTTTCAAAATAAAAATCTTTAGCAAAATATAACTATAATAATTATAATATAAACAATTAATTTGAATCAATTTTTAATTTTCTAAATATAAAAACCTTTAGTATTAAATTGTTAAAAAAAGCACTTATATTATGAGGGTATCATTAATCATTACACGTTATACTTGAAAAACGTGTTGAGAATAATAAATACGGCTAATGATAATCATACCATAGATAATGCAAATGAATGCTAAATTTAAAGGTTCTTGTTAAAGAATAGACCGTTAGTTAAACATAGTCATCACTACCTATAATAAAGTTTTTTTTCTTATTTTTTTCTCAGTAAAGAACATACCTAATATACGAAAGAAAAACTTAAAGAGTTCATTAATTGTTCTTTATTCCACAACAAAAAAATGAATAAAGTTTGAAAAAAATTGTAATTGATAAAATAATAATAATAAATAAATAAAATAAAAATGATGGGATAAAACTATAAGAAAGAAATAGAAAAAAATTAATTTGAATTTTACTTTTGAAAAATGTAAAATTGAATAAAAATAAAACCTATTATTCCTACTTGATGAGACTTTTTATCGACAATTAAAAGTTTTCATCATATCGATTTGCCATATACAACTGCCTACATTCCACCATAGAATTAATCATCTAACAATATCTTCAACGCGGCCTATACAAAATCTCTCTTACATAACAAACGACCTACGCTTTATATATATGTTGTGTAAGGCATTTAATTTCTTTATTGTTTGCCGGAAACTTTTTTCATAAATATATAATCAATTATATAATTATATTCATTGTGAATTATTCTTTTTAAACACATTTAATTACATATATATATATATACATGTATTTTAAAACACCGAGAAATAATATTTTTATCGAGGTATATTTTCAAAAGTTCATCAACGTTTTATTGATGATAAAAATGTTTACGACCAAAAGAAATTAAAAAAAAAATGAAAATAATTATACATCGCCTTTTATAACAAAAACGTCGCAGACAGTCAACATTTTTCTTATTGAACACATCTTTTCGGTTATATGAGACATATGAAACCTTCTTATAAACAACCTTGACATATTGAGATCCAAGATTTACATTTTTTCGATTATTTACATTTTATGGAAAAAAAAATTGAGAAAAAGCATAAAACAGGAGATAAACTATAAGAATAATTCAATGATAATTGAATATTTCTAAAAACAAAACGAATAATAAATAAAATTCAACAAGAATTTAGGGTAAAACCTTGACGTTCAAAGTGAAAGTGAAATTATCCCTTTTTTAAACGACAGATATAAATTAACACGTTTATTGAATAAAAAAGAAAAATATTACGATGTATATAAATGAATTATTCGATTTTTGTTATATACACATTTTTCAATGACTAAAAAAGAACTAACATGTATATACATATACTTATATTCTAGCCTTTGAGTGTATCTAATTGCCGAGAAAGTAGGATACGAAGACGAACAATACAAGTTTACTTCAACGTCTCTTCATGCACTAGATATTTTCTGATATGGAAAAATAACACCTATTAAAGAAATTCAGTGACAAAAAGTAAATAGAGACATAATATATAATAAAAAAAATTAAACCTGGAGAAAAGGTTCGAGATAAATTATAATCAAAAGTTTGCAACACTATTAAAAAAAAAAAATTTCATTGTACAAGTCTCGACTGTTTTTTTCTGAATAGCCTTGGCTTAAATTAAAATTATATGAAACTGAAATAAATAATTGTTTACCAAAATAATTAATACAAATATTTATATTTATTGGTAAACAATTTTTTTTAAATTAATAATATAAAATATTGTTTAAAGGAAGAAACTACGATTAAGATTTTACCATCGAGTGATTTTATTTTATTTTCTTGCAAAAATGACTTTAGTATATGACAATCTAAATTTATAAATTAAAAAAAAAATTTCTTTTCCTTTATAAAAAAATGATTTAGTGTGCCAACCTAGACCTGAATGAATGAGATGAATAGTTTGAGAAATATATTTAAGTTAAATATGTGAAAGTATGCTATCATTTGAGGAACAATGTATAAAAGTACAACTTCCTGGTTATATCAATCACAACACATGCCTATCATTAAGTCTAAAACATATATAGAATGCAATGGGTTTGCTAAGTAAAGAACACACAGTTCGAACTGTAAATGGGGGGAGGGCTACACTATGTACCTGACAGGCTTAGCACTCTTGTCGACAGTAAAATTGCTTTAGTTCGTTTCGAGATCTTTTCGCGAGTAGGTATTCCTAATATATGAAAGTTGATATCAAACAAAATATATTTTAAACTCAGATAACTGACAAACAGTTAAACATTTAAAAAAAAAAAAATTTTAATTTAATTTTATTTAGAAAATTTTTTTATCTCAAGCACAATAATGTGAAAGAGAAAAAAAGAATTTCCTAATTATTACTCTTTTTACAATATTAACCTAATATTATTATCCATTAGAAATTATAATATAATATATATATATATATATAATATAATATAATATAATATAATATAATATAATATAATATAATATTTTCTTTAAATTTATTTTATTATTTTATTATTTTAATAATAAATAATATTTAATTTCTACAATTATTAGAAAAAATTAATTATTTTTAATATTAAATTTTTTATATTTATCATTTTAATATTGTTAATTTTTTATTATATTAATAATATTGAAATATAGCTTTAAAAAATGTTTTAGATTTTTAGTTTAGATTTAGTATAATGCAAGCAAAAATATTGTAGTGAGTTAAAAAAAAAACTTGTGTTTTCAAGTGTAATTTAAATAAACATATATTTACAGTTTTTCAGACATCGAGTGTTTGACAAATGAGGAATAATACTTTTACAAAGTGTCTGTGAATTCATGGTTGCGACTTTTTTTTAAAAAATAAAACAAGCCGGTAACATGTGGTAAAAGAAAAAGAATAAAAGTGGAATTAAGTTTTCAGTGACATTGTGCGAGAAAAATAAATTTTTAATAATGCCAGAAGAAACCACAACGGTTAATAATAATATCAGTAATGGAAATATCAAGAATGTGATTATTTCAAATTCAACAAACATCAAGGATCGAGTAAGTCTGCTGTTAATATTTTATATGTCCATGATCGATAAAATATATTGCAAAACTGTCACACGTGAATTTAAGAGCGAATCTAATTTTTTTTCAGATAATTATTTACAAATTGTTCAGATTTTTTTTTTTTTTTTTTTGAATAAAAAAATACAAATTGAAAAATATTATTCTTTTCTTCAAAAATTAGTAGTAAATTTACAATTTGAATTAATCACATTTTTTCTATTTTTGAATTTCTATAGTTTACGAAAAATAAAATTCGAATGAAAAGAATAAAATAAAGTTATAATGCAGCTGAATTTCTAAAGTGTGTAAATAATTCACACTTGATTTTAAAGATTAACAGATACATAAGAAAATGCAACAATGTGAAAGCGTATACAAATTGTAAATTGAGGATAAACCTTACAAAACTTCCTTCTTTAAATAACGATCAATTAGCAAGTTTAACCCTTTTTTATAGTATTTCTTACAAAGAAACTGATAATTTATATTTTTCTTTAAAAAAAAAATTTATTAATACACTAGAACCTCAGTTATTGATTTACAACCAAAAGGTTTCGTGTGTCTCAATAACTAAGGTTCCAGTGTATTATTTTTTAAATGGTTTATTTTTATTACAATTTTTTTTTTTATTATAAAAAGTCAATTATTAATTAATTATTAAACAAAATATTAAAATTAGTTTATAGTAAAGACTGGCACTAAAATCTAAACACTAACATTTTTAAATTCCCTTATTATAAAGAAAAATTTTTAAATAATAATTAAAACGGGCGCAATATTTTTGAGCTTTAAATTTCACTCACATGATAGCAGCACTAAAGTATATTGATCAGGGTAAAAAACGACAAGTCAACAGTATTATTATTACCTTAAGGGTTGCTCAAAAAAAGATTAGAAAATTGTTAAATATTTGTTAAAAAAAATACCAATAATTATTTCATAATAATAATAATAATTCTCAAATAATATAATTTCAAAATAATGAAAGTTTCCTATACTCAAAAGAAATACAATATGCATTATATTTTCAAATAGTAATATAGACATTCTATAGACGAGTTTTTTAGGGTAATTTAGTGTGAGAAAATTTATACACCACGAGGTTCAAACGACTCGTACAAAAATGCATGACCATTACTTTCAAAACCGCTAATTGCGGCCTCTTCTTTCAAGTGAGTTTCCACATTTATCATTTTTCACGTGAAAATTATATTTCTCTACATGTATATAAAATTTTAATCTTGCGAATAAAGTGAAATTATACATCTATTACTATAGCCCTAATGAGAAAGAATTATATTCGTTTTTTTAATTTAAGTTTCCTTAACAAAATTTTTTTGATTATTTTAAAATTAAAATAAAATTTATTATTCATATTTTTAAGTCAACATGTGACAGATTAAATAATTAACTATTCAAAGCACGTAGTTTATGAATAATTTACTTTTAGCTAATTATTTCTTTACAAATTTATTAATGAAATTTAATTTTAATATCGTTATTTTTGTGTAATTAAATTTTTCACTTCGTGCCAAGTCCTTGATAAAATGAAATTAAATTAGGAAATGTGCTTTATGGAAGTATGTACACGCAATCACAATTAGAACAAAATTATGTCTATTACAATTGCGTCAATTACAACCATCAAATTATTGCATTTTCTTCGTGTACCTCGTCATATTAAAGGAGCAAATTTTAATTTATAAAAATTGTTTTTTCTTTAACAGTATAATATTAAATTTTTTTAAAAATTAAATTTAATTTTGCTGTAATTTGACTTCAGAATTTAAAAAATGGTTTCTATAATGAATAGATAAATCATCATTATTGTTTAAAAATTAAAATTTATTTTTGGAGTTCTTTTAATGAATTTCTATTAATAATTAATTTTGTACATTGCTTTCATTTATTTTTATTTTTTTTAAACAAATGAAAGCAGTGCGCAATATTTTAAGAATGCAAATTTTCAATATTGATCAAAAATCGTATGAATTACAAGCCTAACAATATCTTCAAGTTCAACTGGTCATTAAAAGGTCAAAGTATAACTTCCGTTCTTAAACCTAAAATATGTAATGTGATTTAATTATTTGGAGAAAAGAATGCAAAATTTTCAGAATAATTTTGATTTATTTTTTAAATAGATTTTATAATTTTATAAATTATATTTAAAAAATTGTCAATGTATATATGTAAACCAGATAGTTTTTTATATGTATATAGAAACAAGTTTTGCAAGTTTTACAGGTTGAAGAACAAAATTCATGACCTATAACGAATCAGTTGTACTTGTACTGCGATAGTGATGTGAAAATTTTCAGAGGAAGTTCACATTCATTTCCTAGTTTTTGTTAAATAAATAAAAAAAATAATGTTTTTTATATACAGAGGACTTTTATGATTGTGTGAAAAAAATCTATTTTTGTTTTCTTAACAAACTTGTTATTGTCTTAGGATTAAATTTTATTTAGATTAAAATTAAATTAAATTTTCATTGCTTCAATTTGAATTTAATAAATTCAATTGTTTTAATTAACATTTTTGTTCAACTATTAAAAATTTGATTAATAATAAGACAATAACAATTTTTGTTTAAAAAATAAAAGGATTTTTGACATAATTCAATTTTTGTTGTTATGAAGTCAAATTATAACTTTGTTGTAAAAATTAAATTTGTATTTTAAAAAATACGTTCACGTTTTACAGTTTTCTGTAATATCGACCATTTTCATACGCAATTATCGATAAAGTAGTATTTGATTGTACATATATTTTTTATAAATTTGAATGTACGTTCATTTTATAAATAATTTTTTATTTTATTCATATTTACTTCACTTGTATAAATATTAGATTAAAATAATAATTTCAAAATAATTAAAATTTCGATATAAACTTTCTATATTTCAACTAATATACTTATTTACATTATGTTATTTAAATTATTTATTTAATAATTTACTAATTTTTATTAATTTAGCTTTATTAAATTATTTTCTTTTATAAGAAGAATTTATTTAACTTATTAAATTCACGTAAGTTTTCGATATTTTTCTCTTAGTTTACAAAATCTATTCGGAATTTTTTTAATTTAAAAAAAAACCTACACACTTCTAAATAATAAAAATTTTAATTAACGGTAAAATTACGACTGAGAGGGTTTTGAGAATAGCGAATGTACAGTTTAAAAAAAAGTTACTTCAAGTGCATTGCTCATTCATAAACACAAAACAATATTTATGAATAAAGTGATGTATTTTTTTTTTAAATATAAAAATTAATTTCCAATTTTCAAAAAATTACAAATTAGTCTTTTTTAAAAAAAATCTCTATTTTTAAATTTAATAAAAAAAAAATTCATATGTCTTTATTAATAAAAATAATTTATTCAAACTTCAAAAAAAATAAATTCCATTAAAATTTAATTAAAAAATCAAATTAAAAAATTTTAATATGTATAAGAATGCAAAAAAAGAAATACACTTGGACTACCTTTTTTTTAACGAATTACGCTATTTTTAGTTCTGATGAGATCTCATCTGGAATCACTTCTCAGAGAGATAAATCATTCTTGTCTCTCTTCTCCAGACAGTTTACAACTATTTGTGAATGTGCGTGAAACTCTCCCACAATTTTATCAGCTCTGATGCTGATGAATATATATATATATATATTAACAAGTCTCCCGCGCGCGCTGTTATTTCATTTTTTGTTCTCAGGACGTCGAGAGAGGGGAGGTCGATTCAAGAGGGGGCAATCCCCATCAGACGTCGGCGTCGGCGTCGGTCAGGGAGCAAATATCAGCACCTGGTGGGCAGCGCGGCAGCAGCACACGTGGCATTCAACATAGTCGGAGCCAACAACATTGGAGTGCAGTTTGTTGCATTTTTTTTCAACGACTAGTGATGGGCACGCTGCTTTTGGGTGCCGGACTGGCTATTCTTGCAGGACTATATATATATATGGGCCCTCTATTTATTATTCAACTTGTGTTGGTTATTTTAGTTGCATATTTTGTGTCTGGTGGTAGACTAAGGTGGTTCTACGTGGCCTTGAAAACAGCCCCCCGTGACATTAAGTAAGTTCAAAACCTTTAACCTACTAATAGCTTATCGCGATGAGCCTATATCCTTTAAATGTCCTACCACGAAATTCATTTATGTTTTCCCGATAAAACATTGATAAAAATCATTTACATAACACGCTTGAATGAAAAATCAATTTCTTTTATTTTTTACCTTTATATATTTTGTTTTTATTTATTTTCACGTATTAGGTATTTTATTTTATTTATTTAAATAGTACACGGTAAAATATTTTAACTTTTAAAAAATATATTGTTTACGTTTTTTTAAAAATAAATTTAATATTTATTATTTTAATAATCAATCAATTTTAGCGCGGTTAGCAAAATAAAAAATTATAAATAAAATAAATTACTTATTTTACATTTTTTTTTGTATTTTACGATATAAAAAATTAATTAGGAAGTAAAATTTGAAAAGTTATTTTACAAATTTATTGTTTTCAAATAAAAAAAAAATATTCAAATGAATTATTTTTTTTCTAATGTATGTATGTATATCTCTTTTTTTTAAATTGCGAGAATGTTAAAAACTGCATGATAACTACATAATTTAAAAATACTTCGAAATAAAAACGTTAAATAGAATTTAGTTATTGCATAAAGAATTAATTTAAAAATAAATTAGTTTTATTTAACAAAAAAAAAGGGAAACAACAATATATTCTCGTTAAAATCTTTAGAGATTAAAAATTACACATTTCAATCATTCCTAATTTATATTTTTTAATCGTAAACTATGCATTTGAGGATAACTATATTTATAACTTTGACATTAATATTGAAAGTTTAGATAATAAAAAAGGCGATTACGAAAAATATTGTTGAGCAAAGAAAAATGTAATATTGAAAAATTAATTTTTGTAAACTTTCATTATTTGTTAAAAGAAACTGTTTATTTAAAACTTAACATACTTTTTAGTTTTTTTTTGCAATTGATTTTCATTGAAATTGATTACAAATTTATGTGAATGACGTGACAAACTAGTTTTGATACTTGGACTTGAACCTCTGACAATAGTGCACCTCTCGATCTACCTGTATTAACGCGATACTTATATAAATGATTACATTTTTAAAACCTTAATTTACTCTAGTAAAATTTTATAAAATAATTTGCTAATTTATTTTATACAATTTTATTTTTTTTATCCAATTAAAAATTAAAAAAATATGAAAATACTATTAAAAATTATAAAAACTAATTTCTAATAAATGTTATTAATTTTGTAATTGTATTTTATTTTTGTTTTGAGAGTAAAATTAGTACATTAATTAAAAAAAAAATTCTCTGGAATTTTTAGTGACCTTAAAATTTTCCTGTTCGTGACAACAATTATAAATAAATGCTACACATTAGATACAATTGCAAAAGAAGATTATTACTTTCAATGAAAATGGCCCAAAAACGTTAGAACTAATATTTTATAATTCTATAGAAAAAATTATTTTTTTAATATTAAAATTTCAAATTAATAAGTATTTGTATTAGAATTTATATTTATTTTTCGCAATGCCTTTTTTTTATTAAAGAAACTCATATTTTTTGAAAGTGAAAATTTCTTAAAGTAATTTTCTATACAGACTACTTTCTATTTATGATATTAATGTCAATGAACGTGTCAGTTTTCACAAACAAATGATTTTTTAATTTCATATTGATAATATGGAAAAAAGATAATAATAATAATGATAATAAAATTAAATTTTACAGATTAAATATTCTGTAAAACTTAATAATTATTAAAATATTAAATGAAAAAAGAATGATATCACAAAAAAAAAAAAAAAGCAGAAAAAATATAGTCAATATTTATATAGAAATAAAGGTTGTAGGGCGTAAAATTTAAAAGTTAGCGCTCTTTAAATATTGAAGTTTGCAAAGAAACCTCATAGAATACGATTATAGAATATAATTACAGAATTACATATATAGATATAAAATACGAGAGGTCAATAAACTTTTAATATTATTTGAAGATGTGAAACTATATGAAATAGTAAATGCAAAATATTCTAAAGGACTTAAAATGATTCAACAAAACTTTCACACGAATTGAAAAGCTTAATCACTTTTTAAACTTCGTAAAATACAAATGTGAAACAATTGAAATTACAATTGTAAATTGAGGATTGTTATCTATTTGCATCTATTTACACATCTTCAACTATTCAAAATGTTTTTTCAAAAATTATATTGTTTATTATTATTTTTATAAATATAGTAAAATAACTTTTCAAAATTGTCTCGATTATTTTATATTATAAATTAATTGATTAATATTAAAATTATGTTTTTATTATAATAAATTTTAAAGAAAATTAATAAAGTTATTATTTTATAATTTAAAAAACAATTTTAGTATAAATAAAAACGCATATTTTTTATCGCGGGTTTTTTTTCAACATGTCATCAGAAATTATAATTGTAGAGTGTAAAGTTCACTTTGACTATTGAAACCTTCATGTAATTATGAATGAAGTAAAACGAGATGTAGTTTTTTATTGTCATATGAATTTAAAAAAAAAATGTTGGGCAAATTATATTTATTTGTGTTTCTATTTATAAAGCACAACACTTCATAATCAAACACTTCCGATTGCAATAGCTTATTATTTTTCCAAGAGGAAATGAAGTCAAGTTTCACAGTAGCATATTGACATTAATTATTTGCTAACTATAAAATGGAACTTTGTATATTACGTTCAATCTTAAGTTTGGAAAATAATTATTTATGTGTATTTTTTTTCTAACAATAAATCAAATTCATTTGTATTTTCATTTAAATATTTAAATACGATTTACATATGAATGTAAATATTTATGACGTTTAAATATTTAACATTTACAAAAAGTGGGATGCAAAAGTAAATGAAAAAAAAAACAAAAACTTTCAATCATAATAACGATATTGCAGATACACGTGGTTTTTTTTTCATTTATTTGCTTTCTTTTTTATCTTTTCTGTTTTTCCTTCAAACTTATATTTTATATGTATGAAAGATTAGAACATCTTCAAGCGAGCGAATAACGGAATTTCTCTCAGTAGGTTGAGAGAGTGATTTCTAGTACAATTCCGTATTCCTTACTTCAATATGATTGAGGGAAAGAAAGAGAGAGCAAAACTCGTTTCTCTTCTTTTCCTCTTACATACTCTAAATCAAGAAAACTCGCGTATTATCAATAATAAAGTAAATCCGCATCTCTAGAGAAATATTTCTTACTAAATCAATTTAAGATAAATCCTGTCAAAAAAGTTCTTTTTTCCAATTTACAGAAATGATAAGATTAGATATTTTAGTAAATTTTATGAGAAATTAATCTAAAATATCTTAATCAACAAAAAATTAATTGATAAGAAAGTTTAGTTCTTTCTACAGATATATTTTTTAATTTTTAGTTTATTATTTAGTTTATTATTATATTAATTAATATTTGATTTATTGTTAAATAAATTTTTAGAAAATGATGAAAGAAAAGGTTTTTTTTTTTGGAAATGTTTTTTCTTTCTTTCTTTACATTTTATGCGAAATTTAATACGTTAAGTAACTATCATATTTTTTTTTCAGAGCTGTTAGCCGATACGTGAAACTTCTTTGGTTAATTCGTGGACATGAGAAAAAAAATCGAAGTGTAGCTGATGTTTTTCGTCAAAATGTAGAGCGTCATCCTAATAAAGTGTGTTTGATATTTGAAGATCAAGAATGGACATTTCAACAAGTAAATATACTTTTCTTTAATAATAAATAAAATTTACAAAACTTTACAATATATATATTTTTTTAAATTAAAATCAAATAATTTTTTTAATTAAATTACCAAAATAAAAAAAATCTAATGTTAATTAATTACTTCTGTGAGTGTTCAGTAAAAATTTATGCAGAACTTGTATTACTTTATTTGTTCAAGATAAACTCTCTCATATTTGTTTAAGATTCAATGTTAATTTTAAAGTAAAGAAACATTTCCAAATTTCCTTTCATCATTAGAAGTAAATGTTGACATTATCATCAGAGATAATTTGCCAATTTTATTAACACGTGCTTATTTAATTTTTTCGAGAAATATGTAGTATATTAAATTTTTCATATAGTGAAATAATAATTATTATTTTTGATATATATATTTTTTGTACATTTTTCTGTATTTAATATTTAATTACTTTCCTTATAATAAAAATAATAATTATTATTTTTTTATTATTAATTGTTTAGAATTTTAATTATGTGTATATTACTGAATAATTTTTTTTATTAAATTTCAGGTGGAGGACTTTAGTAATAAAGTAGCATCGACATTTAAAAATCATGGATATCGAAAAGGTGACACGGTGGCGTTATTTTTGGAAAATCGGCCAGAATATGTAGGAATTTGGCTTGGACTTAGTAAACTTGGAGTAATAACACCGTTGATAAATACAAATTTAAGAAAAGTTTCTCTTTTACACAGCATCAATACTGCAAAATGTCAAGCTTTAATCTATGGTTCAGATTTGGCAGATGGTAAGAAAAGATGATTTTTAATAATTAATCTCTACTAAACTTTAATTATATTGTACGACAATTTTAAAATTATAGTAATGCAGAAAATTAAAACCTATAAATATTTCACATTTTTTTTTTTTTTTTATAAGATAATTTTGGACTTGGATATATAATTTTATCATAAAATTAAACCCTCTACATAATTCTGGCCTAAATTCACTTAGAAGATCTAATAAACGATTAAGTCACGCAATGTTTCAAGTAACATTTAAGAAATTTTAAAAAGACGAATTAAATTTATTTTTAAAAATTGCTTTAGAAAATAATTATTAGTTAACGATTTTTATAATTTTTAAATTAATCGAGTATTAATATGATAATTTTTGGGAAAAATTATAAAATTTATTTATTTTTTATTTTGCAGCTGTTACGGATATTGCATCCTCTTTAGATGCAAAACTTGCTCTCTATAGATTTGATGAAAAACCAGGATTACAATCAAATGGTTTGAAAGAAAAAGATCTCACTGCCTTTTTAGCAGATGCACCTACAGTCCCTCCAGTTATTCAAGATAAAGGGTGCTATCATGATAAAATTTTGTATATTTATACCAGTGGTACAACTGGACTTCCTAAAGCAGCTGTTATTACAAATTCAAGGTATAATTATGAATATCAATTATTATGATCGAAAAGTTTTTTTTTTTTTTAATTTTCAACTTACAAGAATTTTTATTTAAATTTTAATATTTTGTGAGACTGAGGTTATTTTAAGAATTTTTAAATTTATGAATTATATTTTCAGGTTTATATTTATCGCGAGTGCTATTCATTATTTAGTGGATTTTCGAAGTTCTGATAGATTTTATACACCATTACCTCTATATCACACTGCGGGTGGTATTATGTCCATCGGACAATCTCTTTTGCATGGAGGAACTACCGTAATTAGAAAAAAATTTTCAGCCAGTGCTTACTTCAGTGATTGTGTGAAATATAAATGCACGGTGAGAATATTTTTTTAATTAAAATATACACGGAATTATTTCATTTATATATAAAAAAAAAACAAATATTTATATATATTTCTAATTGATTTAATTATTGCTTTAATTGACTAATTCTAATTGATAGATTTTAATTAATTGAATTGGTTTTTTTTATACAGGTAACTCAATACATTGGTGAAATGTGTCGTTATATTTTGGCAGTTCCTTCAAAACCAGAAGAAACACAACATCAAATTCGTACAATTTTTGGAAATGGCTTAAGACCCCAAATATGGCGAGAATTTGTTGATCGTTTTCATATTCCACAAGTTGCCGAATTTTACGGTGCTACCGAGGGTAACGCTAATATAGGTAAGAGAAGAATTTTAATCCTCATTTTTAATTTTATTTATTTAATTAAAAAAAATTTTAATAAATTAATTTTTTTAATTTTTTAAATTACAGTAAATGTGGACAATACTGTTGGTGCAATTGGTTTTGTGTCTCGAATAATACCAGCTGTTTATCCTATTTCTATCATTAAAGTAGATGCCGATGGAGAGCCCATAAGAAATTCAAAAGGACTTTGTCAAGTTTGCAAGCCAAGTAGGTTTATAAAATGAATCATATTGAGTTTAAAAAAAAAGAAAAATTGAACAATAATAAAGTTCCATTCTTAAAGGGAAATTTTTAATTAAAAAAATTTCTAATATTTTAATATTTACTTTATCAATCATTTATAAATGGATTTTAACAATTATTTTTTTTTTCAATAGACGAACCAGGTGTGTTCATTGGAAAAATCATTCCAAATAATCCATCCCGAGCGTTTCTAGGATATGTGGACCAAAAAGCATCTGAGAGTAAAATAGTTCGTGATGTATTCACAAAAGGAGATTCTGCATTTTTATCAGGTTAGTGAATTTTTTTAATAATAATTAATAATAATAAAATATTTAAATTAATAATTATTAATAAAATGCACATTATATGATTAAAAATGTCAATTTTAATTACAGGTGATATTATCGAAGCGGATGAATTTGGTTACTTATTTTTCAAAGATAGAACTGGAGATACATTCCGATGGAAAGGGGAAAATGTATCGACGTCAGAAATTGAGGGAATTGTCAGCAATCACGTTAATTACAGAGATTGTATTGTTTATGGTGTCGAGGTAAGTGAAATTATAAAAAAAATAACATTTTAAACTGGACTTCGATTTTTAGAATTATTTATTGCTAAACGATAAATGTTGTTAAAAACGAAATTGTTTATTTAGATTCGAGGAGCAGAAGGCCGAGCTGGAATGGCCGCCATTTACGATGAAAATGGAAGTTTAGACATAAAACGTCTGTCTTCTGACATTAAAGAACATTTACCAAGTTACGCAAGACCACAATTTATTAGAATATTAACAAAGATTGATTTAACAGGTATTTATTTTTAAATATCAAAATAGTTTCAAAATTTATTTCATATTTTCTAAAAAAAAATCTTATAAATTTTCTAGGAACATTTAAATTGAAAAAGAAGGACCTACAAGAGGAGGGTTATGACATCAAGAGGATAAAAGACAAAATTTATTACTTAGATCCAAAGGAAGGTTATCAATTAGTAACACCAGAAATTTTCGATTTGATTCAACAGGGCAAAATTCGATTTTGATTTTAAAAACATTTTTTCGAATAATACTGAATTGAGAAAATATTTTTAACGCAGAATTATCGAAATTCCACGAATTCAAAAATTTTCTCAATTATACAATGCAAAAACTGTGAAAAGTTATGCATCAATTATAAATGAAACATCAATATATAGAATAGAAAAGGGATCAACGCGCGAAAACAATTATATTAAAATATTATTTCTCAAGACTTTTAATTCCACATTATGCTTCATCACTAATTTCATCGTCAATATGGGCAAAAGCTTTCCAGTAAAGTGGAGCTCAAGATAATTAGGCGTTTTTCAAATTAAAACAATGTTTCAAAGAAAAGCCTATATACATAGAGAAAATACAAATATAACTCTTGAATGAAATTTAAAGACTGCTTCAATCCTATATTATGAATATAGAAACAAAAAAGACAAAAGAGAAGATATGCCTGAGAATTGCCCTTTTTTAAAATCTTCCACAAGAAGTTAAAATTATATCAAATTTTAACATAAGGAAGAACAATAAAACTTTGTAAATACGAATGTGCTTTATATACTATTTCGAATTTGAAAAATGTGAGCAAAAGGTTTAATCCAATAAATATATTTGAAAGTAATTAAGAAATTAGCAATTAAACAAAAAATAAAACAATTAATTAAACATAATGTAATATTTTAAAAAAAGTTACTGAAAAAACTAAAATACTGAAAATATCAAAATTTTTTAAGCTATTGCGTCCATATTTCTGAAATGAATCTCAACTATAGAAATTTTACAATAGTAGCATTTTTTTCTATCGTTAAAACTCTAGTGGAAAAAACTTTTTGCAAACAATTTTCTATGAAATAAATTAGTGTAAATATGTAAAACTACAATGCTTTGAAGATGGTGGCTGGAGATACCTCGTACCTATCGCGCAATAACTAATTTTAATATATTATTACAGATATAATATATTGTGCATAATAATATATTATCATAGGGTTTCTGGTCACATCAAGACAGACTTTTTAATTAAATTTTGTTCTAAAAATTAAAAAAAAAATAGTTATTACAATTTACTTGTATAAAATAGATCCTTACTTTTTTTTGGTGCAAATGTTAAATCAAAAATTATTTATTATATGAAACAAAAATTAATTATTCTTTTATACAAAAAATGAATTAAATTAGAAGCAAGAGGACTTTTAAAATTTTTTGTATCAAATCGCAAAGCATACAATTTTGATACCTAAGAAAAGTTCGTTTTTTAAATAACTATTTTATATTTTCGAATTTAGATTATAAGACTTTAGTTTTAAATTTTATTTAAATTAAACATTTTAATAGATTTAATTTTATATTTATAAAGTAATTTAAAAAAATGCATATTATATTTCATACTTTGCACTTGTTTATAAAAGTTCTACTTCATGACAAATAATATATTTATATAGTGATTAATATAAAAAGAAATATTGTTTTAGGTTGAGGTGCAATTGCAAAAGGTACAATAGACTTAATAGATGAGAGTCAGTTGATAGATAGAAAAATAGTGAAAAATATTTCTAATAAACTTTATAGAATTCTTATGAATTCTAAATTCAATTTTATAGAAGAACTTTCTGCATTTCCCATGATAAAATATTTCAAAATAAATTATAAATAACATTTTAAATTTTCAATTTAAAAAAATATCTCCGACTAAAACAAAATTTTGTGAATTTTAAATAGTGATGTTAATTCTAATTTTTAGGCTCAACGAATTAGTAATTTAAAAAGAAATAAAGATTGTTGCACAAAGCCAGCGTGAAAACTGATATATTAGGTGCGTACGTGTGTTTTTTAGGTAAAATTTTGTGATGCAAATGTTTTTTTTATCAATTAGTATTTAATATATACTAAAACGTGATCCACTTCTTTTATTATTATATAATTAAAATATCATTAAGTAATTTGAATCATTATAATGTCTCAAAGTCCAAATGAATGAAAGAAAAAATTGTCTCTTAAATAAATATTTTTCTTTTGGAAAAATGTATTTTTCTTTTAATTTTGAAAAAAAATATATTTGTTAATTATTATAAATGAAGAAAATAAATCATGTTCGTTTTATATATATTGATAAAAAAAATTAAAATAAGCTAGGTAATTATTTAAAACAAAATTAACGTACAACAATATTTGAATAATAAAATATACGATTTAGATCTTGTTATTTGTTGTCGTTTAAAAATAAATTTTACTATTTTTTAATATTGTTAAATTTATTATGCGCCTTTTTAAATATTACTATTTCTTTAATTGTTTTTTGAAAAATCGATTTTTTTTAATTTCATCATTATAATGAATAAACATTTCAGTTTTAGTTAATTTTTTTTATTTATAACCGGTTACTAATTTTTTATTTTTTTGGCATTTATTTATTTGATTATTTAAAAAAAAAAACATTTACAGTTAGTTTAAATATTTTTAATTAATTTTATAAAACCGGAATAATTTCTCTTTCACTGTTTAGTTGATCTACATATTGTATCTTTTTTTAATGCGTGTAAAAAAAACGAGGAAAAAAGAGAGACTTTATTAAAGTTCAAAACATTGGAAGCTGGCAGTTTCATTCTCTATCTATCTCTTTTTAAATGCTAAAGTCAATGCATATATATGCAACGTGCAGATTAAAACTTGCGCCTCGTGAGAAATCTATTTTTATTTAAGCAACTCTCTCTGTTGTAAATACGTGAATTTATATAACACATCTCATTTCGTTATTCGAAATAACTAATTAGTCTTTTCTTAAAAAGAAGAACTACAAAATTTTAAATATGTGTACAAGATAAAAAAAACCGTCTGCAATTTATAGATTACAAGCGAATCGTCAGTTCTTTGTTCTGTTTGTCATATATGCATAAAGTGTTGTGTATTTTTATGGTTATGTGATTTTAAACACAAAATTAAAATTAATTAACAAAAATTTAATTATTAATTATAATTTAGAAAAAATTTTATTTCTAGAGTCGAGAATTATTTATTTTTTGTTTCATTATTTAAAATGCATTTTCAAAATTTAATAATTATTAGTCTCAACAAAAATTTAACTTATTTTATTTTCAATAATTCAAAAATCTATTTCTTTTCGGAATTAAAAGGGCAAATTTCAATTTAAATATATTATTAGGAAGTTAAATCCAGGAGAAACTAAATGAGTGAGTAAATATGTTATTTTAATTATTTAAATGAAAATTCCAGTGAGATAAATAAAGAATGATAAAGAAGTAAATAACAAAGAGAATTTTTCTATTTAGAATAATGCTTTATCAATTATGTTGATGTTAAATGTTTTTAATAAATTTCCATGTTTATATTTTCTTTTGTTTATTATTAAGTTATATTATTTCATTTTGCATATTTTATTTATTATTATTTATAGAATTATTAGAAAAAAATCATAATACTTGATTATTATAAAATTTATATTTTATGTAGAGTATAAATATATTTATATTAATTATAACAAGAAACCGATTTATTAATTAATAGATCAAAATTATTTTTTAAAAATTTATTTAGATATTTAGTTTTAATTTGAATTTAGGATCAAGATTTATACAAAAATCATAAAATTTATTTATAGTTTATTTATTTTTTTATGTAGCTTGATAATTTATCTAAAATTATTGTAATGTCAATTATTTTTATTAGACTTGTAATTTAAACAGAAAAATCGAAAAAAAGTTTTAAAAAATAAATTTAAAATATATATTGCTTGAAATGTTGGTCACTTTGGCAGACTTAAAGGTACAACGAACTTAGTCGTCCTGAGAACAAATCAAATAACGGAATGCAATCTATATATACAGACAGTTTAACCACAAAGAATTAACGCGATTTTCTAATTGGGTTGCATTTAAATAAAATCCTTTATTTAATATAATTAATGTTAATAATTAAATTATTTTTTATGATTTAATTAAAATTAATAAAAGCTCCAATCAGTGTTATTTAATACAATTATTTAAATAAATATTCTTATTAAAATAATTGTATTCAATATTAATCATTGATTAAATTAATTTTAATTAAAATTCGAGGTTTAAAGTGAAATTTTTTTAAATTTAATTCTTTTTTTTTTAATAATAATTTAATTTATTTATAAAAATACACGCTCTGACACTAGATTAGATTAGATTAAATTTATAAATTCTTTAATTTTTAAAAACTATTTAAATATTTTTTGATGATTCATTTATTTATCTTTGATAACATTAAATAGAATATGTTAATTAAATTTTAAATATAATTTTAAAAAATTAAAAAAAATTATTATTTTGAGTCTAGAAGAGAATTTTGTAAAAAAAATATATTTTTTTTTTAAATATATAATTTTGTTTAACTAGGAGAATTATCACTTAGTGTTTATAATTGCTAGAGGGAGATGATTGATAAACGGAACACGATTAATTCTTTTCGTCCATACACTCAAAATCAGCGGAAGTATACAATGGCTTATAACGTCGTGGAAAAGGGGGGACTAAAACGAATCGCGACTCACTACTCCATTTAAACACAACTCAAACAGGAAGGCAGCTGAAGACAGTGTTAACTCTCTCGTGCTCAGTGCAAGTTCGCAAGCTCAAGTGAAATTTTTTCACCCCGAAATTTTCACCTAATATAATCGTGTTAATAATCGCGTTAACAATAGAGAATATTTATTTTTATTTTTTTATTTTTATTCCTAGCATCAAACAACATTCTAAGAGACCATTTTTTTATCACTAATTTGTGAAAAATTTGAAGAACTATATTTGATAATTCTACACTTATAATAATCGAGAGGTACGTTAATGATAGAAGATACAATAATCGACAAAAAGAAAATGAAAATTTCTAACGTTTAACAACAATGTATGATTCAGTTTTTAAAAAAAAATGCTTAAATTTTAGTCACATGAAACGATCAATAATGGCTAGAGTCCATGACGTTTACCGGTATAGTATATACCCCCTCGTCTGTTCGCTCACGAAAAACTAATAATATGAAACAATGTAAAGGTCAATTGTCAATGTTAATATTTTATGGTTGGGGTTTAAAAAAAATTTTAAGTTTCACACAAAATTCCCTGATATTTTTATGATAATTGAGACGAGATCCGCCCTTTTGTTATGTTGGTAGCAAATCAATTGAGGGTACAATGACATCTTTTTTTTATTTAAGTTATTGTATTTCTATTTACTTTCAATTTTTTCCCTAAATGTTTTAAATTAATATGCAAACATAAAAATGTTTTCGAATCAAAAAGAAAAAATTTCTCTCACTCACCAGCAATGAATTAAGACTATGCTATCCAATCCAGTCTTGCATCTGAAACAAATTTTGAAATATTTTTTATTAGTACTTTAAGCTCACAAATAATTATAATGTAAAAATAGAATAATTACAAATAATTTATTTCTAACAAAAGAAGTAAAAAAATATAATTAACCATTGTTTTATTTAATTTAGTTAGTTTTTAAAATTGTTTATTTCAATGTTTAATACTTTTATTTTTAAAATTATCTTAATTACTTAATTAATATTTAATAATTAATCTACGAGTTAATTTATTAATTTCATTATGTATGTTTTTGTTTTCTTAAATAACGCTACTATTGAAGTTTTAATCAATCAAAATTTGGATGAATTAAATTTAGAATCGTTTGAAATTTTTACCAGTAAAATTTAAAATAAAATTTTGATGGATTTGATGTTGATAAAAATTAAAATAAATTAATATTTACTCCCCAAATTTGAATCAGTAAAATTTTTAACTAATTTAAATTAGTGGATGACTTTTTACTATTATGAATTAATAAAAATTTAGTAAAAATCATCAATTACAAAAAAATGCATAATATTTAGTAAAAACTTAACTAATTCATAGCAAAAAGTCAATCACTAATTCAAATTAATTAAAATGTTTAATTATTCAAAAATTAATTTCAATAATTAAATTTTTTTATTTAAAATCATTGCCAAATAATTAATATTTAATTAACTCAGTTTTTGACATAAATTAAAATATATGTTCGTCTTGTCTGTTTAGATAAAGTGATAATTTAATATTTAAACTTTACAATTGACTGATAAGAAAAATTTTCATGAGGAAAAATATATTCTTAAGGAAAATTAACATGTTATAATAAGGATTTTAATGAATCTTTACATAACCTATAAAGATAGATAAATAAAAAGGGGAAAGTGGAAAATTTTTTTCAAATGCAATTAAAACGATAAAATAAAAAAGACATCAGTTATTATAATTAAGATTAAAAGATTTATGAATATAAAGATTTCATAATATGTGTAAAAATCATTTTTTTTAATTGGCAATGTAATTTCAATTTAATTATAAAATTTTGTCACCATATGATTAAGTTACATATCGCTTTAATGGGATGGTCAAAGTTTAGTTTTAATTAAATACACATTATTATAAAACGCAAATAATTAATTAAAAAATAATTGATAGGTTTTTATGTTTAAAAATTGATGTTTAAACAATTTTTTATTATTGAATAATTTATTATTAATTATTATTATTTAATTATTCAAGATATACTATTTTTTAGAAAAAAAAATATGCAACTGATTAGAAATATATTTTTTCTTTTATGTTATTAATTACTTTTTTTATTTTTACTAATGGGACAAACATTATTTAAATATTGGTCTATTTTTTAAAATAATTTATTATTTTTATTGGAGTTTCCGTTTAAATTCTAGTACCAATAATATGCAAACGAGATCTATTATTTTTATTATAGTTACTTTTTTCGCTATTATTAGTATTATTATTTTATCAATATAGAACATTAGATATTTTTTTTATATGTATATATATTGCAGAATAAGGGATTTTATTGTATATTCTGTCAGTGACGTTTATGACGTAATTGAGTTATGAATATATAGTCTAGATTGTGTCGAGGGCGCTACTAGAGTATTACACACGTCTGACAACCCCTTTACCCCTGTGTGTTGTGTTACAGAGAGGGTAGCCTGAATACTATGGACATCAGATTCATATTACTCGTACTGACTATTGTCGGTCTGATGGCGGCCGGCGTCAGTTCTAGAATCGGATCCTTTGCTAGGATTGCACAGTTTATTTTAGCGGCCGCGGTTATTCCACTGATATATCGGTTTCATCGAAAAATCTACATCATCATCAGAACTCTACCAAGGGATATCAAGTAAGTATATATATAGGGTGTAATTTTTTTCATTTCTTTATGTAAATATGTATTTTTGAAATTTTTAACCTCGCACAAATAGAAAGACTTTGAAACAAACAATGAGTTTAATATTGATATTACAATGAATATATTTATTAAATATGATCAAATAAACTGTCAATTGTCTCAATTTAAAAATTAATCCCCAAGAAACTAACACTTGTTACACCTATATTATTATATTAGTAAAACATATATATATGATAATTATTAATTCATATAATATTATTTATAAATAAACTTTTTTTTATGAACAAAAATCGTTTACAAGTTTGTTTAAAAATGTTTTTATTGTTATTTTTATATATACTTTAATTTAATTATATTTAAAGTTTAGGATATTTTTAATTTTTTTACTAGTGCGAAATAATAAGTCTTTACACATTTTTAATATAGACATGTTTCCCACTTTAGTATTAAAAAATAATATAAAAGGTAAAATGCGATGTAAAGTTCATATATTGAATAAAAGATTTGTTTGATTCAAGTAACGACAAAAATAGATTATTTTATTTAAACATTAATATTTAAATTTTGTGTTTAAATAAAATATTTAATTGTTAATTAAGAAAATTATAAATAATTAAAATGATTATAATCTTTCAAATATTTTCAAATAATTATTTTGATTATTTATTTTAATATTTAATTTTTATTTAATTTCATTTTGATCCCAGTTTCATAATATTTCATCAATAAATTAATTTAAAAAATTCTTATCTAAAAGTTGTCAAGTAGAAATAAAATGTTTTAGTCAGACAGATGTACACTATACTTGAGAAAGATCAAATATGAATACACAAAAGAAAAATATACTTTATAATAAAAATACTTTAAAATATAATAAAATAACGAGATTCGTAAAAATTATATATTAATAAATATTTAAAAATAAATTTCATTTATACAATTTAATGTTAATAAATTTAATAGTTGCAAATTTTATAATAACATTGTATTTATCGTTAATGAAATTTATGATAACATTTTTTTTTTAAATTGCTACAAGTTATAACTGCTAACATTGCAACACAAATAGATAATGATTAAAATAGTGAAAAAGAAATGTAAACAGATGCTGAACTCTTTATGAAAGGGGCGCATAATTATAAAACGTTAGAATCGATCAAACAAAATGTTTTGTTCAAAGTTCAAAAAACAATTCTTATAATTTTTTTTAATTTTATAATTCTTTACTTATATATTTATAAACAATGTTTATTAGAATTGTTATTTTTCTGTACTTTCAAATATTTCCCTAAAATTGATGCAATGCAAATACAAAAATATTTTTTGAATTAAAAAGAAAATATTTATCACTCACCAATGATGAATCAAGTGTGTACTATCCAATCCAGTCTTGAATCCTTTATCGAATGATCACTATTTGTCTATTTGCAACACTCCGAAACTTATTTTCAACTTTTAAACATTCAATGAACGAAATTATTCTCTAATTTTTTAGAATTAAAAAAAAGAAGTAAAGTTAAATAATTTAAACAAGTAATTAATTATAAAATAAGGATAAAGTAATTTATAAACATAAAATTAAATTTAGATTATGTTGATTTAGTAAAAAAAACAGAATAATTTCGTTCATAAAAATGTTTAGTTTTTGAAAAACAATACTTTCCCTATTATTTTCGACGCGAATCGCGAATACGATTTAAAAAGATACTTTTCTTCTCGCGATAATTGGTGAACGATTATACGATAAGCGACGACGCGATTTATGTCTTCTTTGGATGATAAACATTACGCTTCCCATCACTGGGTAAACATCAGTTGGGTCCACCTAAAGTGTAATGCTTATCGGTCTTCTTTTCGTCTTCTTCGGATAAACATTATGCTACCCTTCACTGGGTAAACATCAGTTGGGTCCACCTACAGCACAATGCCTATCAGTCTTCTTATTCTTCTTATTTCGTCTTCTTCAGGTAAACATTACGCTTCCCTTCACTGGGTAAACATCAATTGGGTCCATCTTCTGCGTAATGTTTATCAGTCTTCTTTTCGTCTATTTGCGGTCCAGATTCCCTTTGGTCAGTCATCATCGTTATTTTTTTTGGAATAGAACTACAACAAAATAAATAAAAGTTCACAATTAAAAATAATGTATTTATTAATAAACTATAATATTAATTATATTCAAAAGATTAACTATATCACAATTATATTGTACAATTTGATTTATAATATAACTCATGAGGTAAACATTTTACCACGTTTAAAAATTAAAGTAGCTCTTTTCACAAGGACAACACACTCAACTATTAGTTTAATATCCCTCATAACTTATTGCAATAATGTGTTTCATAAAAGCACATATTATTAATTATACAAGAAGTATTGAGAAATGAATTTAAAAAAAAATAATTACAGTAAAACAAATTTGAAATTTCTATTCAAACAAATTATTGATAATATTACAAAACTAATTATACATTTTTTTTTAATATTTACTCATTTACGGAACAAACTTTTCTTCAATTGATCATACATGATAATTAGAAAATGTTTTCCTTTCATTATACTGATAATTTTTTTAACCAAATGCAATTTTCACTCTTTTTTATGATAAATAAATATATTTTTTAAATTACAGATTTCTTTATCGTTATGCTAATGCCGCCCTGGAAACAAGACGTTTTGTTCAAAATGATAGTACGGTGATGAAAATTTTTAGAGAAAGGGCACGACTTTATCCAAATAAGCCCTGTTTTATTTTCGAAGGTCGCATTTGGACTAATGCCGATGTAAGTAAATTATATTAACAATAAAAATTGAAAAATAATTTTTTTTGCATTATATCCCGCCAATTGAAAACATTTTTTAAAAATAAACTTTTATTATATGTAATAAAAAAAAAAATATTTCTCATTTTCACACTCTCGGACGTTTAAAGAAGTCAATAAGAATATAAAAATGTTATCAGTCAGAAAATGTCACAGATTGTAATAAATTGAATTTATAAAGATCAAAGTGCAGAGTATGACAAAGTTGACAAAGTTTCATTTTTATCTCAAATGTGATTGACTTTCGCCAACCTGTGACATTGCAATTTTCAAACACTATATATATATATTTTTTTTTATTTCAAATAAAAGGAAATTTTCAGTAAAAAAGAAATTATGAACAGGAAATTGGTTTCAATTCGAAATAATAAAAAAAAAAAAAATTTACCTATCGGTGAATCTTAAGTAAGTTTTGACACGAAAAAAAAATCTGCATTGCGTGAAATTGCACCATTTCAAACAATTATTATTGATTTCACAAGAATTATCGTTTGAATATTTTTTTTAAACAAACAAATAAATAAATATTGTCTACTTCTATTTTTATTCGAGACTAAATGTTAATACCATATTTACAAATAATAGAATTTTCTCGACTTTTTTTTTTTTTTGTTTGTTTTTAGAAAGTAATATTCTAGAAATTGTATTATGTAAATAAATTTTTAATACTTTTTCCAGATAGATAAATACAGTAATCAAATAGCGTCAGTTTTCCAAAAAGCTGGATACTCAAAAGGAGATGCAGTGGCGTTGATGATGCCAAATAGACCAGAATTTATTGCCACGTGGTTGGGCTTGGGAAAAATTGGTGTTATCACAGCCTTAATTAATACTAATTTGCGTCTAAATTCATTAGTTCATTGTTTGAATGTTGCAAAAGTAAAAGGCATTATTTTCACTAAAGAATTAACTTCTGGTAATTATTTATATATATATAGAAAATTTTTTTTTTTTTTTAATTTCTAAGAAGAAAAATGAATATAATTTTCCTATTTTTATTTCAGCTATTGAGGAAATTTGGGAAACGATAGGGGAATTGGAAAAATTCACACAGGGCTGTGGAGATAATGTATGTGAAAATGGTGCGAAAAATTTGGATCAATTCTTAGCAGAAGCTGGTACAGGACAACCAATTGTTAATAAAGAACCTGGTTACAGGGACAAATTACTCTATATTTACACAAGTGGCACTACTGGATTACCTAAAGCAGCTCTAATACCAAATTCAAGGTATATCTATAATCAATTGAATTTAAATGATGAGAAATTCGTTAAAGGGTTAAAATTAAATTCTAATTTAACGACAATAAATGATAATTTAAGAAATAACTATCAAGACTTAAGTTGTCATTTACAACAACTAGTCTATCTGTGTTACTTGGTCTTATTTCTTATTCATGATTATTGAGCGTTATATGTAGGTCAACTTTGACACGCCTAAAGAATAGGCGAAACAAGGACCTCGATCAATGGTCTCCGGTAATTTAACTACAAATTAAGACTCATATATACTGTTTTAACGACTTTAGTTTCATATCGATTTGTTCCTTACTTTGTAATTTTCAAAAAAAAATTCTTTTACATTTTTCATCAAATAAAGTTTAAGTACTTGTGACTTTCGACAAAAATTGATTAATATAAATTATAATATAAAATGATATATATAAAAAAATTTATTATTTTTTCTAAAAAAAAAAAAGAATTCAAGAAAACAAGGGTAAAAAAATATTTCCATCAGTAGCAATGTAGATAATTTTAACACTTTATATCAATTAAGGAGAAAATTAAGGATCTGTGACAAGGACAAACGCTTGAAAATGACAAATAATAAATGGAATTTTCTAATATTAGACGTTATTGAAAGTCAGAAAATATTAATTTTTATTAATCAAATAATCAATAGAATAATAATTAAGAGTTCTAATTTCAAGTAATTGCAATTTAAATATTTAATAAAAGTAAAATAGCTTAAGAAAGAGTTTAAAGTTACGTATTTCTAAGAATTTAAAATAAAAAAAAAAAAATTACGTAACTTTTCTAAGTGATCTACAGTGAATATTGGAGTAGAGTGAATATAATGAATGATTCGTAATCTTGTCAGAGAGACCTCACAACTTAAGGGGAATGAGATTAAAGTCCAACAGTCAAACGTATATATGCACTTCCCTAGTCTAGTCTTAAAGACAGTTTTTTTTTCCATTTAAAAAAACTGTTCTTTATTTATTGGATATATTAATTTAAAATTACCTTTGATTTAAAAGATGCATTTTAAATTGAAATTACATGACAAATTAATTGAATGTTAAATTTATAATTTTCCAAAAAAATTGTTTCAGATATCTATTGGTAACAATGGCTACGTATCATATGTTGGGTTTAAGATCGGACAGTGATATTATGTACAATTCTATTCCATTGTATCATATGGCAGGTGGACTTGTTGGAACTGGTTGTGCATTAGTTAAAGGAATACCAAGTGTATTGAGAACAAAATTCTCTGTGTCTGCATATTGGACCGATTGTATTAAATATAATTGCACGGTAAAAAAAAATTCTTTTCTAAAAAGTACCTTCTTTTTTTTAAATAAATTTTTCAAATTTTTATTTGTTTTTTAGCTTGCTCAATATCTGGGTGAAATATGCAGATATTTACTTTCTGCACCACCACGACCTGAAGATACTGCTCATCCAGTTAGATTAATGGTTGGCAATGGAATGAGACCTCAACTTTGGCAAGATTTTGTAAATCGTTTCAAAATTGAACAAATAACTGAGGTTTATGGTTCCAGTGAAGGAAATGCTAATATCGGTATATATATAAATTACAAATTTGAATATTTAATTTAAATTTATTTATAATAAATTTTTGCAAATTTTTTTTTTTTTTTATTTACAGTAAATGTAGATAATCAAGTTGGAGCAGTTGGATTTGTACCTAGTATTTTGCCTAAGAGCCTACATCCAGTAGCACTTATTAAAATAAATCCAGACACTTGTGAACCGATTCGAGGTTCAAATGGCCTGTGCATTCGAACAGAAATTAGTAAGAAAAATTGAATATTTAAATCATTGTGAATAAATAATTTTTTTGGAAAATAAAAAATTCAAAGTTCAATTAAATTCATTAATAATTAAATGTAATTTTTCAGATGAACCCGGAATGTTTATAGGACTAATAAAACAGGGCAATGCATCTAGGGAATTCAATGGTTATTTAGATGAAGAAGCGTCCAAGAAGAAAATAATTGAAAACGTCTTTGTCAAGGGAGATAAAGCCTTCCTTACTGGTACGTAAAAGACGAAATAATTATTAAAAATTAACGTAATTTTCTTTTCGAAGAATAAAAAAAAAAAATGTTTTTTTATTAGGTGATATACTGGTACAAGATGAATTTGGCTACTTTTACTTCAAAGATAGAACAGGTGATACATTTAAATGGAAAGGAGAAAATGTTGCAACAGCGGAAGTTGAAGGTGTTGTGAGCAATGTAGCTGGACACCGAGAGTCAACAGTTTATGGTGTCCAGGTTTGTTAATATATACATATTTTTTAAATTTAAAAAAATAATTTTACAGACAAAATGAATAAAAAAAATGCAATTTTTTTTCGTCTTTTAGGTACCAGGAATTGAAGGTCGAGCTGGCATGGCAGCAATCGTTGATCCTGATTGTTTATTAGATTTCAAAGCCCTTGCTGAAGGTCTTGATAAAGCCCTACCGTCCTATGCAAGGCCAATTTTCTTAAGAATTGTCAAAGAACTCGAAATGACCAGCACATTTAAATTAAAGAAAATAACTCTTCAAAAAGAAGGTTTTGATCCTAACAAAATTCAGGACAAAGTTTATTTCCGAGATGGGAATAAGGAATATGTCGAGGTAACACCTGAACTCTATGAAAAAATTATATCGGGAGGTGCAAAATTGTAAAAAACAAAAATTTAAGACTCGAAGACAATTCCTTCTTCTATAATATATTAAATAAGGAAAAAAAAATACGGCTGTCATCACAGCAATTAATAATAATCGCTGAGTGATATTTTATTCAAAATCAACATTTTTTCATATTGAGTAATATTATACGTTTGGGTCCTCAAATGACCACAGCATTGTTATATATATAGAAAAGAAAAAAAAAGGTAAACAAATTATAGGATTTTTGGATATAATATATCCAATTTTTTTTTATATACCTATAAATGTAAGACTATCGTCTCTTGTGCAATGAGTCTTTGTAAAGTACTTTTATAAGCGAGCATTTAGGAATAGATTATTATTATTATTATTATTATTATTAATGAATAATCGATGCAGAGAAACTTGTATGCAATTTTAGAAATTTCTAAGCACAATGCTTCTTTACACGTATTTCGAGAAATGTATATTCTTGAAATCTAGAACAAAATTGTCAATTGACTTTTGACGTTTTTCTAGAATTCATAATAATATTATTAATCTCATAAATTTGTGATGTAAGGTAATTCATCTGCAATCTTAAAATTAAGAATACTTTAAAGTGAAAATTTTTTCAAAAATCTAATAGCTTTTTAATTATATATTTATTTAGAAACCGATATAAAAGAAAACTTTTGCATTTTGTAATTTTCAAGAAGTTTTTCAAAAGAAAAAAATTTATTTTTTAATTGTTTATAAATAATTAATTAAAAATGAGATATTAATTAAAAAATCTGTAGATAAATCTTTATATTAAAGCTTCGTTATAAAATTTTTTGCAGGTGAAATGCCTTAAACTATTTTGCTATTTTATGAAAATTAATTAAATTTTTAAATGTTAAATATTTTTAAAAAGCAATTCTCATATCGATTTCTTATTTAAAACTAGAAATTTTATTGCCAATTTATTAATTAGAAAATAGTTTTATTAATTTTTCTTAAATTAAAAATTGCCAAAAATATTAATCTTACGTACGCTTAAAATTATGAAAAAACCTATTATGGAATTACAAAATTTTTAAGTTGAAAATGTTAATTTTTCATGTAATGAAAAAGTTGAAAATTTATTTGGAAAATAAAATTCCTGTAGGCATTATATTTTAAACAAAAAAACCTACGAAGCTAGTTGTAAAAAAAAGTCTGGGAAACTTTTAACACTTTTTTGTGATATTTTTCAATGTATAAGAAATTGCATTTACTAAAAATACACTTATTGATTCTAAATTATCTATATAAAAAACAAAATTCTTTTCAAAAGCCAAATTTAATAAAGTACTTATAAAGCGAATTAGATTTAAAAAGAAAATTGTTCTGAATTAGAATGAAAGATCTGTAATCAATTCGTCCGAGAATATTTCTAGAATTGTCAAAATAAAAATAACTTATTTATCTAAAACGAAGCTCAAGATATATTTTTTGTCCTTATTTGTTCTGATAATTCGGCCTTTAGTATCGAAAAAATATATATTCTTGGATTTTCCTTTTTTTAAATTTTGAGAAGTCTTTTGTTAACTAATTTCTAGAATAATTTATTTGTGAGCACAAGAGATGAAACCCCTATTTAAAACTACAATGCTCCGTGTAAATTAAAAATTAAAAAAAAGAAACAAAACAAATTTGAAATTATATCATTAAATTAAAAGAAAAAAATTTTAACAACTTGAAAGTAAGAAATTAAAAGTTTCTAACTTTATTCGAAAACCTAAAAAAATTGAACTTCTCAAAATAATTTATTTAAACAATAGATAAAAGACGAAAAACTGTTTAAATACGTTAGTTTCTTGAAACTCCTATATAGTTGCAAAAATGAGAAAAACATGACTCGAACATTTTGTTATTACGACTTAAATAAAATGCTCAGCAAAGACTAAATAATCAAATTATATAAATTTATATTAGTACATGGTGCTGTTATTAAATTTTAAATAAAGACACTTGCTGCTGAGAAGTCGACTTCCATCAAAACTTAAATTGTCAATAATGGAAAAAATAACAATATCGTGTCGTGTGCCTTGCTAAGAATAGCTAAAAATTTAAAATAATTTGTCGAAAAAAAATGCGTGCAAACGTAAAATATCGTCCTAAACATTTTTAAATAAATAAATGAAAAAAAAAGTAATAATAATAATGAACGAAAGAAAAGCTTATTGGGCGAGCAAGTATACTCATGAGATAAATGTGAAATTGAATCGTGTATGTACCGTATGAATGTTTTGTTGATCATTTCGTTGGATGTAAATAAGACAGTTTGATCACTCAATAAATGGTATTGATTTCAAGAAATTACTGTCACATATTACTTTTCAAAAAACTTCTCGAAATTTAAAAAAGCCAAAGAATTCCCTTCTCAAAAAATTGTTTAAAAAATATTTTTTTAATTAAAGAATAAAAATTTTTTGAAACATTAAATATTTCCTTTAAATATTATTGGACTACGAAATATTCTGATGAAACATTTTTTCTTTTTTCTTCAAACATTTCGTTCAACATTCAAATCATTTAAAAAATTGTAAAAACAAAAAAAAAATTAACACTCACACTCCAAATTCAACTTCCAATCATCCAAGGCGTTTTATCGAATTTAACGCGTTTTCAAAAGATGTTGAAACTATTTTCTTTAAATAGATTGTTGAATCCTGATAGTCGAAATTTCTCCTACTGCATGTTTCCGAATAAAATCCATTGAAGCTGAAAACATTCAATAAAAAAGTAAATCAAAAAATTCAAAGAAATTATACATCTAATTCTTTTTTAAAAGATTTTATTATAAATTTTATTTATTTAAATTGCAAATAATAAATTTTACGATTAATATAAAATTGATTAAAATTGGAAATAACGAAAATATAAATTATGAAGGAATTTGAATTTATAACTGAAATGAAAAATATATTTTTCTAACATTTTTCTAAAATTTATTCAAACAATTCATGTTACGATTTATCTCCTAAAAAATGTAGACTCTGAAAATAAGACAAAGTTCTAAATGCTAAAAAAAATAATGCAAAATCTAAATTTCGAACAAAAATTTGTCTCAATATTTGGAATAAGTTTTATTAAAATGTTTAATTTCATTAAAAGTTAATTAAAAATTTTTTAGATTAAAGTAAAATAATAATTGAAACTAATATTTTTTAAAAATATTATTCAAGACGAAAATATAAAAAAATTTATTTAAAAAAATGTTATTAAGAAATGAGTTTTTTAAAAAAATTTTGAAAGAAAAATAATATTTACTCATAATTTTGTTCGATTTTCGTCGTGAATTATTTTTGCGTAATAGATTCCCTTGAATCTTAATACATTTTTTCCAATTGTCATTTTCTACCTCTCGCAATTTTCTTTATTCATTAAGTCCATACAAGCTGAAAACAAACAAAATAATGTAAATTACAAAATCCAAAGAAAATATAAATAATATTTGAAATAAAAATATTTTTTCTTAAATATAAAAAAAAATAAAAATTACGATTTGTTCTATAAAACTAAAATCCTGTAATATTAAATTTGTTATTTAAAAAATTCTTGGGAGTGATTTTTTTAAAAATAGCTCTAAAAAAATTTCTGAAAATCTAAAAAAAATTGTAATGTAAATCTGTTTTAAAATATTTGCGATAAAAAGTCAAGAAAAAATTGGTGAAAAATATTTAGAATAAATAATGATAAAACGATTCAAATAATTTGTTTTTTGAAATGCCTTCAAAGAAAAAAAAAAAAAAGATAATTTTTTCCGAATCTCAAAATTAAACCTTTTTTTTACCAACTTATATTTTTTAAATAAATCGAAATTTAGGCACATAATATGCTAATTATCTTGTTTAAGAAAAATTACTTTAGATTATTTTCACAACCTTTTCCAGTATAGGTTATGAAATTGACACACTAATAAAATTTGCGGAAAGAATAATTAATAATTAAAAAATGGGAGTAAAAAACACTTTCAACTTTTGATAATGTGATTATTATAGAAAAAGAAAAGAGAATACTTTGAATAAACTGAAATTTACTAATTAATTTAGAAAACTTTATTAATATTGTCTCTACAATGATACTCCGTTCACGAAATCGGAGGGAAAAGTGAGCAAATTGGGGGGGGGGGAAGTAAGAAAAAGGCGGCAAAGGGAAGTGCGCGACAATAGCGCCACTGTGCTCAAAAGTGGAAACTCTTATAATCTACTAAAAATCTGTAAATTATTTTATTAATATAAATAAACATATTTTGTATAGCTGTAACAAAATTTTAATAAAAATAATTATTATTAATTTTATTATATGATATATATTCGAAAGATTTGTTACAAATGACTGTAACCTCACTTTCTCCGAAATTTCTTTCAAGTAAAATTTACGATAAAAAAAAAATTAGACTTTTCATATAACACAAAATTTTAGCTCGGAATATATTAGATACCGTGTATAAATAGTTTTTAAGAGCAATAAATTTACTTATTTAATTGATTTTTATACCTTTTCTGATGTTGAACGGCAATGAACCTCTGACGCTGCTGACGAACTAGGAACAAGTGGCAAATTGGAGGGAAGGAAGCAAGATGGCGGATAACGGCGATTGTAGCGCCGCCGTGCTGAAAAGTCGAAACTCCGAAAATTTAATAAAAAATCTGTAAATTATTCTATTAATAAAAATAAACATATTTAGTACAATTGTATCGAAATTCTAATAATGATAATTATTATTAATTGAATTATACGATATATATATATATATATTAGAAAAATTTGTTAAAAACGACTCCAACCTCATCTTTTTACAAAGTTTCTTTGAAGTATAATTTAAGAGAAAAAAAAGCTTAGACTCTTCATATTAAACAAAATTTTAGCTCGGAATATATTAAATACCATGTATAAACAATTTGAGAGCAATAAATTCATTTATTTAATTGATTTTTATACCTTTTTTGATGTTGAACGATAATGGACACCTGACGCTGCTAACGGTCGAGGAACAAGAGGCAAAATGGGGGAAAAGAAAGCAAAAAGGCGGCAAACGGAAGAAAGCGATAGTAGCGCCGCCGTGCTGAAAAGTTGAAACTCTAATAATTTAATAAAAATTTGTAAATTAGTTTATTAATAAAAAATAAACGTATTTAGTACAGTTGTAACGAAATTTTAATAATGATAATTATTAATTATTGAATTATACGATATATTTTTGGAAGATTTGCTAAAAATGATTCTAACCTTACTTTTTCTGAAATTTTATTAAAGTATAATTTAAGAGAAAAAAAAGCTTAGACTCTTCATATTAAACAAAATTTTAGCCCGGAATACATTAAATACCGTGTACAAACAGTTTGAGAATTATAAATTTACTTATTTAATTGATTTTTATACCTTTTCTGATGTTGAACGACAATGGACGTCTTGAAGCTGCTAACGAATGGGCGGTCAGGGAAGAAGTGGCGATTGCAGCGCCAGAGCGGAAGTCAATTTTTTTTTGAATTGTCCAAAAATTTAAATATTATAATTAAAATAAATTGTTTCAACACTGCAACATTAAATATTTATAAATACCATTACTAATTTTTTAAATTCATTTATTTTTAATTTATTTCTCAAAAAAAAAATTAGAAACGAAAAGTAATAAAATATATTCATTCAAATATTTTAAACGGAAATGACTAAACACCACAAAATTAGTCGCTAGAGGGCAGTAAACGTTTCCTTAAAGTTATTTCCGGAAGTTTTCAAATTCGTCAGAAAGTAACGTACATGTGCATCGCATCAAACAACAATATTTTAATAACTCATCTACCTTATGGATTTATTTATATAATTATTATCAACAATGGAAAAAAATTCATCCTGATTAAAATTATTGGACAAACTAAAATTTGTAACAAATAGTATGAATAAATATTGTTGAAATGTGGAGTTTCCAGTTGAAATTTACTTTGAGGTTAAGCTGAAGATAATGAATTTATTTATATAATTATTATCAACAATGGAAAATAATTCATCCTGCTTGAAATTATTGGACGAACTAAAATTTGTAACAAATAGTATGGATAAATATTGTTGAAACCTGGAGTTTCCAATTGAAATTTACTTTGAGGTTAAAGCTGAAGAAAAAATAATTAGGTAAGTCTTTTTTATGTTTTTAATCTTCTTACAAACATTCTGTTATTTAAGATAAATTGTTCTTAAAATTTTGGATATTTAATAATTGAAATTATTGGATGAACAGAAGTTTGTAGCAAATAGTGTGGTGAATATTGTCGAAAGCTGCAGTTTCTAGGCGAAATTTACTTTGATGGTTAGCTGAAGAAGAAATAATAGGTGAGTCATGTTTTTAATATATTTTTACAAAAATTCTGTTATTTAAAATAAATTGTGCTTATAATTTTAGATATTTAATGATTGAAATTATTGGACGAACAGAAGTTTGTAACAAACAGTATGGATAAACATTGTCGAAACCTGCAGTTTCCAGACGAAATTTACTTTGATGTTTAGCTGAAGAAAAATGAATTAGGTGAGTCTTTAATGTTTTTAATATTTTTACAAAAATTCTGTTTTTTAAAAAAATGCTTATAATTTTAATGCTTTAAAATATTCTTAAATACATTATAAATTTTATTCAACTATGATTAATATAATATCTATAAAAATTATAAATATATAGGGAGATAATATATATTCTAAAGAATGCAAAAACAATGTGACTATAAATCCTAATCAACTTTAATTTTTATAATGTTAATAATTATACATTACAAACGTGTATAAGTGAAAATATTAATATTCAATTATTTTTTAAAAAATAGTTGTTTTCAATTTCGTATTGAATTTTGTGCGTTATAAAAATGAAGGATTTTACATATCGAAATATTTTCGGAGACTAGGCTCCAAATTATTAGGATCCACATTAGGTCCATGTCTTTCTACAACTTTTCCTTCTTTATTCACAATGAATTTTGTGAAATTCCATTTGATAAAACTGCCCAAAGTGCCACCTTGTTCCTTTTTTAGATATTTCCACAAAGGATGAGTGTTATCTCCATTAACATCAATTTTTTCGAATAAATCGAATTTCACCTGCAAATTATTTATAAAAATTAATTAAAAATTATACATTTTTAATTAATTTTTTTTTTTTTAATAGGGAAATTGAAAAAATTTTGAGCTTATTTCATAATTACCTTTTCTCGATCAGCAAAACTGCAAATATCATCAGCAGTACCAGGTTCCTGGCCATTAAATTGATTGCAAGGAAAAGCTAGTATACGCAATCCTGAAAATTACCAAAATTAATTAATTTCTTTTCAATTATCATTTTCCTTAAGGAATATTCATAAATTGACAATATTCTAGAATTTACCTTCGGATTCTGCAAATTTATCATAAAGCTCATTAAGTTCTTTATAATTAGTTTTTGTCAGTCCACATTTTGATGCCACATTCACAATTAAACAAACATGTCCCTTATATCTAAAAATAATATTCTCTTATAATTGATGTCGCTTTGAAAAAAAAAAATTCTTTTAGAAAAAATAATACTTACTTTGATAAGGGAACATCTTCTCCTTTAATTGATTTTGCCGTAAAATCGTAAATTGATGTTGCACTTTTAAAATCATCATTTCCACTCATTGTTGCTTAAAAAAAATAGCACATTAATTTATTTAACATAAAATTTTATTTTTTAAAATAAAACAAACATTTAGCACGAGGAGTACCGTATATTTGCAAACTCACCAAAATAGTACCAGAGCAAAATTGAAAATCCTGAAACTAAAAAAACAATTTTTGGAAAAATCAACAAAATTTGAGAAAAAAATTAAAGAAAATTAAATTAATTAATTAACGGTACTCCTAGTGTTAAAATTATAAAATTAAATTATAAAAACTAAAAACTTTAGCGCATTTAATTATTTAAAAATATTAGAATTATTTTTAACAAAAGATCGAACATAAATTATCTTTATTTTGATATTCATAACGTAAAGCACATTAAAGTTCATTTAAAATTAATAACTAATAGATTTTCTTTGAAAGTTAGAACAAACAAATTAAAAATTAATTTATAGAAAGTTTCAAACGCATGCGTAAAATATTGTCAGCGGTGTCCCTATTTTAAATTAACTTGGATATGTTAAACAGGAAATCAGTATTACACAACAACAAAAATGTCTTTTTATTTAGAGGAAAGGAGCAAATTTTTATCGAATTTTATAGAAACCTGTTGCAAAACTTCTGATTCCAATGTATGAGTTTATAAATATCAGAGGTGTGCGAATTAAAGATTTAATACTCATATTCTCACCGACTTTTTTTTGGATCCTTTTAGTATACCGCTATTTCAATTCAACTTTGAAAATATTCTGAAATAACAATAATTGCATTATTATTTTTAAATTGCGAGATAATATTTTGAGGTTATCTATATTCTTACTGATAAATAAAAATAAAACTTAATTTGTTTATAGCTACGTTGTTCTTGATTGTTTATGTATTTAAATTAAAAATTTTGACTTTTAAATATATATTACATTAAATATGATAATAAAATTCTTACCGCTGTTTGAAAAGTAGACGTAACTTATCCGAAAACGAAACTCACTCTGACAATATTCTACGCCTTGCGCATGATCAAAAGACCGGCATAATTTCTCTTCACAAATTAATATTTCGTCATAATAAAAAATTGCATTGTAATGCTGAATAAGTTTATTGATAACAATAAAAAAAACACCTAATATAGATTTAATTCAAAAATAAATACTTACTTCATATTTGATTGCAAAAAAAAATTACGCCTTATAAAAAAAAATCTATAAATAATTTTTTAACGACCATAAATTTTTCTTATTTATAAATGCAAATAAATTTCCCAACAAAAGAATATTTTAGAAAGAGCAGAATTTTTTTTTATCATTTATTTTTAAGCTACTTTCTAATTTAGTTGAAAATAAATATTAATTAAAATAAGATAAGGCTAAAGGTGGTGATAGAATTAAAACTATTATTATAAGTTAAGGATATTTTTAATAATCGATAATATACAATTTAAGAATTGATTAATTTTAATTATTATGTAGCATGACGATTTGATTAGGCACAATTTTTTATACCTTTTTCAAAAAGAGGCACGATCAACGTGTCTCATTATTCAATTCACTGTCATCCTCTATCAGTTTTCTACTAAATTGATATATAAATGGCAGAACATTTCTGATACCATAATGCACTAATTAATTTCTGTAACCTAATTGTACTAGCGCGACTTAATACTTATTTGTTTTTTTCTTTTTTTTGAGATTTGCGATATTCTTAAATATTAATGAGTCTAAATTCAATTCTACACAGACTGCAATATAAAACAATACCACACACTTCCATCTACTTGTATATAACAAACTAAAATCACTTGTTTTTTTTTTTTTTTTTTGTTCGAAAAAATTAAAAAATCCTTTTACAAGAAACATTTTAAAAAAATTGCACTACAATAAATCGCTAGTTATTTTTTTTTACATTATCTCCATGTATTTTATAAATATATTAAGTGTCAGTTCCCTTCAATTACTTTTTAATAAGTCTTAAATATTACATTGAAAATAGATATACAACAACAAATAGCACTTTTCGTGCTTTTGTGCTTTTATACCGATAAAAATTATGGAAAAATTGGGTCACATTTGAAATATTTAGAAAATTTATTGTTCGTTATTTAAATTGTCGTAAATAAGATTCGACGAGCCTTTATAAAGCATGTATGAAAAATTCTAGTTATGGTATTGTTTTTTAAAAAAGCTAAAATTCAAAATTTCTATTATTATAGAGAAAATTTTTTCTGTTCTTGGGAAATTCTAATTGTATGTAAATTTGCTTTGGTATTTGTAAGACTCATTTTCATCAATTACTTATCAAATTATTTTGAAAATTTTCACTATCTAAAAAGTTGATTACTTATCAACTTGGTGGAATGGCTTTTGCTGTTTGTCCAAAACCCAAATTTGGCCTTGTACCAAACCAAGACATTTTCCATTCTAAAGTTTCTTGCAATAATCTTTCTTCCTCTGGCGAAAAATGAAGAAGTGTCGCTACCGCCCTTGTTAAATGGAGAGCCTATAATTAATTTAATTTTAGAAATTAATTTCAGTAATTAAGTTTATCAAATTTTATGAAAATTAAACTAAATTTTTTTTTTCTATAATCGAGAAATGTATAACTTACTTCATATTCTCTGCTGGTTAGAAATTTGATAAGGACGTGTTTCAAATATTTAAAGTTGACATCGTCTTCTCTGGAATTACTTTGTTTAGCAGTGACTGTTTTAGATGAACTAGGACTCAATACTGCCACGGAAGATTCAGCATCACTGTCTAATGATGATGATGGCACCCTTAATTCTCGTTGAAGAGTTTTTTTCATATCAGCCAATCGTTGTTGCAAAACCTTGATTGTCTGAATTAAAAATAATTTTTATTATCTCTTTCATTTATTTAATTTTAGATTATATTTAAAATACTTAATACAAAAAAGAGAAATTTTTTCCACAAAAAATATATAGAAAATACCTTGGTTTTTTCTTGCAATTGTTCCTCCATATCTGAAAGACTAGTTTTAAGAACTTTTTCGTTTCCTTCTAATCTTTCCCTGGATTGTTCAGCATTCTCTAATTCTTGAATTCTCATATAAGTTTCTTCATGTTTTTTCAAAGATTCCTCAATATCTTTTTCTTTGGTTTTCAAAATTTTTTCCAATTTCTCAAGTTTACTGTGAAGTTCGACATTTTCCGTTTCCTGTTGTCCACTGTCTTGTTGGACTAATTGCATTTCCTGCGAAATTCGAGCAATTCTCAATAAAGCCGAATCCTTTTCGTTTCGTTCTTTTTCTAAACACACGCGAAGAGTTGCCGACGATGTCTTCTCAGTTTCGACATTTTCCCTAAGACGAGCTAATTCTAAATGTAATGACGAATTATTTGTCCGTTCACCTTCTAACGATAATCGCAGGTGCGACAATTCAGAATTCGCTGATTCAAATTTTGTCGTAATTTCTTCTTTTTGTGACTTGAGTTCCTTTATTTCCATTGACGATGTTTCCTGTCGACAATAAAAAGGTTTTTAGTATTTGGTATTATTTTTCGTTAGTAATTAAATTGATTAAATTAAATTATTAATTAAATCATTTTATAGTTAACAATTAAATTACTCTTGTATTTATAAAATTATTACAATGTAATATAATTAATTATTATAATTAATTATTTTACTTAAAGTAATAGCGATTAGAATATCAAGAATAGATTTTGAATAAACAAATTAAAACCCCGAACGTTGAAAAAACATTTTAAAAAAAGAAACAAAAATTTAAACATTCTACAAATAAGCAAAAAAAAAGTTGTAACCCTGTGATAAAACAATTGAATTAATAAAAAGCAGCAAGGGGGAGGAATATTGTAAAGAAAAGGTGAAAATAAGCGATAAGAAATAATACATATTCTGATATGATTTCACTTTATTATTTTTTTTTCTTTTTTATGAAAAGTACATATCTTTGATTGTACATAAAAATGATAATAAAGTTACCTAAATTCTATCAGACTCGAAATTAGTAAAGAGAAATAAAAAATATAAAAACTAATTAATGCATCAACATGCTTGAAATTAAAGAAAAACAAAGCAAAATTCATAATTGTGCCATTTGAAATATAAATTTATAAAAATAAACGAAAAATTAAATAAAAATGTGCTTCAAGCCTCAAGCAATTTTTTTTTTGGTCATGCAGTAACGACAAATCGTGTTTTTTTTTCTTTTGGTGATGTTTCACGATTTTCTAAATACTGGTCCTCGTTTTTTGATATCACAAAAAAATATTAACTTAAAAATAAGTAAATAGAAATTATTGACTTGTTCTATAATTAACAAAAAATATCATTGATTTCGATAAATTATCGATTAAATATATCAAAAATGAAAACAAATTAATAAAATAAAAATTATCATTTTAAATTTGAATTTTTTCTAAACTTCCGAAAAATATAATTCTAAAATAAACTATATAGATAACTAACATTAATAGTTATTTAACAAATAACAATATTTTAACTTTCGTATTTTCATGATATATATAGTATTATCAAATAAATAAGATAACGATAGCCTTTGGGTATATTGAAAAAAATTGTGAATAAATTTCCTTAAAAAAAAAAAAATCCTAGGATGAACAATAATAATTTTTGATTGTGTGCCAGACAGTCTTTTTTTGTTTGTTTGTTTGTTCCAAAAGATGTTCTAGCCCATGCATTCATCATTGCGAATCACGGTAACTCACAATTTGTTGTTTAAATTCTTCGACCTCATCATCGACGTTGGCCCGGAGCTCTTTTAGTTCCGTGGCCATCTCGTCGATGTCCTCGGCCATGCGCAAAAGCTTGGCGTCTTTCGTCGCCATTACCACATTGTTCACCTCAATTTCGGCCTCGAGTTGTTTAATTTTTTTCTTCAATTTCTCCTTTTCCTCTTCGACACGCCTCCTCTCAAGACCCTCTTCACCTGCCTGTCTACTTAGTCTACCAACTTGTGTTTCAAGACTTGAAATTTTTCCCGACCAACTTGTTTTAATATCAGACAAATGAAGATGTGCCTCTTCCAATTTTCTCTCAAGTAATGTCCTCTCCCTCATGAGATTAGCTATTCGTTCATCAACTGTTAATTGATCATTTGAATCTAAGGCCACACGTTGCTCTAAAACGAAAACTTTATCCTTCAAATGTCGTACCTCTTCCTCGGTTTGTGCCAATTGACTCGAGAGTTGTGCTTTCTCTCTTTGTGTTGAATGTCGCAATGTTTCCATTTCATCCTGAAAAAATAAATTATTTAATTACACATGCCAAAATTATTTTTATTATGAAATGATGCGATATTACACAGACCAATAGAGCGATTCCTAGAGTTTCTGAAGAAAATCAAAAACGAGACTTCACAGTTGAAAGAGATTTAAAAATTTTCGAAATGTAAATTGTTTTGTAAAATTGTGTCAAAAGCTAAGGGTGTTAAACGAAAGAATAATAAAGCAATGAATGTGAATGAAATCCCCCAAAGAAAATAGAAGCAAAATTCTCGTATTGCTTATTTTTGCTTAATCTTATTTCGTAAGCAGTTAACCCAGCAGTATTTGGAAATGAAATAGAATTACCAAATTTTAGTTTCTCAAAATATGTTTAAATAGAAATATAGCAGAGTAGCAGCTAAGCTTGAAAGACGTACCTCTAGCATCAGCGGTAGCAGCAGTATTTTGCGGAAATAGCCGCTTGATTTGTTCTCCAATGCTCTTGTGCTTCAAACTTTTCAACTCTCGATGCTTTTTTTTCACTCTATTTTGTTAAAAAAAAACCATTTTCGCGATTTTTTACTGGAATTTTTTTTTCACATTATCCGAATAATGTAAAGAAAATATTTTTTCATTAATATTTAAATTAACACAGAGAAAAAACAATTTTAACAACACACTTTTTTGCCCGAAAGAATATAAATATTTTTCTCTCGATTATTATTATTATTTATAAAAATATCGGTAGCATGAAAGTGCAGAAAATAAGGACAAAACACAAAGCAAAAATTTCAAAATACCCCAAAAAAAAAAGAAAAACACAAGTCAAAGGGAAGAGAGTCCTTGAAAAAAACTTGATTAAATGTTAAAATAATTGTTAATGTTTCAAAATAGTTCAGCTAGAAAAATATTTTTCTTCAATCAAAGATATATTTTCTTTTTCATTAAATATCTTTGATTCAAAAATTCTCCCGCTGCTTCTCCCCAACTGAAAGTTGCAAAATAAATTTGAAATTGTTTTTTTAACAAAAAAAAAATATTTAAAAAATTTAGCCACTTGAAAAAGCGAAAATTAATACAAAAATTCAAAGGATCATGCTTGTGTGATAAAGTGCAAAATTAAAAAAAAAAATACGCAAACAAAATTGTGTGTATCATTCCTGGCTTCATTTTTGGGTTTCACTTGATCATCTACATATTTATAATATGTAAATTATAATAATACAATGAGATAAGAAGCTTCGAAACATGTTACGAAACAATTTAATCTCTTTAAAGCGATACTCACTTGAACATTATTTAGCTCGTCTTCATATCTTCGCAGACGGGAAACTTCTGTTTTTAAATTATCCATTTCAGTCAAAGCGGATTTTAAATGATGTGACTTCTCCTCCACTTCTTGTTCTTTGGCTAAAAGCTTTATTAAAAATATTTTATATAAAATATATAGAGAAAAATTTAATTAAATTATATTTAGAATAAAAATATAAATTTAATTAAAATTAAAATTATACTCACTAGATGCTTGATTTTGGCCATTTCTTGAGTTTGAAAACCTTCTAATTGTTCTGCATCTTCTTGAAAAGAGTACAATTTCTTTTTGTATTCTATACAAAAAATTAAATTAATTTATTAACAATGTTAAAATTAAAAAATTAAAACGAAAATAGTTTAACATATTTTTATAATTTCAAAATTATTTATTTAATTAATTAAATTAACCTTCTGCCTCGGTTAATGCCAATTCCAATGAACGCCTTGCATTTTCTGCTTTTAATTTGTCTTCCTCAATTTTTGCTTTTTCTTTTTCTTGTTTATCAACTATTTTCTTCCATTCTTTTTCTTTCTCGAGTATCTTTATTTTCCACTCTTCATCTCGTTTTTCCATTCGTTTGAGCAATTCAGTTTCCTTTTTCTGAAGTCTCCGTCGCCATTCATCTTCTCTATTCTCGAATCTTTTAATATCTTTAGTAGATAGTTGTGTGCCATCGGTTAATTTAAAATCAAAACTATTTTCTCGTTTTAATGATATCGGAGGCGAAGACGAGATTGGATTTTCATCTCGAGAATCGTCTAGAGATATTTGAGATCCACTAACACTACTGGTTGATCCTGTCTATAATATTGAATCAAACAAAAATTATTATTTTCTCTATCAATAATAATAAATTAGTTCGTTATTTAAAATTATTCAATATTTTCCAAAATAGTGAAAAACAGAACAGTTTTTCGAATTAAAATTTCTATTTAAATCGTGAAGGTTCCTATTCTTATAAACTTGAATGCTATGAATCAAATAAAAAATATTAAATAAAAGAGTGATTAACATAACAATGTTGACAATGACCTGAAAATTAAGATACGAACATAGCAAAAACAACTGGTCTTTTTTTTAAACTCAATGACTAATATTAGAAACGTAAAAACAACTAAAATATTTTTAAATGCGATTAGTAAATTTTTAAAATAAAAATAATTTAAATTTTCTTCTGCAATAAAATAATAATTTTTAATTATTCAATGAATTTATTAAAATTAAAGAATTCTTCATAATCAAAATGAAAACAATTCACAGTTAACTTCTATGACGAAAATGAAGTAAAAAAAATCTAATAAAAAGTATTGACGCCACCTAAGGAAAATATAATCAAATCTAATCAAGGTCGTAAATGTAAAATATATACTTATAGGAAAATCTAATTGTAACAATTACCTGGGATAAAAGTTTGGAATTAATTCCACGAACACTTCCTGCATTTCTGACAACTGTAGAGACGTCACTTCCAATTTCTTCTCGTATTTTATTCTTTAAACTAGCGAACATAGTGCAGCTTTTTTCTTTATTGATAAGAATTAAAGGTGGATGTCAGTAACCACCTGTCAAATGTCAACGTCACAATTGATAACGAAATGTGGGTCAATTTCCAGTGTCTTTAAATCGTTGATTCCTTTTAGATAAAATTGTCAGACTTCATTTTCTTTTAATTCCTGCTTTATACACTCTCATGTCTCATAACAATTGTTAATCCTGTAATTGTTCCATTTCAACTGACAACAACAAAAATCATCCACAACTCGGCTGCCATTATCACGCAAGTGACGTAACTAACCTAAAAATTTTCTTTTTACGAAATTATCGAACAGAACTAGATTATCGCGGGAAGTTTGAATAATGTACAAATAATTCAAAAGGGAAAATAAGTCGAAAAGATAAAAACTCCAAAAGCGGTCATAAAAAGCCATAATATTGTGTAAACAATGTTAAATGCAAAAGTATTACACGAATTAAGAAGTGCAGTGCCAAGAGTAATTTTTAAAACTACTTCAGCAATTTCATTCATTTTGACACTTTATCACTTTAAAAATTTTGAAATTTACATCATTTAATTAAGATAATATAAAAATAAACTAAAAACTGTCAAAATCAAAATAAAAATAGAAAAACGATTTAGGAACTTTTTTTTTTTTTTAGAAAACTAGAATAGTAGAAATTTTTCAAAAACGATGTTGGTAGTACTTCTTCAATCACCAATCAGAACGCTTAGAATTAGTGTGAAACAAAATGGCGTCAGGAAGTGTTGTAAACCAATCAACAATCAAACATTTGTTTTGAAACTGACGGTTTATCAAAGATTTTATTCGTGTTGTTGTTGCAGGAGTACAAAAATAAGTTTTAATGGAAAAATAGTGTATAATTGTGAATAAATTGAACAAAAATTAGGAGGAAAAATGGGTGACGAAACTATAGCGTCTGTGAATTGCTTTGAAATGTGAGTAACCAAACATTTTTGACCTGCGTCTTTGTGTTATTTTTATCCCGTACGCGGGAGGCTTCTATAATAAAGTTAATAAAGATAAAACAATGACATGTACGATTTTACTGCTCTAGTTTCTTAAAAAGTGCTTGATTGATGTAGAAAATGTTTCTTGAACATATTTCGCACATAACCTCTTTTGCCAATAATATACAAATCTCGCATGTTCTAAAATTTTAAGGTTATCTTACAGAATCTTTTAGAATGCACATAAACGGTAATCGTGAAAATTATTTTTATATCAGTTTATAAATTTGAACTAAATTTACAAGAGATGAGAAATTATGCAATAGTTACAATTCTGGCTTTTTGAAAAATATCATTGCATTGTTTCTTTTTTAATTGCTTGAAAAACAAATTTGAATTTTATTATAAATTATATTATTAATAATTATTAAATTAATTTAAAATCCTGTTTTTTTAATGGGAAATTTGAAAACAATTTTATTAATTTTTAGTTATTAATTAAGAATTTATAGAACACATATATAATTTTTGGCAAGTGTTTTATTTATTCAAAATCTATTTATTGTTTTTCTCATCTTCTAATTGTCCTTTATCGATCCTTTAAATGCTCTAGATTCTCATCAAGTGTCACAGATCCTTTTAGGAGCTAAATTCCCGAGTTATAAATATCAAACTCTTATATTATTAAATAGTCAGGTTATTTGAAAATTTTCCATGTTATCATTAATTTATTTTCTTCTTGCTCTATCGTAATGTCAACAATTCTTGAGGTCAAAAGTCAGTTACTGTAAAGATGCTTTCTTTAATATCGACATTCATTTAATATTTTTTTTTTAAAAATACATTAAATGTAATTAATTTCTTTAACATTTAACTTGTATTTTTATTGTTTAGGTCAGTTTTGGGTGAAAAATAAAATTTTGAAGCTGATCATTAGCTGATAATGTAAATGTAAAGGACATTATGATACAGCTTTGGATTTATGTGATAAAAATTAGAATTTATATTCACAAAAATTCAACACTCAAATTTCGATGAATTCTTATTATATATTTTAGGGGTATCAAGTTTACTGCATTTTCTTGCATCGATTCGCATCTTAAGAATAAGCACCTTGACCTTTTGCGAACTACTTAAACAGCATAGATTGCTTGACTTCGATAAATATATAAAAATTTCAAGATTCGTGATATGAAAATTGTGTTTAAAAAAAAAAATATGTCTTTGTTCAGATCAAAAGGTCGACTTTTGGGCTCATTGATTTTGAAGCTTGAGGCTGTGAACAATATATTGAAATCAAGAGACGGAGATTTATTGAGAAGTTCTGATCGATCAACACATGTGTGTGAACTCCCCTTCGAACTCCCACTTTCATTTGAGCTTTCTGCCCCTCTTTCCTTGCACTTCTCACCCCCTCTTCATCATTCCAGCGCATCCACGCTGCCGTCTTCAGTCGACTCTAGTCCGTCGAATAGTCGTGCGTGTGTTAAATTTATCAATTTATATTTACATACACTAAACAAATTTTTCTTAAAAATATTATCTTTCTTCTCAAAAAAACTAGGATTATTTATCAATTTTTTGAGAGAACAATTCTATTAAAACATAGAAAGATTCGATAAAAATAAAAAAAAAAAAAAAAAAAAAACTGGAACAATGGGTCACAATAGACCATCAACGAGAAAAAGATTATTTTTTTCAAAGAGGATGGTGAAAAAGGGAAAATTATTACAAAAGTGAAATTTTCTTCTATTGACATTAATTTATTTCAATTGTAGAATTAACTGTTACATATTTTTTGTTTATTCAGTTTCTTCACTTAAAATCTGTGTCATAATAACAAAGGACTATTTTTTTTTTTTGGTGATTTTCTAACGATTTTGACTGAAAAAATTAGTGTCAGTATTTTTTAACGAATGGACCTAATGTGATTTATCTCTGGACATTCGATTTCGTGATAATTGTTACGATTTTCTTTTGTTTTTTTTTTCACTCTCTCGTAAGAATAGGTGTTTGTTTTTCAAGGGTGACATCGTGGACTCGTTTTATCTTTCGTGTGTGTTAAGTGTTATTTATCTAGAAATTATCTCGAGTTATCTCGAATTGATCGTGTGGTACATTTTGAAACGAATGTGCGCCGTAAGGGATGGACAATAATAATTCAGGCAACGTGCTCGTCTTGCTTTGAATTGCATTTTGGCACAGCATCCGGAAGGATAATTATTGTCAAGTGATTTTTTTTTGAAAAACAATTTTTATTTTCTATTATAAATAGACTATTTACAATTATTTTTTCATTCTCTTGCTTTTTACAATTTTTATTATAAATATATATTATTTTGGAATTTCATTTAAAGATTTTGAAAATTCCCTGTAATTTAATCCGACTGCAAAACTGATGACATAATCTTATATAAGACTGACTTTTCGCGCCAAAAATCGTGCCAAAGTAAAACACAACCAGTATTTAAAAAAAAAAATAGGATTTTTATTGTTATCGTTTGATATTAAGACTGTAATATATTGAGGAAGTTTTTATTGTAAATTTTCTGAAAAAAAAAAATCAAAAATGTTCTTCGGAGGTATAGGATATTCGAGTCAAAATCAAAACAACCTTCAATCGCCAACGAAAATCAGTATTTGGGGAAGTGCTTTAAGCCCATTTAGAAAGTAAGTCATATAATTTGAAATTGTCGGTACTTGGAAATAATTTTCTTTCGTGTTTTCAGGTAGTAAAATTTTCCTTGTATAATTTTATAGCATTTGAACAATTTTTAAAGTTATTGAATAGAAATTGGTTCATGAAGGGTCCCAATTTACCAGCGTATATTATAACTCTATAAAGTATATATATATTTATAGTATAGGTATTATTTTTTCTGCAGAGGAAATGAACTAATTTTTCCAAGAAAATTGTATGCTGTAAATTTGTAATGTATATATAGGGCTATATTCATTTATTATTTTTTTTTTGGCAAATATCTTGTTATTAAAATTCAAAATCAATTATATTGATTCATATATTTTTATTGATCTAGAAATCTATCGGGGATTAATTTATTATTATAAAGAAAATGTGCAGCGCAATTGCATTAATTAACATAAATTCAATATTTCCGGATTTCATAAATGGAGTTTTTGTATAAAGAATAGAAAAGCAACTTGTATATAATCCGCCTACAAAAGACTCCTACATGAAATGCAAAAGAGAGTAAAAATGAATTAGTACCGCGTATAAACATATAAGCGTTAATTTAAACTAATTATTTAACTGTCGGTTAATTCGTTTAACAACTTATTTTCAAGCGTCTAAAATTTAAATCATAAAATTAAAGGGATTCTATTTTCATTTATATTTTTCCATGGGATTATTTTTTAATTAAATTATTTACTTCATGTAATGTTTATTTTATTGGTCACACATTTGATAAATGTATATCATTAAATTTGAGATTTGATTGAAAATTCATAGTTGAATTTTCAAAATACAAAAAACTTATTTTGTATATATATCTTAAATTTTAAAAGAAAGCAAACGATATTTACATTGTATTATGCAATATACAATATTAATTTTAAAGAATTTTTTTTATTTACATTTGTCTAAAAATTGGTTGATTAATTCGTTGATAGATTTATTTTATTAGTTTGTGTATGTTTGTATGATTTCGATGACAGATAAAAGTAAGTGACTAATTAATCGAATCTTAATATTAAGATTTCAAAAATCGATTATAATTAAATTCGATTTTAATATAGTTTCATCTAAAAGATTTTTGAAAAAATTCTTTCTCTCTAGGTCCTAAATACCTAGAATAATGTTATCTATTAAAATTTTCGAAAACAAAATTTTCTATTCAGATGGACTACCCTCCATGACAAGTTTTTCTTTCTTCTTTTCGGAAAATGCACTATTATTCCTTCCAGTAACTTCAATATAATGTCGTTGAGTTGCATTTTTTAATGCTACTTTTGCAGCTTCCTCATATAAAGCCCTTGATGGTTGCTTCAACCTTTGTATTCTTCTACAAGCGGCTGAAAATTTTTATGCAAAAATTTAATATTAAAACACACCATATATGACAAAATTTGATTTATCACATTGAATTTTATATACCAAAAAATGTCTTCGATATTTGAGAATCTCTGAAGTGAATTTTCGAGGTGCCAAGACACCATGTTAGATTCATGGCAACAAATGCATCGCTAAATGTCATTCTAACAAAATCCTTTACTGTTCCTCTCAATGTGAATCCACCAACACTGACCAAAAAATGTTTCTGTAAAATTATTCAAAAAATTTTAAAGAAAACGAATATTAATTTTTAAATTAAAAACAAAATTGTTGCAGGTTTTGATCCATTTTTTTTTACCAATTGTTCTAGACGAGTCTCGTCACTCTCAAGTGCTTGATAGGCTGCTATGGTTTCAATTGGTAATCCCAAAGCTTGAGGATTATATTCATTATCATGAGATGTCCCTTGGCTTTGTTCAATTTTTTCTATTCGTTTACCCAAGTCTGATAATTGCTTTATGCAAAGAGCCATATCGGTTCTTAGTTTTCTAAAACAATCAAATATATGTATATTTTTTTTTTGATTAAGTTTTGATCCTGATGTAATTATTTGGATAATGATTAAGATTAATAGACTGTTTAGAAAATGAATTGACTATTAAAATCATAACAATGATGAAAAAATCATTCAGGTAGAAAATATTTATTTAAAATTAAAAAAAAAAACTCACATGACTTCATCTAAAATTTGAACTTGAAGAGCCATGTGCATTTGCATTTGCTCCGGTTTTTGCTCCTCGATTTCGCCTTTCGAATCCTCCACGTTTTCCGAATTTTGAGGATCAGTAATAGACATTGTCTCGTATGTTTTTAATTCTTGTCTATAAATTTGACAATTGACTAATTGAATAATGACAACAATAATGCTTTAATAATTGGTATTCTTCACACAATATGATCTTTTTAATATTCTAATTTTTTTTATTTTGCGGTCTATTGACAGATTCTCCTGGTTCTCTGGCTGATATTCTGCAGGTTGGAATCCAGAGAACTGACTTGGTGGGAAAGACGCATGCGCAATTAAAAGGATGTCGACACCGTCGACCCTCCACGAGTAAAGGTCGATTCACATCCGAGAGTCATTGATACCCGGCTCATTTTAAAATCAGGGGGAATTAATTTGAGGGACAATAAAAAAAAATTACAGTCCTTGATTAAAAAAAAAAAAGAGATTTATATCTTCAGTTTCGTTTATATGAAACATTTTTCTTCCCATTTTTTTTTATTTTTCAAAGGTACTTATTTTATATAGTAATAAATAAATTTTTGATTGTTGAAAGTTAAATGAATCTTTCTTTTTTGATGAGATGAGAGGATTTTGTCTTTGTTCATCTTTTGCAAAAGGGATTAATTCCTATAGGAAATTCCAACTTTTATCTTTTCATTTCAAATATTTGTTTGATTTGAAAATAATCTGAGAGAAATTGTAGCAGTTCTTATAAACAGTCGTTTAATTGTGCAAAAAGCAGCATCGCACGTTTTGGTCCATAACACGCTCTTGTTACGTATTGATTATTCTTTCAAGCTTCATGACGTCATCTTTTGCTCATATACGTCAAAACATTTTTCAAATATATATATACAGTATTTCACAATATATAAGGAAAAATACGGGGTGTTTAAATTTTCTTCAAATATTTTTTTATATTTTCAAAAATTCTAATGAAATATTCAGCTAATGTTAGAATTGATGTTAGAAATTTATTAACAGAATATTTCTTTAGGTAATATAATATTATCAAACTAAAATGAAACTTGATAATATAAATAAAATTTCTTTGAATTTATCTCTTTGAAAAGATCAAATACTATTTCACTAGAACTGCGATTAGAATTTTAAAAATTATTAAATTGAAATTTTTTGTTCCAATGTATAAAATTTTAAGAACTTTAATAATAATAATTTAATATTGCCCTTGAGTGTATTGATTTCACTCTCGCTTTGCAAAGTGTATAATAATTAGATTTATTAACAGATGAAAAGTCGAGTTAACTGCAATTTTAAACTTCTATTCAAAAGATATTTTGCCCTTTATAAATATAGCTTTCTCGTGTAGATAAATGAGAAAAATAACTTTACACGAAATTACGGTTTATTAAAGTGAAATTATTGTTTTTGGGGAAAATTTCACTCAATATTTTCAGTAATTAATTTTAATCTTGATAAATTTAGGTTTTTTAATTTATCTTATTATCTCAATTATAGAATAAACGAAATTTCAATTCAAGGACAAAAAAATTGAAAGTAATTTTTGGTGTGTCTGTCTTCTATATTCACCCACGCGATTAATGCGAATCTTTCAAACCGACAAAATGAAATTCGATACACTTGTATTTGTATCTCCTGTGGTTTTTAATTTATGAATTTATATATTAGGTTTATCTACAGGGAATTTTTGAAAATAAAATTGTAATCTAGGTATTATTATTGTTTTATATATAATTGAACTTCTTGTTCAAGGAGAGAGAATATATTGTATTGATTCTATTTTTTTTAATTGCAGGATTTAATTACATATATGTAAATTATTACATAAATAGGTAACTGGAACCGAGAGAGGGAATTTTTTTTTTTTTAAATCTGGAAACTTGTTTTCAAGAATGAAAACAGTATTACAAAATTGAAGTTTCTGTGTTGGATACTTTGAAAAGTTTAAAAGGTTGAGATGATAGAGTCGTTCGCTTGGGACGTAATTACAATGCTATTTTTATTCAGGCTCTTCTTTCATTCTTAAGGGCTCAACGCGTGTTGTTTGATCCTCTTGTGCTTCTGAAAAAAATACAAGAAAAAAAACTTCTCTTTTTGAAAAATATTTCCTGTCCATAAAGTAAAGACGATGTCATCATTACATGCTTCCATAAGAATTTTAAGGATTTAATTGTTAATCGAGCATATCCAGAGAAAAAATATATTTGTCTCAGAGCTAAATAAATATTTATTTGGTTTTAAAGATATTTTATTTGCTTTAAAGAAAATTTTATTTGTGCTAAATAAAATTTTTATTTTTATTTAGCTCTGAGACAAATATATTTTATTTGACAGGAATAAAAAAATTCTCTGTCTGTAAATTGTATAGGTTTCTATTTATTATTTGGTACTGACAGGAGTTGTTGTTTATTTCTATTTCCGTTTGGAACAGTTGCAAGGGAAAGATGCATAGAATGTCACAGAAGATGCGGCTAAAGGGAGCAATTTGTTTTTTTTTGTTTTTTTTTTGCGTCATCTTAAATGAACCCTCGTAAAGATTCTTGGAAGTCTACATCGGGATAAGTTAGACCTAACTGACGTTTAATCGCATATGATTTGCTCGTGTCAGGTATTACGGAGAAACGACAAATTTTCACCGGCGAAGAGGCATTTCTCTCGTTTTTCTTTATCTGAATTCCTATATGAGTGTTTTCATCCTTTTCAACTATCTTTAGTCCGGAAAATTTAATTAAAAGCTTAATTTCATAGAAGTTATTTATCATTAATTCTGTTATTAAAATAATTGAAATTAATTATTAATTTAATTATTTTAATTTTTAAAGAATTTTACCTACTTTTAACTGCTTTTGCAGATAATTCATTTTTAAATTCAAATTAAAAATATGTTGGGGGAAAAAAATGTTAATTTGTTCTTTATTAAAGATATTTAATATTTCTATTTAAATTTCGTGACATCCCGAAACTATTTTAACGTTGGCCGTTATCCAAAATCTCACTATCGATTTTCCGTGTTATTTTTGAATTTTCAACCGTAACATACAACTTTTGGCTGAATGAGAGAGAGGAAGCTTTTTATATACTTTATTATTGCAATTTAGTTTTTGTTTTCTATTTTTTCGCGACTGATTTTTTTAATCTTTTTTCAATTTTCTAATTTTATATATTTAATTTAAATCACCAGATCTGCATTACTTTTAAAATTTAAGTACAGATTAAATCATATTTTGCATACACGAAAAGTAATTAATACTTAGCACGATTAATAGACCATATGGTTAAGTCATCTTAATTATAATGAGAATGTAAACAGGAAATTTATTTTTTCTTTTTTTTGGATGGAAATAATTTAAAAAAATTAATTTTTAGTAACAATATTGTATTTTTTCAATTGATAACAAAAACAGTGATGGAAATTTTATATTGATTGAGAATATTTTTTTCTCAATAATGATGTTCTATTCCATTACTATTGTGTACAATGGGATGGAAACCATATTTATCCACATGGTATTTTACAGTTCGAACATTACCACCAGGTTCATGAACAGTATATTCTCCATGTACGTGATGTCCTGAATAATTAAAAAAAAATATTTTTTAATTTGAAATCAAATAAATATGAGAAAAAAGCAAATAATATTTGAAAAAAAATTATTTAGCTAATGTAAATTTTTAATTTATAAATTAATAAATAATACTCACCATCATGGTGTTCCTTATGGCCATGAAAATCTTTGGTATGATGATCTTTGACACCATATGAGAATTTATAATGAGGCGATGCAACATAATCGTGATGATGATGTCCATGTTTATCTACCCAAGTAATTTTGTGATGATGACCATGGACAGGACCATGAAAATGTGCAAAAGAATAAGCCTTGTGATGATGGTGTCCATGCCCAAATGATCCCATAGTTCTTCCAACCAATAGGCATATTAGTAATGACAAAGGGAGAATCTGTGAAAAAATTAGTTTTCACAATTTCAAATTAAATTTTTAAAAATGAATTTTATAATGAACCAAATTTTCTTTTAAACGAATATTTATTAAACCGAATTTTCACTTCACTGAATTTTCATTTTGTAGTTTTTTTTAAACCGAAGTTCATCCGAATACTTACAAATTGAAACGTCGACATTTCAAAAAAAAAAAAAAAAACCAGATCAATGAAACTGTCGAATCTCAGAGAGACGATGGACTAAATTATTTTCGTTCTTATCTCAATTTATATATTGAAAATTATTGACAAACTTTAGTTTATTGACAAAAGTGGGGACGGTTTTTTTCTCAGTCTCTTGACTCTCATTTCCATCTTATTGCAAAAGAAAAAATAATTTTTTCGCAAACTATCTTCATTGGTGCGGAACAAGAGGAAAAAGATAATAATAAAGAAAAGTAAAAATTTTCGCTATGTAAAAGGTGAATGTGACACGTATTACGTAAAATAACAAAGAAGTTTTAAGTTTTTTTTTCAAAAAATGAAACATTATTACATGATCTGGTCCAGTTTTGTTCGTGTATAATAAGAAATGTTTTAATTTACATACCATAGCTCAATAATTATTATATTGTAAAAGAAGCAAATAGAGATTCAATAAAAAAAAAAAAATTAAAATTGAACCAATAAAATAATTAATTGACGAGAAATCATTTTATTTTATTGAAAAATTATTTTCTCTTTATTAATTATTTGATAAATGAAAATCGAGTTTTTTTTTGCTTATAAAATTATTTTGTAACGCCGGAGATTAATTTTTTTTAAATTAGATATTCTTTTACTGATCATTGCATGTTTAAGGAACCAACAAATTAGATTGAAACTTTCTCAATATTGATTTTTAATAATTAAATTATTAGAAATAATTTTTTTGTGCCCATTGTATTTCTTTCAACATTTTCCTTTTTTTTTTTTTTAATTTTTCCGGTCGTCATTTATTAATATTATGAAGTTATAACGTAACAATTTTTTGTTTTACTCTTTTTTAATAAAATTAAATTGAGAAAAAGAAGAATTTAAGATTTATTGTACATTTTTCTCAAAATAGGGGTCGATTTTCGAAAACAAAGAATTGGACCAACTTCCTGCTAGATTTTTCTCGAAATTCGATCAGCAGCTGTTTGGGACAATATCCGCCCGTATGAATAAGACACTTTTATAGGTAAAGATTTCCGGCCTTAAAGTGCTATCGGTTTTCTAAAAAATTTGTTTGTCCCTGATAAAACTGTCTTTGGAAATAAGTATTTTAAAAAGTTATTAAATTTATTTTTTTTAAATATTAATACAAAATAATTAGTTTATAGTATTTTAAAATTTTCTTCTTACAATTGATTAAAATTTAATGAAAATATAGTTCAATAAATATTTATTTAAAGATTTTTTGAACTCTGTGATTGCTAAAAAAAAAAAGTAAAAATAGTTCTTTTTCAACACAGATGGATAGTTACTATTTTTAAAACTCGGTTTATTATCTCATCAATTTATTTTAATGGGCCATAATTCGTTCAATATCTCTTCAATATAGTATATTTTTGGGTGTTCCTTTAAAAGTTTCAGATAACATTTTAATTTGCAAAAAATTTGTTATCAATTAATTCCATTATCATTTTGTAAGAAAACATTTTTATTTTATTTTCCGAAGACAATTGAGATGAAAAATTTAAGGTACAATGAAATTTAAATTAAATTTTGTTGTAAAGATTCGTAAACAAGTTTTTGAAATTAAATTAATTGCTACTCTCTGAGCAAGAGACATTAATTAATGTATGTTTAATTTTCACGTGTTGGTCATGAATTTAAATGTGTATGTATCAGTGTGCATTTTTGGTAGACAAATAACTTCACATCCCTTTTTTTTTCTCCTGAAAGTTTAAATCCCCTAACATCTTTCTAATATTAGGACTTTCAAGTTTAAGAACCGGTATAGTTTTTTTACACTTATTTATTTTTAGTTCAAAGGGAGATCAACTCTTCTCTTGCAATCGTATTTTATTTACCTTTTCTTGTCCTTTTAAATATCAAATGTGAAAATTCGATATGTGTTTAAAAAAAAGAAAAGACTTTTGAAAATTTATTTCTAATTGTATAATTTTATTGACTAATAACTATTTAATATTTGTTATTAATTAATTTTTGTTGTTTCAGCACAAATATGCCGCTACAGGACATAACGATGAATCAAACTCTTCCTCTAGTCAATGGTGAGAATTTTTTATTTTTGATTATTATTTGTCTTTTAATTTATTTAATCTTACTTTCTCAAGAAAGTTTTTATTAAAATTAAATCTTTATTTTAATTATATAATAAATTTAAATGCAAAACATTTTATAATAATTTTTTTGCAATCACTCGTAATATTTGAGAAATAATTATATTTTTTCGTTTGCCGTCATTTATTGTTCATTTATCAAAAATGAATTGGTTCATTGTTCGAAAGACTTCTCACATGTGTTTCTGATTGCGAATATAGACAATGAAACTATCTTTCTTTACTTTCTTTGATCGTCACTACCACGCCCAACTTTTATTGTTAATTTCCGAGACAAATTGGTTCCCAAGTGAAGCGTATCGTTTGTCATAATTAACGGAAATGATAATCGAAAATGTATATCAAAAAATAAGTTAATCATTTCAATTTTTGATTATATAATTATATTTCCAATATTGGTATACTTAAGATCTAATTCTAATGATTTTGACAAAAATTTTGCATTTGATTAAAATATAGGAATTTAAATTTTGAAAAAAATTGATTATTAAATTTATTTTAGAATTTAAAGTTGAAAATTTCTCCCAAAAATATTGTCAAAATTCTAAAATGAGAGAGACTACATTGGCGAGAAAAGTTTCCGAGAATTGTTTTAAGTATACTCTCTCGACCACCAAAGGAGGATATGTAAAATTTTCAAATTATCCTTTTTGCCTATTATTAGACGATTCTTTATAAAATTATTTTTTAAGTTACAATTTTCTTTGTTTCAGATTAATAGATTTAAAAAATTTTATGGAAAATATTTTTTTGGAGAAATTTAGTTTATCGTAATGAGTGGGGAATGTGGCTGTAGTTAGAATTAGATCTTTAGTTACTCGATCTTGGAAGTGATGGATGAAGCATAAGAAAAGGTAACGACCGGAACACAAGAGAGAATAATTCAACTGATACTGAGAATTGAGTTTGGTCAAATTGGATAAATAAGACACAACAAAAAAAAAAAAAAATATGACAAATTAGAGTTTGAACAAAAAGAATTTTTGAATTTCGATTCAGAAAAAAGAATTTTTGCAAGCACGTGAAATAAACAATGTGTATATTGAAATTTGAATCTCATAAAATACATATTTTATTTAATCGTATGTAGAAATGTGACCTCTTGTGCATCTGTATATACATGAAAGTTATATTGTCATTGTGGTTGGCGTTGAAAATAATTGCAATCATCAAGACAGGACAGGAGGGCAATGAACTGCATCAGAATAAGTTGGTAAACGCTCTGAGAAAGCACAACAAGAAGTTGTAAATTTTGGATTTTACCATGTCAGACATTTACACTTTAGCGAATGATTCTGTACTTCCGCGATCTTGACAATTAATCTTCAGATAAGAATTCCCTTATAATATATATATATTATGCGCTCCCGTTTACGTAACAATGCTCTCTTTTGTTTCTTTACAATAACTTTCCGAATTTTCCAAGAGATTTTTATCAACGTAAAATACAGTTATAGAAATTTGAATTTTTAATTAGAAAAATAAGGTTAAATTAGAATTGTTTCAATTTATTTTTATTTAAATTATGGTTTTGTTTTAATTTGTTTCTTTAAAAATGCAATCGTTCTTTTGATGTTGATCCTCAGTGACATAAATAAAATTTGAATGATCCGCTGACCAAGTATGAATGGATCTCGGCTAATCAGAGGCGCCACTCGTGAAATGTAGATCAGCCGAGCAATTTCCTTTTACCTTTCCTCTTGTTTCGATTACTTTTTTTTCTTTCTTTCTAAATCCCCGACGTCTAAAGGAATTTCTCTTTTTTCCTCTTATAACACACTTGATCGGGAATGAAGCGAATCGCCAGACCCAAAGAATCCAAAGTAGTGCGAGGAGGAGACCTCTTTGAATAAAAGATCCAGAGTGAAGCTTCTTCTTGGAAGAGCTTTCAAGTCTCTTCTCTCTTGGGGTTACGTTTTCTTATATGTGTTTAAGGAAAAGGAATTAAAAATCCCCGAGTCTAATGAACTCGACAAGGCATTTTTTTTTATTCTCAAATCAGAAGAGTTGTGAAATAAATTTTTTGGTCAGTTTTATATATGAAAAAAGTGAAATTTGATCACTTGGGAAAAGTTGATATTTATCATTTAAATTTATTTCTGGAAATAGAAACCTTACGACAGAAAGTTTGGCGACAATTTCCGATTAGGTTTTACCAGGAATTGTTCCAAGAATGGCCTAATGTTCTAGATTTGTCTAGTTTCTTGGCAGATTTCAGCTTTCTTGATAATTAAATTTGATGAATTTCTAAGAATCCAAAATTTCTCGTATGACATCGTTTCGAAATTATTTTCAGTAATAAAAAAAAAATAATTTTAGTTTCTTAAAAAAAAAAAAAATCTTGGTCTTTTATAAAGAATGGACTGGTAGTTTATTTTCAGTGATCATTTTTTATCTTATCGCTTTCGTTGTCGATACATATTTTTATCTCATTTGTTTGCCATATTTGTCATGGAAATTGAATGGCAATTTTTTTTTTTTTTTATATAAAAAGGAACAGGGACGGAATTCCTAACTTGAAATATAAAGACAGTTCGACCAGTTCTGGCCTAAATGTGTCATCTATAAATACGAGGGAGCTCAGATGAACTCGAACATTCAGCGCCTCCATCGTAGACTGCACGTTTAGCACAAGTTAATGCAACAAATGGAAAAACTATGACTCATTTTCTTATTGACTTTGATCTTAACACTATGATTAAGTCGAAGAAATCATTCACTGCTTCCCGGAAAGTGGAATCTCTTTCCAACTCAGAAATTCAAAGAGAAAACTTCGTTCTATTGTTAAATTATATATATATATAATCTTCATTTGATGAATGAAATTTTCCAACGATTATCTAAAGGAATTTACAATTTTTTTTTCTTTTTATAGTTAAAAAGTCAAATAATATTTTTAAATATGATAAAGTTTCAAATATATTTTTTTTTTTTATTATGAAAATTGCTATTAATTAGTAATTAGTCATTAATAGAATTAAATTTCATCTAATGAAAATATCTTTTTTGGAAAAAAAAATTCCAAAAGGTGAGAATAATTTTATAATTTATTGTCAAATACTCGTAACTAAAGGAACATTTCTCTTGGCATGAAAATTTGCTGCTTGTTCTATATGCGGTTCCAAAATTAGGTGCCAGGAGAAGAAAACATTGTCAATAAAAATGTCACTCGATGACATATTCTCACCTTCTTCCTGTATTATACAATTTCAAAAAGAAAAATTCTAATTTTGAACCATGCTTTTTGAAAATGTGTTCAAATTGTAAATTCCACGTGATGCAATTTAAATATCTATCATTCCTTCTTGGAGGAAAAGCGTGGGTTATTATATTACATCCTGAATATTTAAAATATAGATAATTTTGAATTAGTATTTGAATTTTTAATTTTCTTAAGTTATTCTTTTGCGATCGAGGTTGATCAATGATCAAGCATTAAGTACCTTTATGTACGTGTGTATATGTATATCTAGAACGTCATATAGCATCAGGACATAATTTTAACCGAGCTTTATTGCGATGTAACCTCTGGCTCAGTTGTATATTCTGCATTAGTTTCATCTCCTCGTCAGTGAGTTGTTCATGATCGTTGATTACTTTTTTTTGAAAATTGAAAACACAGTGAATTAAATATAAAAAAAAAATGTCAAAATCCAAAAGAGTTTATCGTCAACTAGTGTGTTATGGGATGTGGTAGCTCAAAATTTGATCCTTCGACCTCTCAAGAAAATCTCGAGGACAAGCCGATCAAAGTCGAAATTATGTTCGGTAGGTGTAGAACAACTTGGACAATTATAAATTATAAAAATTTAATTTTTATTTCATAAAAATTTGAGTGCTAAAAGTTTGTAAAAGATTTATTATCCAAAAAAGAGTGTAAACTATGCTTTTAGGAACATGCTTTTTGTGGCATGACATTATAAAAGGTGAGAAGAGAAATGGTGAAGGATTAGTTAAAAACGAAACACGACAATGAGCAGAAAGTTCTAAAGCCCTTGGAAATGTGCCAGATGTGTTACGGAGAACTCTAAGTCTAATGAGAGCTCTTGTGTAGTATATATATGCATTTTACCAAGTTGGCACGTGTCATCCTCTTCTAAATGAAGAAAAACAGGTGAACTGATAAAAAATTCGAAAATGCCGTCACATCAATTGACCCAATGACCTTTGACTATCTTCTCTCTTGTCTACATTCGACAACAAAAAGAATTTTCCAAACCTACAAATTTTAAATAATTTCGCGAGTGTCACTTTGAGATTATTAAAAAAAAAAAAAAAAAACAAAGGAAGTTCATCGTAACGTCAATTTTACGTATTTTTTTCAATTTTTTAAATATAAAAAACGTTAAAAAACTAAATTAAAAAATATAAATCTCAAAGTGTAAGTTTGAAAAAATCTCTTTTCTTTTTTTATGCATTTCATACGTTTTACATTTTATCGATATAATTGTTAATAATTCGAGGGAAAAAAGGAACATATTTTGAGATATGGTGTGGTAAAAAAGTGACAGGAATATTTAATTTTTCTCCGTGGAACGAGATGATTTAGTTTTTTTTTTAACAACGCACAAGAATTCACACAATTATGAGTTGTAAGATTAAATGGATTTACGTTGTTTTTTAATTGTGTTTAGAATTAAGTTTATACCTTTAAAAAAAGGTTATTCATGTTTTAACATGTTTTTTTCTTTTGTTTATAGGGACAAGTGTAAAATCGCCCGGGAAAGGCTCGTGGAATCCAGGCAGTGGTACCGCTGGACCAGGAAGAACAATGAAGGAATATGAGGATAAACTTTGTACTTTACAAAAAGAAAATTTTAATTTAAAAATCAGAATCTATTTCCTGGAGGAAAGAATGGGTATCACGTCTGCTGATGAGGACGCTATAAAGAAGAATATTGAATTAAAAGTTAGTATAATATATTTATATTTCTCTGTATAATAATTATTAGAAAAAAAAAGTAATTAGAAAAATTAGTAAATAAAATAAATTGCAACGAAATGTGTGTTATTTTAGGTTGAGATTGAATCGTTGAAAAAAGAATTGCTGGAAAAACAGGAACTTCTCAGTCAAGCGGCAACAGCTTTTGGAGTTATTGAGGAACAAAAAGAAGCGTCTTCACGAAATCAAGCACAGTATCAAATGTCGCTGGAGCAAGAAAGAGGAAGAATCGCCGAACTCGAAAAAGGTAATTTCTTATTTGATATTTTCTATAATTTAAAGAGAAAATTTTTAATAAAGATTATTTTAAATTTATTTTCAGAACTTCAAGAATATAGAGAAAGGTTGTCTGATGGTTCAATGTATTATAAAGAATCTTTTGGAATATCTCCGGAAATGGCGATAGACAACGCAGAAAAACTACAACAAATGGAAGAACTTATTTCTTCCCTAGAGGCAGAGGTAAAATAAATAACAAAATTTGCCTACTTTTCGATTTTATTATTAATTATTATTTATTATTAAACAATTACAAAAAAAATATAAAAATTACCTAATAAATAATAAAATAAAAATATTAAAATTTGTAATTTTTCCACAGGTTAAACAATTGGGAAGTAGCTTGGAGGAAGAGAGAAATTGGGCTCAGGAGTTGGAAATCGAGAGAGATCAATTAAAGGGACGTTTGGAATCAGAACTCAAAATAAGGGAGAAATTAACATCAGAAAAAGAACAAGATATCGATGTTATGCGAGAAAAAATCAAGGAATTAGAAGAGCAGGCATTCATGAAAGACAGTGTTGCGCAACAGTATAAAAATGAATTAATTGAGAAAGAAAGACTCATTAAAGAAAAAATTGCAATTTTAGAAGATAAATGTAAAGCTTACGAGGAATTGAGTTTAGTTTCTGAAAAGAGAAAAAAGCAAATTGATCAATTGAGGCTTTCAGTTAAATCAAGAGACGATGCACTCACTGATCTTAATAATAAACATCGAGCTCTTCTCTCACAGGTAAATTAAAATTTTTAGTTACAAAAAATATTTCACGCAATATACAAAATAAATTTTTATATAATTAAAAATTTTTCCAACAGTTTGAAAATGGATACACAAAACGAAGTTCACCTCCTCTCAGTCCATCGGTAATAAATTCATTCGAAGATCGATTTTCACCGAAAAATAGAAGCCCTTGCATTCAAAGTCCAACAAGAAGTACAAATAGTTCATTTGAATGGGAATCAAGTTCAGATCGTTGTTCAAGATTGAAAAGCCCGATTCAATCTTCGAGTTTCGGGAATAGTGACATTGATATTTTAACAAAAGTTCGTATTCTTTTTCTATTATGAGTCATTTTTTTTTTCTCGCAAACTTGTTAATTAAAAATCAAATTTTTTTATTGATATTCAAATAATTTTAAATTTGTAAAATGTTTTTTTTTAAAGGAAGTAAAAGAAAGAGATAGAGAGCTTCAAAGACAGGACACGGCGAAAAAGCAATTAATTTTAAAATTGTGTAACGTACAACAATCGGCGGAAATTACGGATTTGAAATTAAAAAAATTGGAAATCGAACATGAGAAGGCATTAAAGATGATTCAAGGATTTATGGAGAGACAACAGCAATTGGAGAGCAAACAAATTAAAAAGGATCGAAAAATCATGGACCTTGAATTGGAATTAACGAGGCTACGTGGTCCCGATAAATACGGAAAACCCGAATCTTTCCGAAGAAATTTGAGCAATGAGATGTCGGATAATCCCGAAAGAGACCACAGTAATCAGGTGAATATATGACGTATTCTCTACAATTTTTTGTTTTCAATTATTCATCGTTTGTCATGTTTTTGACAAAAAGATATTTTAAAAAAGAAGAAGACGGAAGATTCTTTTTTTTTAAATATTAATTGGTGATAGAAGATAATTTTTTTTTAAATTAATAGAAAATGAAGGACGTATTTATTATCAGGGAATGAAAGATGTAATTTTTTAAAGATGAATTATTAATTTCTTTTAAGGTGAAAGATGATTTTTTAATTATCAAAAGAAGACTAGAATATTTTTTTTTTTTTTTAATTAATATTTTCGAGGTACGGTGGACTTTTTAAATTGTTAGAAAAGTAGAAGAAAAGCGTGAATTGCCACCATAGAATAAATTTCGCTTTTCCTTCTTTATTTCAGAGTGACTGAATTTTACTTCTACTTCTTCTCTACTTTATCATCATCACTGCATGCGTTTTTCTTTGGATATCGCTTAGGGCGTTGTTTCGATTAAAAAAAAAAAAAACCAAAGAGAAATTAGTCTTGAAAATTACGCTTATTTGCTGATAATAGAGATAATGAATTCGGAAAGTTATTCTTAGAGTGAGAAGCACGGCTTCCTTTTTAACAATTGCGAATTTTTGTTAAAAGCTTTGCATGAAGAGTTTTTTTTTTAAATTAAATTCGTACAGTTGCATTCCTAAGGACTACTTTCGGGTTTAGAAATTCCACTTCTAATAATTTTAGTTTTAGGACATCTTTTTTTTAGTTTTTAGTTCAGATTACTTTTTAAATTTGATTCAGTTAAATTATAAGAAACTTCAATTTAGAATAAAATAATAATTTTTATTAAAATTTTTAAATTTAAATTCCATTGTTTGAATTTTAATTTAATGTAAAATTTAATTCAGGTAAAATTCATTTTCGTTTTTATAGAAAAATTTGAATCAAGACAATTTACTTAAAAATTTTATCAAAATTCAATTGATTTGATTTGTCGAAATTTTGTCAATATTTAATGGAAAGAAAAATAGTGCACAAAATTCCGGGATATAGGGACGCGAAACGATGTTTTCTAATAATAGAAGAGTAGCGTTAAGACGTCTTCAAGTCGCTAGCCTCGCCTCGAATATTCATTTCGACCAGTAACCGAACACTGTGTGGTTCTCTGACGATATATATATAAATAATTAAAAACGACGGTTAAAAACCGAAAATTTTTTTTTGCTTTTTTGCAATGGAAATTTGATAATATTTTATTTTCTTGTTTTCGTATGAAAAAAAGGAGAAAAATAATTTAAAAAAAAAATAGTTAACCGCGTTAACTCCTGCATATTATTATAATTTAATATGTTATTGAGTATTTAAAACGTGGTGAAATTTTTTTTTTACGATTGCTAGAACTTTTCGGGTGCTTTATTTTATTATATTTTTTATTATTCGATATAAAGAAAAGACGAGCAAATTATGTTCTCCTGCTGGTGTGTGCCTTTGCGAATGGAGGTAGGTACTTGAGTGTGAAAAGTTTGCGCCTTCGTGTATATCTTTTTTTCCAATTTTGATTGTTTATTAAATTATTATAATTACTCTTACGAATGTAGAATGTTAAACGACGCTTCTTTCGATTAAAGTTTTTTTTTATATTGACACAAACAGGTAAATATTCTTAATTTCGTCAATTTCGAATATTTTCATTTAATATTTGATTGTATTGTTTTGGAAAATAAAGAAATTTTTTAACATTTCTAAACGATTGCTAGTTTTCAATTTGAAGAATTAAATTTTAAATAAATTTTAACAAAAACTTTACCGGTGATAAAAAAAGTAGGGTTTAAAAAATATTATTTTATTTTAAATATCAAAGAACATGATAGTGTTAAATATTGAAAATTCTTTTTAGGAACCACGTATTGTTACGCTCGTGGCTCCGAGATGTTGGCCTAAGAAAACAAAATATTATCCCCAATTCTAATCGTCCGTCTTCAAGCCCTATCTCTTTATTAATAATTATTTAACTCTTTGTTGCTGGAAATTTTTTTTTTATTTTGCCATTGAAGCACTATTTTTCTATAACACCAGTTTTTTTTTTATTCTTGATTAAAATGCAAAGTTTTTTTTTCTCGTAAAAAATTTAACCATGTATTTTAATACTCGTGCTATGAATAAAAAATTTTTCGTTGAAATAACAATGAGTTTCATTGACGGGGAATACGTTTTGTTTGTGTCTGCAGCAACGTTTTGATGAAATGGAAATCAAGATTAATGACCTTCGGGACCAAATTGAAACTATCAAGGCTGAGAAAATTCGACTGGAAAAGCAAATTCAAGTTGAGTCCGAGGTAAATCATTTTTTTTTTTTTTTAAATGTAAAAATATTTTTTCTCAATTAATCATGAAGATTAAATAATAAATAAACGTTCGCGTTATTGATTTATTTCAATAATGATGAGAAACTTTTAGTATACTGCCTTGTGCAATTTCACGATGCTTTGAGCGTAAATCTCGTTGATTATAAATAGATTGACGTAAAGTTTACGCGCGAGAGAACGTTGACTCGAGTTGTAGAGACACGCTTCTTTGAAATGAACATTACCTTTTCTTTTATTTATAATCTGAAAATATTATCCCTTTTATTCTGCTTTATGAAACGTTAAGATAATTAAAAGGCTTGATATATTTTCAAACGTGCTTTTTTGAATAAAATACTTTCAAAATAATAAAAATATTAATAATAAATTAAAATTTTAATTTTTTTATTTGTAAATAAAAATTTCTACATAAATCAATATCTAATATTAAAAATATTTTCGCAGGAACTTCAGGAGCAATTACAAACCAAGGAACAAAAAATCGAATGCCTCGAATGCGAGAAAAATTCTATAAAAGAAGAATTGCACGACAAAATGCTTGAGCTCAGTCAATTAAAAGAAGCTTTCGAACAGGCGAGTGTGGAATTTTGTAATTCCGATTCCAGCGAGGATAAAGAAAAATTGCGTCGTGAATTATATTTGAAAAGTACAGAGTTACGTGAGAAAAATGATAAAATTGATAATTTAGAAAAAGAATTACAAGTTAAGACGCAAAATTTACAGAAACTTGTCAATACTGAACTATGGAGTAAGAATAAAGAAATTGCCAAATTACACAATCATATGACGAGTTATCAAATTCAGGATAAATCACGAAGAAGTCTCGATTTTTCATTGGAAAGTGCCACTTCACAATTGAGTGCTTTAATCAAAGAACTTAACGATATTGGAATTAGTGTAAAATTCACTGACGATGTGATACAATTGAATTATGTAAATGGAAATGAACCCATCGATGTAAAAATTATGACTGAATATATAAAAAAGCTTGTGACGCAAAAGAATGAATTGGAGAAGGAAGTCGATTATTTGAAGTGGCTGAAATTAATTTCCAAGCCCGATATTGCAGCTGAAATTGATGGATCCGGTTCTGAGACTGAACGAGTTAAGAAATATTGTGAAGTACTACGTATGCATCTCAAGGTGATTATTTTGTTGGATATAAAAATATAAATGTTTTTTCTAATTGTTAATTAGAATTAGAATTTTTATTTTTCAATTATAAAATGAAAATTCGAAACTTTATTAAAAAAATTCTTTTTTTCAGGATCTTGTGAATTTTATGAAGGAAACATTAAAGAGTACCGATCATTCGGCAGCGATTGATGATGAACATAAAAAAATCGTTCTTGACGTTCTTTTGAGTTCGAAAATTCTCTCAGATAATTTTGCTCTCGCTTTGGAAGAGAATTTAGTGAAGGGAGGAGCAATTGATAAATATGATACACAGAAAGAGAAAATTGATGGTGTTGTGAGAAAAAGTAAATCTGAAAATATTTTAAACCTTTTGAAAAATCAAGGTTCCACACCTTCGGATTCGGAAGCATTTTCAGAACCCGATCGCGCTGTTTCTTTGGCGAGAATTGGATTACAAGACACTCAGCAGAAAGCTTCTTTGTCAAGGCCGAAATTCTCAAAGTACACAAAAACCTTCAGTGACTCGGAGGATTCTTTAGATTATGTTCCTTATCACAAAACTTATCAAAATGATCTCAATGATTTAGATACTGGTCATCATATTCAGGAATTAAAGGAAACTAATAATTTATTATTCACGGAACTTAGCGCTTTGAGGAGCGATTTAATTGCCAAAATCTCGTTTGATAGCGTGAGTACTTTTTTTCATTAATATTTAATTTAATTGTAAATTATTTAATTGATTTTTCATTTTTCAGACGATCGACGAAAAATTGGCGCCTCTAATAACAAAATTGGAAAAATCGCAGAAATTCTGTGAAAATTTGCAAGAATCTCTTGAAAAAAGAATAAATGAATGTCAGAATTTGAAGAGAGAAAATAAACAAAACAGTCTCCGTAAATCACAGTTGGAGAAAAAACTCACTGAAATCGAAAATATGGCGATGGAATTAAAAAATCAGAAAGCTGAATTATTACAAAATAAGGAAAATTCTGAAAGAAAATCGTCAGACATGATTGTGACTCTCAATAGAGAAAACGATACGGTACTTTATAAATTTAAATTAACTCTTGAATATTTTTGTATATTTTGAAAAGTTTTTTAAAAAAATTTTTGTTTTCATTTTTCAGTTGAGAATGAAGATAAAGAGGCTAGAGGAAGAGAATGAAGGGGCCAAGGTGACAATTTCAAATCTTACAAAAGAATTGGATCATCTTACATTATTGCACAGTCAAATTCTCGTTGAGAATACAAAATTGACAAATGAAAAACTTCGCCTTGAGCAGGAAGTGAGAAAATCAGAGAACAGGTACGAGACAACTGTTCGTAATCTTCAGGATAAATTTAATAAGGAAGCAACTGATTTAAATGAAATCAATGAATCACATAGAGTGAGAATGCAGGAACTTGAAGCGGCTAATAAAGAATTAAGGCGACATGTTGTTGTTTGTGAAACAAGTGATTCCGCACCAAGTTCCAGTGGCGTATCGTCAGTTCCAACTGAAATTGCATTGAAGCAGACCTGTGACGATATTATTCAGGAATATCATTCATACAACGTAAAATCCATTTTATTATTCATTATTATGTTTTTCATTTTTTCAAAATAATTTAAAGTTTTCATTATTTGCTTCGTTAAAATTTTGTTAATTAAAAAAAGTATTCAAATTTAAATAAAAAAAAAGGTTAAAGAACATTTTTTTTACTATTCTCACAATTGAATTTTTCAAATTAATTTTTTTTATAGATTTTAAAATTTTACAATTAAAAAAGTTTCTATTGTATTATTTTTTTTTGACTGAATTTTACTTTTTCAGGGCTCTCAATATTGGTTACCACTAAGTTATCCGACGTCGATTGGCCGTAGTAAATCGAGCTGCTCTCCGGATCTTGGAATCGAGAGTGACGCGGCAATGACTACCATGAGGCCGTTGAAAGATACACTAAAAATTACTGAGTCCATGACCAATCTTCTTAGCGATGATGAAAACTGCAACAACAACCAAAGGTTACGAGACACAAGAAACGAAAGCCCGCTAGAAATAGAAGGTAAATTAAAAAAAAAAGACATTTTTTTCTTTCATTATTTCTACTAAATAGTTTCTTTTTCGTACTTATTTATTTCTATCATTTCCGTTTTTTTATTAGTTTTCAATTAATTTATATCATCTATCTATTTGAATTTCGTTTAATTTATTTTAGTAATTAGTAATTAGTAATTTAGTTCTTTAAATTAATTTTTTTTGTAATTTTTTATTATCTTATTTTTGAATTTGTTTACCTTTTCTAAATTTTTAAAAATTGTAAATTCGGATTTAAATGATTAATAATTTTTATTTTATTCGTTTTTTATAGGTGGGCATAACTATAGTATGTATTACAAACAATTGAATTCGATTATGTAAATGCTTTTGGCACGCACTCATTTAATTTCTGATATTATATATATATAATCGCACGCATTCAATGTTAATAGTGCGAAATAATTTACGAAAAAAATTTTTGTTTTTTTTATATTTGTAAACATCTTAATTCAGAAAAATTCATATACATTGAAAATAATAATTCATCGTTCCTAACGCATGTAACTCAGTGAATCGAAACTTATAATTTTACATTTATTAACAAACTTCAAAAAAATTCTATCATTAATTTTTAAGCATTTCTCGTTTGGAACGTTGTAATTAATATTCTCTTAGCTGTAAAAAAGCTTAGCAAAAAAAAAAAAATAACAATTTCAAATTGATTGCCAATCGGAAAGCTTTATCTAAACTAAAAATTTTGTTCAGGAAAAATAAATTTTAAATAAAACATTAACTTGCAACTTATTGAAAAATTTAATTATTGAATAAAAACATAAATAAAAATTAATAAATTAAAATTAGAAAAATAAAAATCTGTTTTAAATTGTTAATATTTGAAAATCGAGAATTTCTTTCCATTTGGCAAATATTATTTAAGAATTATAAGAAAACAAAAATACTAATTTATTATTGTTTCTATTGAGGTCTGGACGAAATGGAAACGTTGAAGCAGGAGAATGAGGCCTTGAAAAGAAGATTGATGAAAACTCGAAAAGTCTTAGAAGATACTTTCGAGCGTCTCTCAGCTTCGAATAAGAGTAAGAAAAACGTCGAAAAAGCAATAACGAAACAATTGATGATGACAAAAACCATTCTAAAGAAAACACGAAATTATGAAGAACCTTTCGAAAACTAAGAAAAAAAAGCTCAAAATTTGCCTTAGAAGGTACGTGGTATTTTTTTTTTTTTGTTTTCTATTTTTTATTGCTATATCGTTTTTGAATCTTCATTTCTTTTTTTTTCAATTTAAAAAAAAATTCCCCCCCATTTACTACGTATACAATATTTATTATTGTAGTCGTCAATTTCTACGTGTACAATATTTATTATATATTGTAATCGTCTTTATACACAAATAAGAAAGTATTTTTTACTATATAAATCGTCGACAAAAAAAGTGTTTTACTGCAAATTAGAGATTCTTCGTTTTTTTTTATCTCTAAACTTTAGTGACGTAAAATTTTGTATTCTACGTTACTTGTACATAAACACGTGTACAGAGTAAATTTACGAGCGTAGATTTTAACGTTTTTTTTTACCAAGTTTTACGACAATTAATATTAGGTTTTAGTTTTTAAAATATTTTAAGTACAACGATCGGAATCGTATTTTCCGATTTGACAGATTTGCATACCTTTCTGTATATAATTACTATATATATATATATAAATATCAACGAAATTGCATCTGTAAATACTCCACAAAAATAAAAACGCCATCGATTGCCATTTGAAAATACGAACTTTTCTTGAAGAAAATATTTTTCGATTGAAATTTTATTTTTTTTTCTAATTTTTTTTTTTAAATTCTATTCAAATTAATTATTTTATTATTTTTTGCTTATTTATAATTTAATTTTTATTTTCATTTTCATTTTTACTATTTATTTTTTTCGTTTTTTATTATTGATACTGTGTCATTAGTATTAAAAAAATTAGAGTATGTTTCCAGGTTTTCAGATGGAAAAAAGGCATCGATAGTTTATTTTTTTTAGGGGGGATTGAATGAGCGGAAAACTCTGATTATGATAAATCTTTATTATCACTTGATGACTAGATAATAACATAAAGATCCGTAATAACTGATTTCTGTCACGTGTGACTTTGTTCCACTTATAATTTATAATATTATACAACCTTAACATTCTCGTTCAATCTGTCGTTTCATTATTTTTTGAAGAAAATTTTTTTTTTTTTAAATTAAATTTTAGCACGTTCTTTATTTTTTACTAGCTAATAATTGAATTTTGAAAGAGTTGAATATTTTTTTACATGGGAGAATAGTTTTTTTTTTACAAATTATCCGCGAATTACAAATATAGAAAATATAATTAAAAAATTACGAATTAAAAAAGAAAATTTACGAATTGGGAAAATTGTGCGTAAATTGAAAATTATTTGCAAATGAAAATTGACGATTTGAAAAGAAAAAAAAATTCTTGATTATAAATAATAATTCTACGAATTGCGATGAAAAGAAAGGAAATTTTTTTTTGATTTTAATCGCAGTTGATGAAGATTAGAAAACATTTCTTGTGCGCTGTATTATTGCGAGTCAAAAATTCATTATAGAGATCACACTATGACAATTTTCTCTTAGTAATTAGTGATAATTAACAAATGACATATGTAATACATCTTCGAAATGAATCTATTCACAAATTTTGTGTACTTGGAAACGATTTTTTTTTTAAATTTGCGGAAGATTATCAAAGCGCTTCAGTTTTAAATTTATTTCTTTTTTGTTTCCAATTTTCTACGTTTGATTATTTTCAAGTTAGCTCAGATATTGAAAATTACGTGATAATGAACGAAGTATGCTGCGATGTTTGACAGTCACGTGTAGAATGATAGAATCTAATTTGAATTATTTACAATATGGCAATTCAATTCCTACCTTTTTAAAAAGCGCAGTAGACAACGATGACATCGAGCCTCAGTCGAATTAAGAATGAAAATTTTATTATATTCACTAAAATTAATTATTTAGGATTTAGATAATAATTTACTATTCACTTTTGAATTGTAATTTTTACGATTTTTTTTTTACAAAATTCATTTTATTTAAATTACTATGTTTTAAAATTCTTAATTACAATTTCAATTTAATAAATATAATAGTTTTAATTATTATACTTCAAATTTCAGAAGTATTTATATTTTTTACAAAATCCTAAAAATCAATTTAGATATAAAAAAAGGAAAAATTTTGAGTAAAAAAGAAAAGAAAATAGAATGTGTTTTCTTAATTTAGACTGAGGCTCGATAACGAAACTACAAGTCTAGGAGTTGACGTCGATTTTTTTTTTCAAGTTTACCGGAAACGAGGAACTTGTACATAAATATATCTATATTACTCGTAATATCAATTATGTGTATCTACGGTAATGAGTGGCGCGTGATTATTAATTTTAATTTAAAACAATCGGAGCCGTTTGAATTCGGTGGCATTTTTTTTTCCTCTTCATTGCATATTTGCATTCGGAGTAAACGGAAGGGACGGCGTCAAATACAGCTTAGAATAACGCCAAAACAAAAAAAAAATTTTTTTAAAGCCTTTTTATACACAATCCCCATCAAAGATCACATCATTCGATGGGGTAATTAATCACGTTTTTTGACTAAAAGAAAAATATATATATATTATTTATATTTACTATCCGTAATATAATTAACTAAAAAAAAACGAAAAAATAATAAATCCTAGAGACTATTTGTCATTAATAATATCCAACAGCGTTAATATAAAAAAATAATAATAATAGAAATAAAAAATATATTTTTGTTAATCTTGAATTTCTTGAAACTGAGAAATTCGAGAATTTTATAAATAATTATCGTTTTTGAGAAGAAAACAAGCGTTATTCTATACGGTATTCGTGGATTGAATTTTGGAGGGTTATGTGGCGTAATGAGTATGGTGATGATGAGGATGAGATGGTGGTTCACTGAGCCAAGAGTCAGGCGAGGGTGGAAAATCGGGATAACCAGGACCACCACCTCCTCCGCCTCCTCCACCCCCACTCGATTCATTGCTTAAGTCCGAAGCTGGACCCGGTACCATTCCTCCTGGTCCTCCTGAAAAATAATTTATTTTTATTATTTCAATTTTTTTTTAATTAAAAGAAATAACTTTTAATTTTTGTTCTCTATAATTAATTATAATTATTAAATCAGATATAATTAAAATAATAAATTTTGTTTTAAATATATAATTGTAAAAATATTAACAAGAAGTAGAAGAAAACAATTTTTTTTTTGAATTAAATAAATTTAGAAACATAATTTTTTTTTTTTAGAGAATATTAATGATCAAAGAATAATGTTTTAATTGTTATTTTTTAAATTTAAAAAATCAATTATTTTTTAAATTGGAAAAGTTTTGGAAATAATGACAGTGATTGAAAATGAAGATTTACCGAGGGTAGTGAAAACAGAAAGGCCAGCATCATGGGGATATGGAAATTGGGGTGGCAAGGACGGCGATCTGGACGTTGAAAGATGATAAGGGGGCGTTGTGGCACCCAGGTAACCACGTGGTGGTCCACTATTACCACCGCTTCCTCCTCCTCCAGGACTCGCACCATCTCCATCCAATCCCATATTCACCACAGTCCCATAACTATCATTGCTCAAGTCTATAATAAAAAATACATATTTTCAATTAGAAATTATCCCCAAATAATAAATGTGCATGCTTCAATTTAAAGTAAATAAATAAATAAATAAATAATATGTTTAACAATTTATTTAATTTTATTTACTTAAAAAGTTTTTATTAATTTATTTCATTAATTTTATTGTTTATTTCATTTAATTCATTAATTTTTACTTTATTATATTTTTATTTATTTATATATTTATTTATAAATTATAAAATATTATTTATTATTAATTTTATTATTGTCATTATTATTGATTATGTTTTTTGTGTTAACGAGCTTTTTTGCAGATTTTATATAACAATTATGATTTTTAATTAAACTGATAGAGCCCATTCTCTTAGTTAAAAATGATAAAATTGTTCGAAAATTAGAAAAAAAAATTTCAATTCATATTTAAATTTACCGCCTTTTTTGTTATCGAAATATCGATTATCGACTTTGTTTTGTATCGATTTGGTGGCGCTTCCGCCGGTGCGGAAGTTCCGCTGCCACTTTTCCCGCGGATTCCCTGAGTAGCAGTTCGATGTATAATCATCTTTGATAAAAGTTCTTAAAATTCAATTAAATAAGTATATTTATTAATCCGAAATCATCAGAACAGTCATATTATCATATTCCGGGACTAAATAATGTGTATTTTCCAAGTAAAAGGTATTTTTAATTGTTATATTGCATTTTAATGAAATTTAGGTTAGGTTGTAAAGAATTTTTGTCATACGTTACGAAATTATAAATTACATGAATTTACTTATGTTGAATATTAAAATATCTTATTTTTATTAAAAAGTGTAATCTTCTTTGAGAAAAGTTCTTAAAATTTAATTAAATAAGTATAGGTATATATTAATCTGAAATCATCAGAAAATTATCATTATTATCATATTCCGGGAGTAAATAATGTGTATTTTCCAAGTAAAAGTAATTTTTAATCGTTATATTGCATTTTAATCAAATTAAGGTTAGTTTGTAATGAATTTTTGTTTTTATTTATAAATTATTAATTAGTATTTATTATTAATATTATTAGTCATTATTATTGTTTATATTTTTGGTATTAACCAGCTTTTTTCACTGTTTTTTATAACAATTATGATTAATTTAACTAAAAAAGCCCTTTCTCAAAGATAAAAATGATAAAAATGTACGAAAATTAGAAAAAATTTCCAAATCATATTTAAATTTGCCGCCTCTTTGTTATTGAAATATCGATTATCGATTTTTTCCGTATCGATTTGGTGGCAGCACTTCCACAGCATCGGAAGTTCCGCCTTCCGCTGCCACTTTTCCCGCGGATTCCCTGAGTAGCAGTTCGGTGTATAATCATCTTTGATAAAAGTTCTTAAAATTCAATTAAATAAGTATATTTATTAATCCGAAATCATCAGAACAGTCATATTATCATATTCCGGGACTAAATAATGTGTATTTTCCAATTAAAAGGTATTTTTAATCGTTATATTGCATTTTAATGAAATTAAGGTTAGGTTGTAAAGAATTTTTGTCATACGGCACAAAATTATAAATTACATGAATTTACTTATGTTGAATATTAAAATATCTTATTTTTATTAAAAATGAGTTGATATTTTGAGAAATGAAATAAGTTTTTTTAGCTTAAACATTAAAAATTTGTTGCCTTTGGAATATCGATTATTGTTAAGCTTCTCATACTTGACGCATGGCGGCGCCACTCCTTCAGTGGATTTCGTCGCCACAGCGTCGTTTGTGAAATCAATAGAAGAAAAATCTTTTATAATCGATTAAATCAAGTGAAATTATTGTACAAAAAGTGTTTTACAAAGATATTTATAGTATTCCGGGGTGAAATATCACAATATTTCGAAAGTATTCGTCTTTTTTGAAGGTAATTTTGTCTTTACATACATTCGGGAAAAAAGTTAGGTTAGAATCAACTTTCGTAACATTTATCGCATTTAATCGGTAATTATTTACAACCAACAAATACACCAGGCTAAAAATTACATTTGGAAGGTGCATTAATGATAATTTTCTAGTTTTTCAGAAAATTTTCGATATTCATAAATTTTTGCCACTGTGCACGCCATGAGCATAGTCAACTTTGCCATCTTCGCGTCATTTCCAATTTTGATCAAAAAAAAAGTTTCAAAAATTACTTTTAAATAATTAATTAACTATTTTCAAGTGCATATATCGTGATATATGTTATAATTAAAAATTTTATTTTCACGTATAATTGATAAAAATTTGATTTTAATAAGGAAAATTTTTAAATTAAAATTTTTTAAAAAATTTCTCACAAACTTTTGTGATAGAAATTGTTCTTATTTTTGAGTCTAGGTACATCATTTAGGAGACAAGAATCGTAAAAATAAAATTTTTCAAAAAAAAAAAATTATTTTAAATTTTTGAAAAATTTTATTTTTTTAAATATGAATAATTAAACAAAATTAATTAAAATAATATAATTAAATAATTATATTATTTTTAATACTTTAAAAAAAATTTGAAAAAAATTTTATTAAATTGAATTTTTTTCATAAAATCAAATTATTTATTTTCTGGGCTGCAATATTCTTTTTTTTAATTAAAAATTTTTTTAATCGTTTTCAAAAGTGAATTTAATTAATTTATTTATCTAATTAATAATTTTTGTTATTTTTCTATTTAATAAATATTTTTTGTTTTTATAATTTTATGTTTATTTAAACAAATTTTCTCCATCAAAAAAAGAGAATTTTTTTCCATATTAGATAAAATGAAGGGAAAAAATTCTTTTATGAATAAAGAAAAGCATTGTTTTTATTTACCGGGGATGTTAAATTAATAAATTAATCTAATTAAAGGGTAGATATAGTAATTGTACAAGGGATGATAATAAACATAAGGCGAGAGTCACGCAAATGGTCTGTAAAGAGAATGGCGTGACTTTCGACTTTAGTCTCGTCCAGGATCATCTGCTCTGATTTACAGGGTAGATAAGAACACCCCTAAATATTATATATATACATATAAAAGCGTCCCCTTTTTCATAATATTTTCAGGGAGGAGTCAAAATATCATCTCGTAATCTAATTAACTTTATAAATACATTAGAAATAATTTAATCATCATTTATATGCAATTTTTTTTTTGTTTATCATTATCTTTTTGAGTTTTTAACACATTTCGAGTAAACAGAGATATATTTACCTAAATATAAAAATTTCTCAATTTTTGTATTTTTAAGTAAATAAATATGTGAAAGAGTTTTTATTTCAAATAATTTTTTAGTATAGATAAATTAAGTTTTCATTAGATATGGCAGATTTAAATTGATGATTTTATTTTATTAATTAAAAAAATAAATAAAATATTTCCGTTCAGAAAATAAAATTTTCAGTCGTTATGAAAATTTCTTAATAGTTTCATCATTTTGTAAAAAAATTATTGTTTATTTGAAAATTAAATATTTTTTTTAACATTTTTTTTATTAAATTATTATTTAAAAATGATTTTTCAGGAGATATGGAGGAGATAAGTCAGTCTATAAAATCGAAAGATTTTTTCAGTAGTTCCAGAAGGTTTTGGTCAGACGAGTTGCTATACGTAGAGAAGACTTTTTCCAGACGCTAAATGTAAGTCAATATTTTATCCTCAACATTATGAGTAAGTAATTTGAATTTAAATTGATAATTCGTTCGGAATTTAATTTTTTTTGCTATTGAATGAAGTTAAAATATTTTTTTTTTTTTAAATTAAGAATAAAATTCGAATTTGTTTTTTGAACTCGTTTCGCTAAATTTTTGATAATTAATGAAAAGGAGAACAATAAGATAGTATTTTTAATTATCACACAATTGCGTTATATTTGTGAAATATAGTCTCAGGTTTTTGATAAGTTTTTTAAAAGTTTTAATGAATTATGATAAAATGTATATTAAACTTTAGAAGGCGATGGACATTTTTAGAGGGTGAAAATTAATGTAACCACGCGTTGGTGGCTTTCAATCGAGAGAGAGACAGAAAAGTATAATGGCAGTGGTAAATTCGAGCGGTCCGCAATCTTCCTGAAATCTCGGACGCCAGTGCTGGCAGTTAGCCGAGCCATCTCCTGAATATTTGAAGAGATCTTCCTTCTACTATACATAGCTTTCTGACTTTAGTGAACGAATGCGCCATTGTGCCATCGAATTTACCCATCCAGGAAAAATTATTTCTCGCAAAAAAAAAAAAAAAAAAAATTCTCGAAATTCTTCACGATTGTTTTCTCTATCAAAAAATTTTTCATATATAAAAACAAAAGAGTCTCCCAATAATTTTCTTCTTGAATTCATTTTTTTGGGATAAATTTTAGTTGAGATAAAAATTTGAATTTTAAAACAAAATAATTCTCGCGTTACTAGAAAATAAAAAAATTAAATACTCTCTAAATCTGAATTAGTAAAATTTTTTTACTAATTTAAATTAATGACTCACTTTTTGCTTCTGAATTAGTAAAATTTTTCTAATTATTAGTAACTTTTACTAACAATTAGTAAAATTTAACTAATTCTAAAGCAAAAAACTAATTTAAATTAGTAATCATTTTTACTAATTCAGATTTAGAGAGTATATATATATAATTTAAAGAAATAGAAAATTTTATTTTTAAAGAAAATCTTAATAGGATAAAAAAATATAATGAATTATTGTTACCATGGTGACCGAATGAGGAATCGAGATCGACTTTAAGTTCATCCTTATCAAGAAGCTTATCGTGTCTTGGAGAATGACCTCCGGTACCGTTTCCTTTTATTCCTGCCCCTCGGAAAAATTGCGACCATCTTGTTCTTCCGGCGTCTTTTTTCAATCGTTTTTCTTTCGCCCTCCTATAAATAATTTTTTTTTACACTTAAAATATTTTCAATTGTAAATTAAAATGTCAAGAAACGTTTTTCTTTTGCAATATTTATATTTTATTGAGCATACTTTAAAATATTTAAAGAAATCTCTTTTTTGTCTTGAAGCAGATTTTTGGAAACGAAAAAGAAAAAACGTTTTGTAAAATTTATTTTTGGGAAAAAGTAGATTTTTTTTTTGTTTTGTTGAGAGAGTGATAAAAATGAATTATTGTATGAATTTGTCGGAACAGACGAAAGAAGAGGGTGGAAAAATTGAAATTTTTCCACGAGGGTGGTTTTCCACGGGAAATAAATATATATGAAGTTTTGTTGGTAGAGGATCAAATGTGCTGGTGAATATATATATATATATATATATATATATATATATATATATATAATATTGATTCTCTGCCTAGTGATAACGGAAACCTTGTTCATTGGATACCTCTCCCGCCATCTTGTTTGTTTTACAGAATAGATATTTCATTCTCTGTAATATACACTCTCATTTCGAAAAAAAAGCAGACACTACTAGTATCATTTGTCGAAAAAACGCGAATTTTTTTTTTAGAAAAAGCAATTTTAGGAAAAACTGGTATTTTTTTGGGAAAACTCAAATAAAATAAGAGTTGCACAATGAAATTGTATATAAAAAAATAACATTGATTTGTAAACAATTTTTAAAGAAGGTTAATTTTTTTCCCCATGTTTCATTTGCAAGGAAAATAAAATCTTAGAAATGCTTTTTGAATTAGGATTCTTGTTCGAAGAAGCCCCAAGAAAATATAATTATCGATTTTTGTAAATGTTTCTATACGAGATAAATTATAGGAACGTGATTGGAATTTTCCAACTTTTTTTTTAGGGATCTTCAAATCTTTTTTTGAAATAATAACGAATTTCCCTAAATACAAATTCTTCATTAATTTTCTCATCGATTTTTTTTTTTGGAAATAATTTTTATTTACCTATTTTGGAACCAGACTTGAACGACCCGCATGTCGAGTCCTGTGTCTGTTGAAAGTTGTTCACGAACATGCCTCGCTGGTTTTGGACTTTGGTTGTAAGCCAACTTTAGGGTTTCCAATTGCTTTGCAGTGATCGTAGTTCGTGGTCTTTTATTCGGTTGATCACCATCAATACTTCCTCCATCAGCCAATTCTGTAATCATCGTAAAAAAAAAAACATTTCCTATTTATAAAAAAAAATCTCTCTAATTTTTTCTTTTTATTGATATTATCAAAAATAATAATCAAAATGTAGCAATAGAAAAAAAATAATTTTGCAAACCTTTCGCCTTGGCTTGTTCGTAATCAGCTTTGCAGACAAGTTTTCTGTCCTCCATGAGGTAAAATTCGTCTCCAGTACCTAGTTGCCTGGAGCACATGGCACAGGAGAAACAGGGAAGGTGATAGACTAATTCTTGGGGCACCTGGCCTTCTTTGGCAACCACGGCTTTGCGCACCATCTGCGAAGGGGCCACACCCGAGCCACATCCAGCGCATTTTGTCCCGAAACGCCTGCCACACCAACAGCACGCAACATCTTCACATTACATTCACACATAATTTCTGTTTTAAAGGCAATTTAGATTCTAAGTTGTGAAGCTTCATTTTCTTTTTCAAAAAAAAAAAACCACGTTATTTTCTTCAGAATTCAAGTTTTCCTAATTTATAGATTCGTTAATAAATTCAAATATATAATTTATAGAAATTATATTAGAATTTAATTTTGTCATAATGAAGAATTAATCTTCTAATTTTAATTGATTGAAAAAGTATAAGTTGAATAAGAAAATTTAATAGAGACAATTAAATCGTTATTATATTCTTTATGAGAATAATTTTTTATTTTTCATGAAAATAATTTTATCGAACGCGATGGAGAAGGAAAAAGAATCGATATTCGCGTATTACTATTATAAATAATAAAATTGACACGTAACTGAAGTTTTTCAAAGTGGCTAAGTAGGAAAATATATTTTTTTTCAATTAAAATTTCAATAATTCATTATCAATTTTTTTAATAAGATTTGATGGATAAGTTTTTTTTTTGAGGTTAGCAACTTTTGCAAACGTCAGTTACGGAGAAATTGATACTTACTTGAAAAAGTCTTCCTTGCAATATACGTGACCATTTCGGGCATAACATTTTTCCGAAAGTCTGCTTCCACAATCTCGACACGTGAGGCATCTTGCATGCCAACATCGTTCCAAAACCCTCAGAATAAACCTATCCACAATTACCTTCTGACAACCACCACATTTTGGTATCGTAGCTGAAACATAAAACGGGAAAAATTTCTATAAAATTTGATCCGAGATATTTTTTTTTAATAAAAATTAATATAACAATTTATATTATTAAATACTAAATATTATTAGAAGTAATTTTATGAAATATTTACTTATTTATATATTTTTATTTATTTATCTATTTAGAATTTTATTTATTTAGTTTTATTTTTAAATAATTAATTTCGACTTGAAAATAATGTTATTCTTTATAGATAAAAGAGAATCTTAATTTAAGAGAGGAAAGAAATCTTATTTTCAATTGTATCATTTTTTAAGACATATTGATTTTTCTGAGTAGATTTCATTTACTGATATTGTTTGTATTTTTTATTTTCTGAATTTATGGTAATTAATTTGAAAAACCAGCAGCAGTGTACTGAATTTAAGATAAGACTTTTTCAAATTAAGAATGAAGAGTATCTTAATTTCATGTATAATATAAATTCAAATTTATTAACATTTTAATTTTTTGTATACAAGTTTCGTTTTTAATTAAGATAATTTTTACATTCAATACTTATTTAATTTCACATTTATCTTAATTTAAAATTGATCTTAGTTTAAAATTTATCTTAATTTAAGATTTATATTAATTTAAGATTTTCTTTTTCCTGTATTAATGTGAACTGAACCTTATAAAAAAAATAAAATGCTTCTATATCTGAATTTAAATAGAACGTGAAATTAAGACGTTTAAAGTCTTAAATTAAAAAACTCTTATATTCAGTATCGACCTAATGATTTTATAATTATTATCCTAAATTCAACATCATATTAAAATCCTTGATGATCAATGCAAAAAAAGTGCTTAGAAAATCTATAAAAGGTTTTTTTAAAATACTTTTTACGATTTTCTTTTTGCTAATAAATATTTCAAACTTTTTAATTTTAATTCTATTTTTAATTATTATTTTTTTTTAAAGAATATTGTTTATCAATTTCTGGGAGTACATATGTACGAAATAACTTGTTACGTATAATATAAATAGATAAATAAATAAATAAGTAAATAAATAATTATTACTATAAAATTATTATAAAAAATTATTATAGAGAAAAAAACTAAAGAATGAAATTGAAATAAATATTTTCTAAAGGGGAAAAATTAATTTTCGAAACTTACAATATAAAATATCGGGAATATTAGGCGGAAGCGCGACTTCGAGTGCCGGATGTTCTAGGGGTTGCATCTTAAGATGCGAATCGTGAATATTATTACTGATAATATGCGATTCCGGACTGCTTTCAGGTGGTGTTAAAACATCACCTCGACTACGATACATTCCCTGTAGAGGTAGAATTTCACAGCCTATCATTTTTGTATTAAAAAAAAAATACTCTATATTCAGTAGAAAAAAAAAATGAAAATAAATAATAAAATTTCTAAATTCCCGAACAAATTTCACTTGGTCACTATATAGTGTTTTCTTTTTTTTTTCTCTCGCAGTCACTTTAATCCTCCAATTGACACATCTTCCTTTATTGTCACACTTATCTTATCATCGTGACCAAAAGTTCAAGGAGACTATTTTCTCACAAGTCCATTTCATTATATAAATAACACTTTGTTTCCTAATTCATACCAAAATATCAACAGAAAAAGATAATTTCACTTCCACTCGTTTTAAAAATTGTTCTAATAATTTTATGAAAAAAAAAACAAACAAATAGAATATATTTTCTTTTTTATTAAATATTTATATTTTTTCGCGGCAAAATTTTCTTTTTCAAGAGAAAATGTTGACAGGGAAAAATAGAGTGAGAGGCAAAAAAAAAAAGAGAGTATATCGTGTTTATAAAGTTGACAGCGTAAAAGCACGCGTGCGACTGATAGATTTTTGGAGGGGTGATCGTGCGCACGTGACACTAGGGATAAATGGAGGGTGAGTGGGGTAAAATGATTCACCATTGGCTAGAAAATCCACCCCCGCGAGGGTGCGGATTGGTGGAGGGCTTTTCCGCCCTCACAGTATGGCGTGTGCGTTATCAGGGGGTTGAAAGGGCGAGTTTCAACCCTCTAAAAAAGGGGGGTGGTTCAGAGCGAAGAGAGAAAATATGAGACAGACGAATATAGGCAGAGGGAGAAAGAGAGAAAAGCTAGTGTTAGAGAAAAAGAGACAAAAGAATACCGAAATACCCGTTTTGACGCTTCTGCACCCTTGACTTCGACGCAAAAGTGGGCGCCAGGGGTGACGAAGTACCATCCTTTGAAAACGCCAACGCGAAGATCCGAACCCGTTAATATTTTATGGCAGCCTTTGAACAAAACAAGAGAATAAAAGATCCAAGACTTTATCTGTCATTTCATAGATCATCTCGGATTATTTATTTTATCTTTTTATTTTTGCTGTATTATATAATTACACGTCAGTTAACTTGTTGTATATATATCGTGTTGGAGTCGCTTTTTTGTTTCTGATTTTTAAAACTGTTACATTTAGGTGAGGAAAAAACTATCACTGTAAAGACAAAATCTTAGTTTAAGATAACAAATCTTTTTTATGATAACAAATTAAAGATAATAATTAATAATTAATAATAATAATAATAATAATTAAAGATTATTTAAAGACATTAAATCTTATTTTAAAACAACAAATCTTATTTTAAGTCTGTTTTAAAAATATTGTAACTTAAAATAAGTAATTTCTTTTCTTAAAGTAAGATCTTATTTTTACTAACATTTTAAGATTGTTTTTACAGTAGGTATAGTAAAAATTAAGTTTTAAGACTGGAAAGAAGTCGTATATTTTTAGTTACAACTTGTGTAAAAAAAAATTAAGATGTTCTTAAATCAGAATTTATATTATTCGTGAAATTTAGATACTTTTCAGTCTGAATTTGGAAAAGTCTTGTCTTAAATTAAGTGCAGTGCTGCTGATTTTACAAAATAATTATCTTAAATTCAGAAAATAAAAAATGCTGCATGATAGGAAAGAAATCTTATTTTCAGTTGCAATATTTTTAACCTTAATTTTTACACAAATGTTAGTAAATTAAATTTTGCGCCAATCGTGATGAATTTAAGACAATTTTTAAAATTAGATTCTCGTTCTGAATTTAATAGAATCTCTTAAAGTAAGATACTCATCTTCTTATTTCCAAACTTCAGTTTTAGATTAAAGTATATCTTTAATTTTAGACAAATCTTTAAAAAAAAAAAAAGCTTTTCTCTTTACTGTGACACTGTTATATTAACAGTAAATTTTTTTTTTTCAATAAATTTTCAAGATATAACAAATAGATAAATTTGAAAAAATTTACATTTTTCGCAAAAGATTGTGAAAACTGAAAAATTGGACGAGATGACTGTTAAAGTTAGAAAAATAATATTTCAACATTCTTTTCGAATATCTAGAGAATAAAGTTTGACGTTCCTATTTTTCCGTCTTTTTTACACTTACACATTGAGACTCTGACAGGGATCGGTAAGAGGCCAATAAAACATTCGTTTTACGAGAGTCTGCTTGCAACGAAAGAAGTTCAAGACTGTAAAATAGTTGGTGCATCGCCATCTACTCGTTACACCACTGTTTTACTTCAGAATCAATGACACTTTCGATCGTGGTCCTGCAGTGCTCAAGTACTTGATATTAAACTACAAGATTTCAACGCTTTTCAAATCTCTCCTAAAATATCTATATTTACATATAAAATTCATCTAAAAAAATAGGTGGGGGGTGGGGGGTAGAAATATATTTTTATGATGTTTGGTTTTCATTTTTTCATCTCTTTCTCTAAAAAATTCATATTCTCAATTGTGAATTGAGAGAAATAAATCGTTAGAATCAGGCAAAGTCATCGTTATTGTTGAGAATTTTTTTCGGTGATATAATGTGTGGGTTGGAGAATTTCTTGAAGATATTCCTTAAAGTAAAGTCGCTTTTTTTCTTTTGCCAAGAGAATGAAATGGATCGAATGGAAGGGGATATAGAAAAGAAAGAGGTAGTGAGCAAAATTAAGAATGGATATATACAGAAGGATTTGAGAGAGAGAGAGAGAGAGAGAGAGAGAGAGAGGAAAGGGACGCCATTTTATAATTCCACCTCGCTTCTATTCTTGTCTGCATGTTCGCAACCCCCAATCTTGATATATATATATATATATACGTATAAGCAAAACGTTTTTACCCTTCAGCAACTTTCTTTAGCAATTTTATACTTTCTGTTTCTTTCATTTTCAAAAGGAATGCGAACCTCGGATTAAAAATGAAGGGAGATATATAGCCAACCGCAATGTTATGGGTCACTGCGAGAAGAAAATTGAAATTTTCAACTTCTCCATGTAAAAAAAGTATTCCCTCTTTGACTCACAAATGTTGTATAAAATTAAAAAGTTTTGAAAATTTCAATTTATAATTGTAAAATAATTTCTTGCGCAAAATTGGCAAAAAAAAAAATTATATAAATAGTTAAATTTGCCGTGGCGAAAAAAAAATATATAACATATGAGCGACAGATTTTTATGGGGTATATATATGCAAAAATGCTTTACCATCTGTCATTGATTGTTGAGATCAGGTGGAAAATTTTTATGTTCTTCATGGTACGTTAGCTGAAAATTAGAATCACTGCCTTTGAAAAATGCAATTTTTCTGAACCACAAAATACTATTTATTTGTTCTCCCTTTTTTTTTCGTGAAATTATAATATAGTTAAATTATGCGGAAGTAAAAAAAAGTCTTTGCAGAAAAAAATTAGAAAATATTTGCAAATAATTAAATTGTAAAAATGGGTATGTACTTTTTGAGAAATGAACATTTTTTTATATTAGAATTGTTGGTTAGTCATGTCACGTGAACGAGTTGTATATAGTAAAAAAAAAAACACATATCAGGTGCTAAAGACCCTTTGAAACCGGTTTAATCTACATCAAAGGCTTTAAAATCCCGTGTCGTTGAATTAATGGTCGAAATGTATCCCTTGGCCCCCCCCTCCCCTCTTTTCCCCTTTTATTCGCATTCTATCAGCTTTGCTTTATATATATATGTGTGTGTGTGTGCAATTACTTAGGAACCGTTCCGGCCCAACTGATGGAGCATACTAAATACTTAAGTACTTAATCTGCACTACTTATGTCACAACCAGTGTGCTACCTGTCTTTTTAAACCTAAATTCCACTTTTTATAAACTTCCCTCATTTCCTTTTACAATTGAATTGACAAAAAGATAAATAAATACTCTATCTAAAGTTCTTTTTATTTTTTATATACTTAAATATTTAATTCATTATATTTCACCTGTTAATATTTAGTTATTCATTAAATTTTTTTAAAAATTAGTTTACGTAATACATAATAATACAGAATTGGTTTAAACAAAAATTATTTTGATTATTTTTCACCAACTTCGGTTAAAAATTAATCAGCGATTTGTAGCCAATTTAACCGTTCATGATTGGCCCTAAATATTTTATTTGCTACCAGTCAAGTAACCGATTATTTGAATCAAATAATTTTTTTTTCCATACAGTTAGGGTGTTGAAAATTTATAAAAAGTGTAATTTTTACCTTCTAAAAAATTTATGAAATAGAAATTCGAAAAAAAAATGTTTATAGAATGCGCGGAGAAATTTATCTTTTTTTCGAGGGGGTTGGTAGGCGTGGTGAAAGGGTATACTTGATTATTATGTCCTGAGTACGTATACATGTATAATATAGAGGAATATATGTATATATATATATTTTTTTTCTCGTGTAATCCAGTGTCAAGTCTCACCCACATGGATATAAACTCGAACGTGTTTGCGGATAATACAGTGGTAATGTACCTATATTTTCCGTGATGTTTTCTTTTACGAGGGCGAAACTGTAAACGAAGGAAACTGAGATGAGAAACTAAAAAGATAAAAAGAAAAAAATATTATAAACACTTCTTTTTTTTAAAAAAAAAATAAATATTGAAAAATAGAAATTTATTTTGATTTAGTAGAATAAAATAAAAAGAAAGTTTTAACAGAACCGAAAAGTAAAATCTTTTTCTTTACAAAAATTAAACCCTTTTGTTTAAATTCTTATAAAAAATTTGTATTTAATTAGAAATTAGTCCAAAAGTATTTTTTAAATTTATTTAATTTTTCTCGGAAAAAAAGTTTCCTTTTTTAAAAAATAAACTTGTACTATATTCTACCGTGAAAAGTTCTCTCTCTCTCTCTCTCTCTCTCTCTCTCTCTCTCTCTCTCTCTCTCTCTCTCTCTCTTTCTATGTATATATAAGTCGAGTAAAGAGCAAAGAAGAAGAGAAAAAGAGAAAAATTCGTGGAACCCTTGAAGTTTTTCTTTGTCGCGGCTTGTCTTCGAGGCAAGTGAAAAAGAAAAATAAAATGGTATATGATGTAGAGAGAATAAAAAAAAAAAAAAAAAAGTAAAGAAAAAAAAAAGACGCGAATAACGAAAAAGGAGAATTTCTTTGCTCGTTTGCGACTGCGCAAGAGACGTCTACTCATTTCCGTAGGCGTCTTCAGATCTCACCCTTCGAGTTTCGTCGACCCACCCCACTTCTACTTGGGGGTTTTTTGGGGTGGGATTCGGGGGTTGCTTGTAAGTTCTGCACGTCGGCACGCCTCCAGGAGACTCGTCGCAATCGTAAAAAGCATCGCCACGGGGTTCCCTTTTTCCCATATATATGTAGGCCTCCCCAGGACTAATGTTACAAAATAAAATAAATGGATTGACACGAATAAAAATAAATGAAAATAAATATCTTTCAATTTTTGACAAAATATATAATTACAATCATTTTTTTTTTGCTCTTATAAGGGTTTTTTTTCTCGTATCAGGTTTTTTTCGATGACCTTTAGGTTTAATCTCAGTTACTTGATTATTAGCAAATAAATATTTATTTGTATCAAATAATTATTATTTGAATCAATTAAATGGTATTTGTTTTAAATACAAAAAATTATTGGTTCAATTACAATTTATTTAATTCAAAAAAAAAAATTATTTGGTTCAAGTAAATATTTATTTGATAATAGTCAAGTAATCAAGTATTTGAATCAAATAATTTTTTTTTTCTCTTATCAGGGTTTTTTTTTCATACATTCATGTAGACTTTATGATAAAGGGCGACCTTCTTCCTCTCACCCTCTGCGACCTTACAAATTATGACATTTATTTTTTATCCTCTCTGTTACCCCCGTCGAAATTAATGGGAGCTGTGTTAAAAAAAAATCGTTGCGACGCGAGAAACCGAGCGAAATGTATATTTATTCCCCTTGTCAAATCAAATTACACAACTTTTGTTTGGTAAAAATTGTTTTTTTTTTATTTTTGATTGTTGAAAAAAATGCGAAATTTTTATTTATTTGTTTTATAAATAAAATTTGTTTATGGAACAACTGTCAAATATATAAATATAAGAATATATAATTTTATATCTCTGGTGTATATCAAATTCAATAATGGAAATAAGTGAAATAGAATTATTTTTTTTATGGGTCATAAATTAACCCCATCTATGAACGATTATTATGAATTTTGCGGTAAAACCTTTATTCCATTTACGCATATGGTTTCCGGGTAGTTTTCATCTTCTTTTGTGTTTATATATACACAAAGAAAATGTGTCAAAGAACTATTAATATTCCTTATATTATATATTTAGGGGCAGGAATCTATATATATATATATGGTCGATAAATAAATTTATATACATATACGCAGATATTGTAGAAAAATAGTGCGCCTCTGCTATGAATGTCAAAGATTATTTAGTACCAATGCACACCAGAGCAAGTAGACTCCCCGTCGATCATAAAGTATGCATACACCCTACACGTGAATGGGTTATGCATGCCTTATGGGACACATATAATCATTTTTTTTTCTCCACCTTGCCGCGTTTTGATCAAAAATTTACTCCAATATTTAACTTTTTCATATTAAATTCGATACACTGAAAAAAAATTATCATTGATTCAGGAAAATTTATTTCAAACAATTTTCTTGGATCAAGAAAATATTAAATCAAATGCAAATTTATTTAATTTTTGTGTTTTTTTTTTAATTTGCAGGCGTTCATTCAATGAAGGATGCGAGTTTGTTGCGGAGCAGCTCCTGGAGGAGATCTTGCATGGCTGAGCGCGGTTCAATGTAAGTTGATTAAAATTTTTTTTATGTTTTTTATATTTTTTTTTATAATTGTTTTGTAAAATTATGATATTGATAAGAGCATTGAATAAAATATATCTTTATTTAAATATTTAGTAATTAAATTTTTTTATTTATTTAAGTAAATTAAAAATCGTTATATTAATATTTTCTTTTACATAATAATAAATTGTGTCTTTATTGAAAAATTTTCAGTCAGTTTGGTCCAGTAGCAGAAAGTTTTATAAAGAGAGGAAAAGCTGTCATCGTATCTGTATATCACGAAAAAAAAAACTAAAAGTGGTAAGTCTTTTTTATTGCTGTTAATTTAATAAAAAAAAATTTCAAAAAAATTAATTTTTTTAAAGTATTATTTACAAAAATATAAATTGTGTATTTTATTTTATACATAATAATAAATTGTATCTTTTTCTAAAAATTTTCAGTATTGGTCCAGTAGAGGAAAGATTTATCTGTTCAAAGAGAGGGTTAGCTGTCATCGTATCTGTATATCACAAAAAAGAAATTAAAAGTGGTAAGTATTTTTTATTGCTGTTAATTTAATAAAAACTTAATTTTTTAATTTAAGTAAAATATACAAAAATATTTTTACTTTTCTTCAATTAATTATTAATAAGGCATTCCATTTTTTTGAAATCACATTTTTGGAATAAAATACAAAAACAGAATAAATATTTTTTTAATATATCCAACAATTATGTAATTTATTTTATTTTGTTATTTTTCAGTTCCATAAAGATAGAAAGGAAGGAAGGATGTGGACGAAGAAAAGTAGCCCCTGCGTGCTATCGTATTTTTTCCAAAATGTAGTCTATTTTTTTATTTTTATTTTTTGACGATAGCATACCCCTCGACCTGTGCAGAAGTGCATGAAGAGACAGGGATCTCGAGGGTGGTCCAAGAAGAAGCCAAGGTAGGGGCAATGTTATCATTGCTTCAACGTGGGATCGCCGATCGATGAGTCATTCTTTAATTTAATCACTTCCCTGTTTTGAAATAGTTAATTTTCTTAATATAAAACAAATTACAATAAAATAATTTATAAATTAATTTTTTATTTGTAAATTATAAATTATTATTATAAATTTATAAATTAAAAATTAATTTTTGTTCTATTAATTTATAAATGGATTAATTTTTTTTAAATGCTTTAAATAATAAATATTTTCTTGATCTAAGTGAAGTATTAAAAATTTGTAAAAAAAAAACAGGGAAGTTTAAGCAACATAGTGGCAGCATTGACAAAATTTATTATTTTGTAATTAATAATTCTTGTCAATGTTTTCTGTATTATATTTTATATGTATATGTCATTTGTTCTATGTATTTTATTTTTTATTTATATCAATATTTAAATTTTCAGTAATTTTTCTTATTAAAGTAATTTTTTTCTATCAAAAAAAAAGTAATTTAAACTAAAGTAAAATTTGTTATTAATAATAGTTTTTTAATTTTTATTAAATTTTTATATTATTGAAATTAAAATTTAATGCATGAAAAATTTAAATGTTAATGCATGTAGATTTTCAAAAATAATTTTTTTGATAACTTCTTTTAATAATTAATTGAAATTTTTTCTTTCAGGAAATTTTGTTGGTTTGCGTTTTGAAACGTTAACCCTAGTGTAGGTCGCTTTGTAGTATATTTTTCGTTTTAAATATAGCCATAGGTAGGGAATTCGGAAATTTTTTTCGTTTTTAAATATAGCTGTAGGTAGGAGAATCGGAGTGATTGCGTCTCGGGACGTTAATCCTAGTGTAGGTCGCTTTGTATCTAAGCGGTCTATTTTATTTACTAGCTGTAGGTAGGGAAATCGTGTAATATAAGTGCTTTGAATTTTTATCTTTATGCCACTATGTTGTTACTAGATTATAAGTTTTGTGAATATTTAATATTTTGTACTTGTTTAATTATTATTCTTATTTTCAGTTGAGTTATATTGGTATAGATAACTCTTTTTATTTATATTCAATTAATCATTTTTTTTCAGGAATTCTTAAAAATGTTAGGTTCTTTTTATTATTGTTAAGTTTATTAAATTTGGGGATTTAATTTTAAGTTTTGTCTAATAAATTATTTCTTTCAGCTTCTAATGATGATTTTTACTTTCAGGTTCTAGAATCAGAAAGATAAAATGATGAAATCGTTTGTTTGTTTTCTTTTATTCCACACTGAAGAAAAATTTTTTTTTCATTTAACTTGACTACAATAAATATTTATTTCTATTGAGTAATTATTATTTGAATCAATTAAATGGTATTTGCTTCAAATGTAATTATTGTTCAAATACAGAAATTATAGTTCAAATACAATTTATTTAATTGAAATAACAATTATTTGATTCTAAATATTTATTTGATAGTATTGTCAAGTAAACGATTATTTGAATTAAATAAATTTTTTGTTCAGTGTAGTAAAATTTTATTGGAATAAGAAAATATTGAATTAAATACGGGATTTTTTTGAGTCAATATACTGCATTTCTCTTTCTTTCATCATTTATCTTTCTTATTCTATTTAATTTTGTATTTTTATAAAAAATAGTTTTGTTTTTTCCTATAGATGTCCGGAACTCGAAGGAAGCAGAAGGAATTTTAGAAAATATCTGGTACAGCTAAACTTTTAATGTAGGTTGATTAACTTTTTTTACTGAATTTTTGTATTTTAAAATAAATGGTAGTTTATGGTAGTTAATGGTAGTTTCAAATAGAGTTAACAATGTCAGATGTTAGTAATAATAATGATTTAAGATGAGAATTAATTGATCTGTATATATATATATATAGAGAAAATGAGTAAAATCTTTGCCAGATGTGCGATTGTTGAATGAGGTTGAAAGAAAGAGAGGGGTGGGGGGCAAATAGGAAGGCTTTATGGTGGTTTTCGAAGAGATATCTCAACGTATATAGGAGAATGAAAAAGGGGCGCCAGCGTGGGTGTATAAGCAGTCACGCTACGATAAACTATACCTTTCCTTGAGTTCCCCTGGCAGGATTCTGTGTTCCATTCCCCCCCAAATGAAACCCCATGGACCCAGCTCTCACAAAGCACGATGACAGGTCCCTCTCATTGTTGTATACACCGTGTGCATACATTTTATCCACACACATATGTATAGTATACTATATGTATTTATGAGAATAAAGAGATGTCAGAGTTTTTTGCAAAATGATGGTGTACCTTTAAAGAGTAAATATTGGGTAACTACCCCTCTTTATGGTGGATGAAAGGGTCGCGCATTAATCACTCAGTGATTCCATTAGAACTTCTTTTCTGCACTAGAGAACGTATTTTGAATTTTTAGTTTCTTTTTCGAAAAATTTAGTGTATAGTTTTTTTTTTATTAGTATATTGTGTATTCAAAAATGTGGTTTAAAAATGGAATTTGTGTTTGAAAAAAAAGATCGCATCGATGAGAACGAAAAGTTGGACCCCATGACCCTTGGGTACCATTATGGTGTCAAGTATACAATAAGACCGGAGAGACAACGATCACCATAAATGCAATGGTGAAACACTTGCACTAGTCTCATCCTCCCTTATTCTCCTTCTCCGTTTTTTCTTCTTTTTTTTTTTTTTGTTATGTCTTTTGACTTCTCTCTCACATATACACACAAATGAAAAATATCCCAAGGGATTTTTAAACAATATGCTACTATGCACATTGGATATACCTTTTGGGTTTGATACTTGGCGCGTATACACTGTTCCCATAATTCCCTTGTGATTTTCCTTGGCTTGTACATTGAAATTCTCGCGGGACGTTGGTGATATACTGGTGAGAATTGAATTTGTACCCGGTTACACGGTATTTAGAACAATATAGTTATATATACAATGTTCTGAAACAATGTGACAGTTTAACATTGAGATGGAAATTCCTTTTTTTCAAATTCTGATTTTTTTTTTTACCAAAAATTGTCACGAGTACAGGTTGTAGTTAATTTTCGATACATTGTTTGCAACTATTATTAATTGTTTCTATAATTATAATTAGTTGTAGTTTTTAGATGTATTTTTGTTGCAGTTTTGTATTTTATTTCGTGATTAAATTAGTTTAAAAAGGAGTATGAAAATAAATCCGTTTTCGCCGTTATCTTGAGTGATACGTATATGAAAACTTGCTTTTAATATCCAAGAGTATAGACAGCGAATGTGTGAGAGTATTTAGAGTTTATAGTTGACCTGCTCTAAACGAGGAAATAACAAGGACCCACTTGAAGTGCCGTTCGTTATAATAGATTAAAGCCATCTTCTCTCCCCTGACTATGGAACATATATATTGTCCCCTTAACACCCCCAACCAGTAGTTCACTTTAGTTCACTTGACCCTACTTGTCCCGCTAGGGTCTCATATAAACGCATCCCTCTGCTTAACTGAACGCATCGGCTTTCTCTCTATTTTATCTCGCTCACTCTCTCTTTCTCTTTCATTTTCTCTTATCCATTCTTCTCATGGACCACTGTGAATCCTCTCTCATATGGTCTAATGGCTTTCTTCACATGGATCACCATATACGCAATTTTCTTAATGTACTTGCTAAACGCCTCTACCGACAGTGTCACTTCATGAAACTCTCAAGTATATATATAATGGTAGTTTCAGATATATTGTAATCATCAGTGTAGAAATTTAAATCTTCTAATGTGGTACAGACCAGGTTTTTCTATCTGTGGTTCTTTAATTAAATTTTTTTCAGTAGTAGTTTGGTGGTTCGTAGTTTCAACAGTTGAAAATTCTAATTAAAGATTGCAACACATTTTATGAGTTTCACTTGTTGATATTTTCAATTTAAATACAGACAATACATGACAATTTGGAGAACATAATTAAAAAGGCATTTGACTAGGTTTTTTCAAACACATTTTTATTCTTAAAAATAGATTTTATTAGCTTCGTGTGTAATCGAATATATAATTTTCCAAATGGTCTATGTATGTAATTTATTATGCATAATGATAAAACGGAAAACCCCCCTCCAAAAAAAAAATAGGAGAACAAAAATATTTGATCGTTATACACCTGAAAAATGGTATTTTACTCTATTCAAGCAGAAAAATGTTCGATCGAAACTTATGAATTATTTATCGTCGTGACACGCGTTCCATGAAGGTAACTGGCGAGGCCTCATATATGAATGACAGATAAAAGTGAGCGAATGAATAATATGGGTAATGGGGTAGCTAATGTCCCCATATGCGTGAGTGCGTATATAAAACCCAACTAAAATTCTTTATTCGTGTAAGTGCAACACGTAATGGGCGTTGCGCATATATAATGTAACCCAAAAACCCATCATCTATCCTTGAAATTTTGTTTATGGCACTATGGGCCATTTGGAAGATTGATACATTAACAATCGATATTATTATTAAGTCATTTTTCTATTTATCAGTTTATTTTCCCATATTTTTTTCTTATTGCAAATTAAAAATTTTTTTTGAATATAATTTTTTTAAAATTCTTTTTTTGTTTACTAATATTTATATACTGAGAGTATCTATGCTGAGTAATTATTAATAATTTTTTTTTTTGATAGCAAATATGTAAAATACGAACAAATATAAAGGGAAAATGTGGAGAAAAAAATTTTTTTTCATGATTCCATGCATTTTTCAGTATGCAGTGATATAGAAAGCCGCACCCCATATCGTATATGTATATATAGAGAGAAGCAAAAGTCAGACATTTTTAGTATGTGGAGTCCCTTTTTTTTCACCCTTGTGTGTACGCATATATGGATCCATTCGCGTATTACCCAGTTCCGCGGACACATTGTGAGCATTTTATACTTGTTTGCACAATTCCCTACGCGTTTTTCGTATGACCGAGGTTGTATCTGGCCAAATGTTTTTGGGTGGAGAAAGAGGGGTTTGGGGGGGGGAAGAATCTGCAGTGCACGTTATCATTTTATCGGTCGGAAGAGCATCGAATTTATTAATGGGATTGGTTAGGCACGATGGATTTATTTTTATGATGGTTATCATTTCAACCTGATCTCAAATGCCCGTTTATGGGTTCTACTAAAGATCGACTTTTTTTTTTTTTTAAATTGCACACTTTCTGGGTGTTAATATATAGGAGTTTCGAACGATTGGAAAATTGTTTTTTTCATTTATTTTCAGTAACTAAAAATTACATCAGTACAGCGTCAGTAGTCAATTTTTGTTATATTTTTTCAGTTTTTAAAGTTTAAATATTTTAGAAAAAGTTGAAAATTGGTCTGGTTAAAAAGAGGGTAAAGGTGGTTAGTACTTTTTTGTTAAGTGTATAAGTCGAGTCAAAGTTGTAATTCAATACCGATCGAGTAACGTAGTAGAACCGCAGGGAATCCCCTTGCGATAGGTTTTCCTATATATCGCTTGTAACAACATCTTTTAGGTCTTTTAAAGGAAACTTTAAGTTGACCACGCGCAAGGGTGACAGATAGGATGGCAGAGGGTGACCGATGAAGGATATTCCATGACTGGATAGGTTTCATCCATCTGTTCATTGACACGTGTCTGAATTTTTCTCTTCCTTGAAAAAGAAAAAGATCGTTGGTTTTTAACATTTAACGAACCCATATCTTGACCATAACAGATGGTGTCTCATCATGATACTTTGATTGAAAAGATTTAATAGATAGTTGAAATTTTTAATTCATAATAATTGGAATCATTTTTAAGAATTATCGCGCCAGTAGTCAATATTTTCAAAGGAAAAACAAAGTGTTATTTTAACACCAGAATTGGTGTTAAAATAACATGCAACAAATTTTACCCTAAATCTGGGTTAAATCTTATGGGTTTTAGCATAAGAGAAAAATAACACCAGCTTTTTCTGTGTTTGACAGGGGTTTTATTGTTTTCAATTTCGAATTGTTTTGAAGAGAAAAGTTGCAAAATTCAGATTTGTTAGTTCTATATTAACAATCAGATTTAATAATTCTTTTTCTTTCATTGTGTTTTTTGTTTTTATGAAAAAAATTATTGCACCTGGTGGGTCAGTGGTCCGTGGAGTAAAATTATGATTAGACCAATCTAACAAAAATTCTCTCAACCTTGGGACCCATTGTTTCCGGCGTGTTGACCTCTCGTCCGGAAATAATGGTAAGAACCATGACTGCTGAGAAATCAGAGCATGATTTGTCAATTTAAGAATTTCACTGACCGCACCAAAAAAGGGGAAACATTTATAGAACATCTGCCATTCAGGAAATTAATTTTTTTTTTTATCATGACAGAAATGGTAACAAAATCGAATTAAATTAATCTTTAGTTATATTGTCATATAGTGATTATCCAATAAAAATCCAAAGGTATTGATTTTAGGATTTTTTTTTCTGCTTATTTGTGTGTCATTGTCTTGAGTTAATGATACTTTTTTTTCAGTGTAGAATTTAATTTAATGCTGATTTTTAAAATGTATTTGAACATCCTTTTGGGTTGGATTGGAAAATTTCGTAATAATTTATCATTGAAAATCAAGTGGTAATTATCAAAATTATGGTTCCACAAATGTAGTATATTCGAGATTCATGGTATTAAATAGAAGAAAGGAATTGGCGAATTCAAAAAGGTGGGGGACGAGGGATAAGGGTTTCGTCTCAGGGAGTACATAGGCGAAGCGAACCACCGTCGGTTT